CCGGGTTGTAGGGGGCCCTAGTAAATGTGTTTAAACATGTTTATATAAAACATGTTTGAACAAATGTTTAAACAAATTCCAAGAGATTGTAGACCCTACCGCATGAGATCATGCGCACATTGAATTCGTTTAAACATGTCTAAACATTTGTTTAAGCATGTTAAAACGCATTCCAAGAGATTGAGGACCCAACCGCATGAGATTGTGCGCGCTTGCAGAATCAAACACTGAGAAATCTGCTGCTAGTGACATCACCCTTTCTTTCTCGCCCACCGGTTCTTCTTATTACATTTGAGTCTTCCCGGCCGCCAACTTTCAAATGTGGAAATCTGTTTAAACATGCTTAAACAAGTGTTTAAACATGCTTAAGCGTCAAAGCAAGGTCACAAGATCCCACTGCTCCAATATCAGTGTTGCCATGTCCAGAATCCGATGAATATGTTGAAACAGTTTATTCATATGGACCTGAGAATTAAACATGTTTAAGCAGTTTGATGTGTAAACGGTTCAATGTTTAAACCTGTTTAGAACGACCTTGCCTGAAACAGGTTCTTCTTCCAAGTCACTGGAATTCACTAACAAGATGAAACAAGTAGGAGTTGGAAAGCACGCTCTGAAATCAAGCTGACCCTGCGAGTCGTACCCCCTCAACTTGGGAATCTGGGTGGTTCGGGATTCTCAGTTCCAGGGAAGGCATTTGATGCCTATCCTCTAATGGTCCACGCTGTCGTAATCATTGGAAAAATCCTCCCATTTACAGATGATCTTCCTACTTGAATGATTTAAAACAAGCCTATCTTTTAGGAGATTTCCCCATGTGACCATGACCTGCTCTCAGCGACAATGACACAGGTCGCCGCAACGATTGCGTGAAGAAAATCTGCAGAGGTCATCTGAACAAGATCCATTTAAGGCTGTCTGTATCTATATCTATATTGAAGATTCTAGAACATGATGACATGTTCATATACATATTATAAATACTATATTAATATAATTATATATGTATGTAAATATATGTTTAAACAATAAATAATGATAATACATCAATAAACTAATATATATATATATACAAAATATATAACATATAATATAGTATATAACATAATATATAACATATAATCAAATATAATATATATAACATATAAATATGTATATATATATATATATGTAATATAAATTCTATAATATATAATATATCATATACAATATACAATATACAATATATACTATATGATATATAATAAATTATATATTTGATAATAAAACATATAAAATATAAAATCTACATTCAATTAAATATATATATATATGTAAATGTAATTGATATACATATATATATGGCCAGTTGGATGAAATTTCCTGACACTGGGATACATTTGGTCCATGCGGTCATGAATGCCAACCAAATGTTTCCAAATTTGCGAAGCAGAACAAGCGCATGGATCCACATAGTCACCCGGCGGCCAACGAGTGACCACAAATGAAGCCCGTGAATGGAATACCAAAGTTCTTTCCTTAGCTGGCGATAGGAACCATAGCTAGATGTAGCCGAGATATGTCCAAAGCCAGCAATGTAGATTGGAAGAGATCGGCACCACTGCTGTTTCTTTTGTCAAAATTCTGGCAATAGGTTGTGATATGTTGTGATCATGGCGTGTTGCTGCAGTTTCGTACTACAAACCTAAGTACAAGTAGACTTGTTGTAGACTAAACAATTTTTGCAATATTTAGCTATGTAAATCTCTGATTTAGTGATTCATGTTTATTTATAATTCAAGTATCTTTGAAATATGTATATATATATATTAGCTTTTTCATCCGAAATATCGGTTGCTTCAAATCAGAAATAGGGGCCAGATCCACCTCCTTGCTGGCCATTCGTTGCTTGAGATGGCTCCATATCTCTGAGCATTTTGTTCATAACTCAATTTCTTCTGGCAGGACACAGTGCACCAAGTAAGTAATTCACCAACCCAATTGTTCCCTGATCAACTCCACATTTCTTCGGCAGTCCACATTCTTTTTTGCGGAGTACTCGTACCACTAACAAATGAACAAAAACACAGATCAGTACGGAAATTCACACAGTTCATCTGCGAAAGATATGGTGGTGAGTTAAAACCAATGGTTTACCAGCTATAAACCATAAACAGCTGATCTTTTTTGAGAATGAACATCCACAAACCAGGGTGGTTGAAAACAGGGATGTACATCCAGAAACCCAGGGATACCCAGGGTGACCGAGTTGCGGGTCCACAGGCTCAGTTCCTCCTCAACACCCTGAATCCAGCTGGAAATATGGGAAAAATGGGGAGATCCTGGAGTTCTCTTGAAGTTTCATAGGAAATGTCACGAGAAAGGTTGAACCGTTTTCAATCTTTGTATAATTGAAATATGTTGAATGTGCTGGGATAGGATATGTTGCACATTCAATCTATATGGATATTTGATGTGTCTAATTTGGATATGATTGTTTTTTTTTGGATTGATCTACTGTAATAAGTCCAATTTCATCAGCAGCTGGGGGATTTTTTGAACACTTCATAGGAGGAATGATGCCGAGTATGTAAGTGAGAGGTGCGGTAGTTGTCAGTGTCAATCAGACATGGGATATCACCAACAGCTGTCGATGCTCGTGTCTATGACTCAAAATTGTATTGTTTTTTTTTGTCCACACTCATATCAAGAGCCAGAAATAGGGGTTTCTTAAAATAGGGATCCCTAAAACCATGTGTTCCAATACTAAAAGGGATTAATTTTGAATGATTTGGGATACCCCCATATATCCCCATCTTAGGAAAACCCCAAATGGTTATATTGGCACATGAACCTGATCCTACCTCAATGCGTGGCAAGAACCTGTCAAAACTGTCAAAACTGTCAGTGGCCAAGCAGCAAGCAATATTTATGGCCAGCAACAAAACATGATTTTGTATCCGAAAATACTTACAACTACAACGCAACAACTCATATACATTCCCATCCCATTGTAGTCCCAATGGATGAGACATTGTCGGGATACAATTGTCATCCCGATGTAATCCCGATTTAATATATATATATACACAATGTATATAATAATGATAACAATAATAAATAAAAGACATATGTATATATATATATATAATATGATGTTATAGTTTATAATATTATATTATATTATATTATACTATATTATATTATATTATATTATACTATCTTGTATTATATATATGCAGTATCCAAAGTTTGGGGGATCTCTGTAACCACTCCCCATATTGTTTTCGCACCTCCTTCACCTCCTCCACTTTCACCTCCTCGATATCATTAGACCCATTGGCCTCCTGGCAGCCAGTGGGACCAGGGGAACAAGAAAAACACATATGACCCACATATAACTGCGGATAGTGCACACATATGTATATATATATATATACATTATATATATATATATATATTCCGTATTGTTAGCAGGTTATAAGATGTTATAAGCCCATCCCAGGTTTATACACAAAATATTGGTTGCACCACCACTTTTTTTGTGTCAAACATGTGTTTTTACCAAAGAGATTTCGCGGATTTGATGGGATATAAGGCGACTATATACGGATGTAGGTGGGGACTTAGTGGGATATTAATAGGGATGTACATTGAATATTGAATATACATATATATATATGTATATGTATAATATATAAATATGTATACAGTATTATACAGTTACACAGTTATACACCTAACATGAAATACTTGAGTGTGAATGATAATGGCTTCTCTACCTCCAAGTTATAGCAATTTTACCATGGATTTGGAATAGCCTAGGAACTTCTCAATCTCTTCCCCGGAATTTTTTTTCGAACACGACTCCGAGATCCTGGGAATGGCATTTTTATTGGAGAGATTGGTCTACTGAAGGATGGGTTGATGGGTTTTAGCCAACAAATATAGTGTCAGTGTCAACCCTGGAATGGTTTACCCCGCTTGGTTTAATTGGTAGCGTCTGCGCTTTGAATGGCAGCTGAACCCTTCGGCTAGGATCATCCCCAAATTGACGAAGAAGGGTGTATTGATCTGGGATGCACAGTACTTCAGGTCTCACATAATTTTCAAATTATGGGACTGGGGATGGGACCAATTGGTCTGGATACGTAATCTCATGTTTTGCATGGCCTGTCGGCCCGTACGCTATGTATACAAAAACAACTATCAATAAACCCGTGGTTGGTGGTTTCAACCCCCTAAACAATATCCGTTCCTTAGGATCATCATCCCGCTGAAAGCACCACACATTTCAAGCATCATCTATCCATCGCCACTTGTTATATTTGTTGTGTTTTACCACTAGTTTTCAAGGTTTTTTTCCCACAATATTCCACATACCACTAGTTGGTTAAACCTAATTTTTTTTCAGCCCCGTTTTTTGACCCATCCGCGCCTGCTTGAGGTCACAAACCTCGCTGGGATGGTTTGTAGCTGGGAGCATCTGGGAATCTGGCCCTATCCCTAGTATATCCCTGGTATATCCACAGTACATCCATGGTACATCCATAGTATATCCGTATAAAACATAGATTATAAGAGATTTCAACATATTTAAGACCTTTAAGACCTTTAAGACCTTTAAAACCTTTAAGACATCTTAAGAACCTTCAAACGGCAAAACGAGGACATACCAAGTCCTTTTTAACATGATTCGAGAACCTACACGATCATGGTCACTTTATGGACGAGGGCCCCAGTGAATTGCCTCAGCAGGACCCCGCACACTACCCCCATGATGTGCTTTTCATATTATGTAATATCATGTATATACAGTATATAATTTTTAATCACACATTAAATCAACCATGTTCGGGTAAAAGAGACCATGTCTATCAACTTCTGGAGGATGCCATTGCCTCTCTGCATGTGATGGTCATACAATACGTGGTTTCGAACGGGGCAACGATCCGAATGGATCCGCACTTCATGGATGATCCAGGGTTCTTCACACCAAGTCTTCCAGTTCCATAGGATATGCTAGGATCATTTTGTTCACAGGGCTACCTACTTCCTAAAGCCTGGACTTTGGTTCATAGCAACAAGGCTTTTCAGTGAACAGAAAATCATCATCCATCATCCTCCAAATCCCAATATCAACCATTCTCAGCCAGGGAGTTTTTGACACTTATAATTAACTTATATATTACTTATGGTTGAATCATCTACCCTCTGGCATTTTAACATACCTATTGGGATAAACACTCATGTTTCACAGGAAAACCATCTATACAGCAGCCATTTTCCATGGTTATCTTAGTTTATTGGAAGGTAATTAACATATTAACCACATTACATCACATTACAATGACATTGGCAGATCCCCAATTTTTTGGTGGAGCGTGCCCAGCAACTCCATCAAATTCCTGGCGTGGGATTGTGTCGGAATTGTTCTTGGAATCCGAATGATCTGAAAGTTGTGCTGTTTCGAAAACCTCATGAACACTTCAAAGACTCTACATTTACGTGGTCAATGCCCGTGAATTCCTGTTGTGACTATTGTCCGGGGTTTGAACCCTTGAATCCTGTCCAGGTTTGAACCCTGAATCCTGTTGTTTTTCCTGCTGGCGTCGTATCAATTAGGAGGTAGTAACCTATGGTAACCCAACCTGGAAACTTCAAAAAAAACATGTCTGAACAAACTGAAATCCCAACTATAAACATTGTCCATGGCACGAAAAACCCAACCGATACTGTACCTACTTGGGGTGCATCCCACTGAGCAAATGGGTTTAATAATTCCCCAATTATATCTATATTGGAATATCCAAAATATCGGATTCTAGGGCTATGGATTATAAACCACTAAGTGGGATGCACATCCAAATATAGATAATAGATAATGGTCCCAAGTAAAATGACAATACCAACATCCCAACGCCCTCATCCCCATCCTGGCCATTGATAGACTCCTTCGTTGCCACGGCGGCAACGCCTGAGTTACCATCCAAAATCATCCAAAAATCCACCCCAAAAAAGGGATTAAGTACCCTTGACATGAAATTAGTCAACAGATGTCAACAGTAAGCCAATCTACAAAAAAAAAGACGCATTGAAACAATCCAGTTGACACATGCAAGGTTTAAATATTGATGGTTAATGCCACAAAATCCGTTGGTTAAACTCCGATGTTTGATGATTAATTCCCATCAAATCACATGTTTTTGCCGGTTGAATCCTCATTTTTGAGTTAAATCCACCCCCAAATCATCCAGCACCATTGCCCTCCGCTAATCAAACATAGAAATTGAACATCCCCATGGAAGTTCATAGCTGGGAAAGTCATCGAACTGAGGGATTTTCCGGCACACCATCTTTACCAAAGGCTAGATCCCCATGTCACCATAATTAGCATCTCACCATTCTCACCATTGATTAGCTTAGCTTCATCTCCATCCCATATCCCCAATGATCCCCACCCGATCCCGTCCCAGGCGCTCTCCGGCGTTCCGTCCCGTAGTATCAGGGGTGACGGCATGGCGGCCGCGACCAATGGTCGTGCTGGTCGCCCTGTTGTCTGAGAGAGTTATGCAACGGCGGAACGGATGCACATCCACAGACTTTCCGGCACTTTTTGGTGCAGCCATCAAAGATAGATGTCTCATGTTTTTTTAATACTTGTTTTACATGCTTCATATACTTTTTGCCTGATATGCAAAACTTGATGGTAACTATAGAATGTTCACCGTTTTGTGGGTGAAGCACCCTATTTTGCTGGTTGCTAACATGAATTCCGCAGTTTTTTTTGGTCAAATGCATACAAACCATGTATTGCAAATGCATATTTGCCTACAAGTGGAAGGGTTAAGTCATAGCATTTCGTTTTAAGTCATTGCAGGGGTCTGGTTTTCGCATGGAAACGCTGCGAACGTTTTAAGTCATAGCAGCTCCGTTTAAGTCATAGCATTTTTATGGTTTCACCATGGAAACGCGTACGGGATGCAATGTGTTTTAGGATCCTTGTTGTTCTGTTTAGCATGGCCTGACGGTGAAAGGCAGACGCTCATCCGCTACGACTTAACACACGATGCAAGGACTTAACCCTAGTACCTAGTATGTTCGGGTCTTTCCCTGGGGGTCATTTAACGAGGTACATGGATAATCTGGGTTGTTGACCACTTCCGTGAGTTTTTTTTAAACAACTACAAAAATGGAGGAGGGGAACAATGAGTCGAAAGTACAAAAGTCTAGAACTTTCTGAGTCTCTGCATCAAAACTGGCCACGAATCGCTCCTGTGTCATTGAGTGTTTGGCATCTACAGGCCTCCAACTTGATGTCAGCTATATTCATTTTCCAGTTCATAAGTCGGTCCGGGGATGATATCCCCATTGCTTGTGACAATTCAGCCACAACGGTGGCTATACAGTACCTTCTTTTCTTTGACAGTCTCATAGTGATATCTCATTTTTTTCTTGGCTCCATCCCTGTTCTTTTGAGTCTGTGCCAGTGCCACATTTGACTTAGAACGGATTGACTCAAACGAAACTCAACAAATGCGCTTATTTCAAATGTTAGGGATGTTTTTTGGATGCTTATGGCATACCCAATTTGGAACCTCTTTGTCCAAATGCTATTGATGGAATCATCATTGGTTTTGATTCAATCATATCCCTAGTGGATTGTTTCTTTACCTACCTGGATAATTACATTGATAGGTAACCTAATATCCAGGTAAATTGGAATCAAATGTTGGTAAGCCTGTTTGATGTTTCTCATATTTTATCACGTTCTTTAACTAGTTGATTCAAACAATTCCCGAAGTTTGACTAAGGCCAAGATCCGCTATGTTTTGATCAGCTTGGCCAAGGTTGCTCCAACAGAAATCCAGTCCAGTCTCAGGATTAAGATCCAACTTGCGTTTGTTGATCACCGAGTAATTTTAACTTGATGCTTCAAACCAGATTGTTCATATTGTTCATATTCAAATTCACCATTTTGTTTTGGATGAATCCCTATAGTTTTGGGGACCATCAATTGGCACCCAGACTGACCTTTCCGATTGGGCTTTCGGGCTCAGCTTCTTCGCCCTGGCCACACTTTGGCGAACACAGGTTTGATGCTGCCCATTTGGTCATCATACATATGTATGCATATCTATATCTTCTTACAATTAGGCGTGTACATCTAAAACAACAAACACAGAATGTGTATATATATATATGTGTATATATATATATGTACATATATATATGTCATGCATGTATGCATATATAGATATTTAATGACATTATAGTATTATAGCGTGTGTCTCAAAACAGGGTATACAGTATATGGTATAATATAACCACAACTTGCCATGTAACACAAACAAATATATAGTATGATACTATCAAGCACGGGATTTTGGAGGCATACCGCTGTTGAACAAACCCATCATATTTACACACCTCGACCCCCAAAGAATCTGCAGGAAAAAGCCAACTTACACAAATATTAGAATACAATACCATATTGTGCAATCCGATAGGAGTAGTTTGGCCGGTTCCAAACAAAAACATCCAACAAATCTGATCTATTGATCTACTATCATGACATTGGAATGATGAAAGGAGGTCACCCTATATTATGACAGCTCTACGGATCAGTGAATCTGCGAAAATCGTGAGCTGGAGAAAAAGATCCAACTCAGCATGAAAGAACTGCGTCAACCTCTGCGAAATAGCTTTCTGTTGCCTAACCCATCTATACTCACCAAGGATCAAATCTGAGTTATTCCCGTTATCCCAGAACCACCAGTGGGTTGATTTGAGGGAAATGTTTGCAACCCATGATTCTTCCCATCCACAAGGATTCACAAGGATCGTGCCAATGTTTTGTTAATATCTCCGCTTGGTGCTTTGAACACATCCCCTATCAAGGTCGACTGGGATCATCGTCCCTTTGATCGGTTTCCAGTCCAGTTCCGCCGACGTTCAGCACCTCAGGAACGTCCTTGTCCGTCTTGAAGACATCTTCTTTCAGCACATCCTCCTGGTGGTGATGGTGATGACTATGATGATTTGGGGTCAGCACTTTGGATCCAGGGATCTCACGGAAGCCTCCTACCTTTCCAGGATGACCTGATTGTCATAGTTTAGATACCTAGGAGCTCAGAGTTTTCAAAACAGCAAAAAAGTCTCAGCCCTCTGTCCGAACCCAGACGCAATGGGCACTCTCAAACGGGACCATTTCCAGAGTTCTTTCCCCACCTCTTCCAGTGGCAATTCATCACCGCCCCCGGTAGCATGCGACTGGTGCTCCTCGAGGAAACTTTGGCCCAAGCGCTCTTGGCTCACCAGAAGGAGCTGCTCAGCCACCTGAGTTTTTGTTGGTCTGTTAGATACCCCTACAAAAAACATACATATATATATATATATTTCTAATTTGTGTGTCATCACATATCATCTATGCATTAGATACTATTATCTATCATAAAATATGATAATATTATGACAAAATGGGATTTATGGGATTTCACATAGTGGTATAGTGGTATAGGTTTGGGAAACAATGGGATATTGAGCATGATTTTTGGGTGTGTCTGGACAAACCCATCTGGATCATGGCGGAATTCCTCGGCTCCCCGCTGCTGAATTGGGATTCCTCAGAGCATAGTCCATGGCCCGCAAGTTTTGCCCATCACGCACCTGGCATCCCAGCAGGCTAAAATGGATCATGACCACAAAATTATGGTGAAATGATGATCACCCACTGGCCACCGGTTTTCTTCCTGTTGATTCAATCTCACGGCTAGTCACTTCACAAACAGAGTTTTGATCATGTGGGTGAATAGATGAAATGTTGGTCCCACAGAATCTCACTTGTTCCCTCCTTATGTAATTATATTATATTGCTCACATCTCGATTGCGGTACTTGATATCCACATTTCCAACAGCTAAATCCCCAGTTTCATGTTTCAGTATCATGGTCGGAATCATGTTTTTCACGGCCAAATCCCAAGTCATGATCAACTCATCAACTCCCATACCTTTCTCCATTTCTCCCAATTTGTCCCAAAGTTCACCCTTTTTCCAGCTGTTTCCCCAGTGTTTTCCTAATGTTTTTCCATTTTCCCAGCACGTTTCCTTCGCCATTTTTTGGATCGTGTAGCCTCCAAGTTGGGACAGAGCTCCGCCGCCAAGCGCACCGCAGAGGCGTCGCCATGGTGCCTGATTCAGTGAACAAACATGGGACTTCTGGGCGGCCAGCATGGGGATTCACTGAGAGAAAACTGAGAATTTAAGAAACACAAATAGTGAATCAGCTCAAGATTTGATCTGCAGAAATGATGCAAGTAGCCACCGCACCGATTGAACCAGCAGTGGGAAATTACGAAACCAACACACATATGGAGATGCAATGTCTTTGCTTCACTCAACATAGACCGAGTGTTGAGCATACCATTCAAAGCAAGGACAACTGCACAAACAAAATCAATGGCTGATCGCTTCTTCGAAAGGACTTGTCGGGTTCTGCCACATCATCAATACAGGAACCCAATGATACTTTATGGATATTGATGATTAAAACCACAATTTCGCAAAGTTCCCCTTAAACTCACCCAGTGAACCCAGGGTTACAATTCGTGGAATCACTCATTATTCACATCATGATGCCCTAAGCCCGAAGAAGAGAAAACACCAATTTGACAGCGATACAACACGGACAGGAAATGATTCGAACAAATATCAGCTCAGCAGTGGAGGTCCCAGAGCTATGGTTTGATCAAAACATATCAAAACATGCTTTGCAGTGACTATGGAGGGCTTGATTATTTTTTTTCCATGGGTCTGATTTCAAAACCTCTATAAACCCATACTATACTGATATTTTTTTGTCAATTCAAAACCACTTTTCTGATCTTTTCTGTGGTGTCCATATTTGAATGCCTCACTGTTTTCAGTGGGCCATGGCTTATCAAAGGTTCTGAAGCACCCCACCGATCATCACCAGCCGAGCCCAGCCATGCCCAGGCGCTCGCAAAGGAAGTGCAAGAGATTTTGACCATCAGGCCATTCTGTGGAATCCCAACCATCCACCACGATCTTTTGCAAGCTCTTCTCCTCAGTAGAAGTGCATAGATGTGCTACATCTTTCTCTTCGAATGGTAGACATTGAGTTTGATACACCGATGATAGATCTGGGGATGTCATAATTACGAAAAAAATCGAAACCGTCTCTTGCAGCCGCCATCTTCTTGATTCTTCCCTCTATTGTAGATCAATTAAGGAGTCTCGCTGCACCTGAAATTCCCCGGGATCTCTCATGATTTAACTTTTATGCGGTCAAACCAACCTTTTTGTTGCTGGATTTCCAAGCTCTGTTATTGGTCAAATACACATTTTGATATCATGCCTCCCCGTTCGCTGGTCCCTTCCCATGTTGGTTTCTGTCAAACTCCCAATCCGTCGCTTGCTTCACAGTCAAGACCCGTTTGATCGATGCGCCAAGCGTTGTGAGACTGTATCCACTTCTTTGTTGGCAACCAGTTACATTTACCAAATGATATATATATATATATTACATTTATATATTATATTTATATATTACATTTATATATAATCTACTACTTTTGTATAGGTCATATTTTGCCCCCCCAACCAGTTGTTTCCGGTTGGATGTCCCAGGTACCAGCTGGGCATCTCCCAGGGACACCAAGGGTACCATGGCCTTCAACGAGCGCACGGCGCAGCGGAGCTTCTGCTGCAGCTGCGACACGAAGTGCTGCTCCTCCTGGAAGGTGGGCCCAGAGGGTTTTGTTACTTTCGGTTACTGCATCTAAACTCATCTTACCATATCTTACCAACAGATCACAGATAGTTCATCACCAGAACCCCTAGTGAAATATGGATTACCAAGCCAACTTAGCTAGTATACTGGGATATGGTATAGGCACAGGTGGTTAAATGGGGAATGCGGGGACGTGGGTAGGTTGGGATCGGATAGGATGATGTTGGTTCTTGGAAGAAAAAAAGGGTGTCATCTAAGCAACCAAACAATCTGGAGATAAGCCATATTAACAAACATGGGAACAGGAGTTGGATGCTGGTGGATGGTAGTGAAGGGACGCAGAAACTCTCAAACATTGGGTTTTAGAAAGAAAACATGTGATTTCACCAACATGACATGGGAGGGATGTAGAAAGACAGAAAGATACATAATAATTATACTGTAAGCCTTGCATTGATTCAAAGAATTCTAAGTGATCGGAATGATGGGAGGCATTGGGGCGGGCTGTGGCATGATCCAGAATCAATGGCTTCACCAAATCGAGCAATGAAAAATACAGCTCATTCCATTAAAAATTACATATACTGGTTGGTTCGTAGGTATCTCTATCGGGGGGGTTTTATAACCCTGCATGAATTAGGTAGTATCGCCCCCCTGTATTACAGTAACCAACAATGATGATTCAATAGCTCAATTGCACGCTATTTCATAGCTACTTGGTGCATGAACTAGTGAGCAGTTTTTATTTGATGTGGCTATGGTGAACAAATACACCAATAGTCAATACCAATAGTCCATGGGTGGAGGAGATGCCGCTGGTAACACCCAACAGCAAATTGCTGGATCATTTGGGTCGCGCATTGTAAGAAACACATACATTGAACTTTCAGAAACACCATAATATGGTCTTGAACATCCCAAGTCCACTCCCTACTACTTTAGTCTTCAACGAAGTTTGTCGGAATTGCCGTTGCTTCATCTCTCGTTTGCCGACAATCCAACTGAAAAATGGGGTTGCCCCAAGAGTTCTGGCGGGGGATCGCCGGATCACCATCAGTGGTTGGTTTCGGTGGCCGCTGCAGTATCCCCCAACATTGGATACAGCAATCTACATATAGAACAACCATGAAATCATGGCGTCGTTAGCTAATCAGATATCCATGGATATCCATGGAACATGAAGCCAAATCATCCAAACTCCCCCCAGCAGCTTCCTTCAACCACTTTCCCTGCTGCACCAACTTCTGTGAACCACCGCAGGAATGCCCGAAGGCTACTGAAGCATCCTGGGATGCAAAACACGACAGGCAAGAAGTTTGGCCCCCCGAAAATGGACACAATACAGTATCATGACTGGAAATCTGTGGATATGTTGATATGTTTCCGGAAGATCACACTGAGAATACCCGGCTCAACTAGTTGGTATATAGAGCATCAGATTGATTCTTCCTTCATCCTCGGGTAGTTCCATTCTTCACTGGACAAAAATCTGGGATAGATCAGGTGGGTACAGTATCGGATCAGCTGGGTTTGGGCACATGAAACAAATGACACATGTGAAGAATCGAAAACACCGCAAAAAAAGAAACAACAGAATGAAAAACATGACAAACAATTGAGAAAAAGAAAAACGCACCATGAGAAACCATAGAAATATGACCGACATGACTTGCCAACAAACCATTAAACATCCTTCATTGATTCATTGATTCAATCATGATCCTTTTCTCATCCATCTGAAGAAAAACATAGATATATATAGAAAAACATAGAAAAACATTCATATTCGACCCTTCTATCTTCAACCAAAACAATGTTTCGAAGCAGCCGAGGGCCAAGAAGCCAACAACAGCTTCAGCAACTCGGAATCCAAGCCTTCCACCTGGCGCAACAGAATTCGTCAAAATTCTAAACACCAAACATCAAAACATGGTAACATTATATCATTTCCATACTATAATATACTATATAACATTATTCTTATTGTTCTTGTTATACCCAATATGTCTATATACATACACACACATATATATATGATATATATATATATACAGTATGTGATATATACAGGTGATATATTACATATTTTATATTCCCATCAAATGGCATCTCCCATCGGCATCCCCCAATCCTAAAGCCACTGACGCCACGCCTTGATCTCGGGACACTGCTGCTCGATGGCCTGGCAAATGTTCGGTGCTTTGTTTCGCCGAGATGTCGAACTTCACCAAGCGCAACCCGGAAATAGACCTTCAGCATCCTTTTATAGTCTAAGTTGTAGTGGTGATATAGTGGTTGTATAGTGGTTGTATAGTGGTTGTATAGTGGTTATATAGTCGTTATATATATATATATTATAAATAGTTTATATATTGTTGGTATACCATCCAGCACTACAATTCCCTTACTGCGATGGCTGCCTCGACCAGGTGCTCAGCGCCCAGCCCTTCCGCCCGCTGCAGCAGCAGCTGCAGGGCGGCTGGATGGCGACGCGACAGGGTCAGGTAGCCGCCTCACGTGGCATCGGGGCTGTTGCACTGAGGGAAAAACAAAAGGGAGCAGACCTGCAAACATGTATAAAAGTAAACGCCATAGGTTGAGAATGGTTGAGATTTCATCAATGAAAAGCCGTATTTGACAAAGATGTTGTTGACACATGTTGACACTGGATCCTGGTATGAAAATTGGGTATCTAATCTCCATGATTCACCCGTTGGACACCGACCTTCAAGCTCCACGGCAACTTTGTGAAACGTGTCGACGGCGATTTCAAGCTCCTCCAAGGTTCGCTCCAAACTATGCGTTGGGATTCCGACAAAAACATCGACATTCGGAGTAGATCGGTTTTGACGTAATTATCGCCATTATCATAATCATTGCTACCATCATCATTGTCGGTGGTTTCTTGGAACTGTTAATTATTGGAAGTTATCATTACAGTACCATATTTCATTAACAATGTCATGCTGTCATGCATAATCACACTGCACATATGTAATGATTTGTAATGAATATGTATGTCAATATTAATGTCAATGTATGCACATAATCCAATTAATCCAATCTCCTAATTTCTTCAAACATGATTCGTTCATGTTATGGTTCTGTGAGTTGCTCCATCCAAGGCCACATCCGACCCCTCCTGCAGGAGCCACATCAGAACTGGAGCCACTCCGTCGCTGCTGTCGCGCATCAAGCATGACATCAATGGTGTGCCTGCTACAACAGCAGTGATCAAGGAGGTACAATGAAATAATGGGGATAGTCCCAAGATGTCCCAAGAATATGGGGGCATCATTGGATATTAACGGATAATAACGGACATACAATGACATACATATATAAACGGATCGGATATCATCAAATTAAAAAATGTGGGGTCCTACTGTTGATGACTAACCTTATCCTTAGAGATGCTGTAGCGCCTTAAAGAGATCCATGGATTTGCGTGGAAACACCGCAGCCAAACTCGGGCTCCGCACCAAACTCGGGCCACAGATCCAGTAGTTGTGCCCGAACTGTGCCCTTAGCGACCGTGGCTTCTGAGGTACGTGGAGACGTGGGATGTCACAGCAGATGGGGTCACAACATTTTGGATCCTCAGAGTCCTGATGGTTTTTGAATGAGGAAAATCAAGGTTGACCGATGTTGGTCATGTTTTGCATCAGTCAAATTGCTGCGGAAAAGTGGATATCCCCTGACATTAATATGTGTGTCCATGCCAAAATTCAAGATCATGGATGATTCAAACGACAAAAATGCAGTTCAGCATTTCCATGATTATTTCCCAACATTCAACAAACACATCCCACAGAATTCAACGGGTTTCCAGGTCTAGAGCTATGCTACAAGGCACCACCTGGCACTTGAAGAGCGCGCAGAGTCCTGGCTCCGCTGGAGCTGCCCCGCACTGGAGGCATCACCACTCGACTGGGCCAACCATTACCAACCACATTGTTGTGGTAAAAGGAATGGAACTGTCAGTCATCAAATTATTCAGAGTTGATTCAATAAACATTGCGGATGATCATCACTCCTCGCCGAAACAATTATCGGAGAGTGTCACTATGATAACGTCATTGATGGTTAGGCTCCCATTTCTTACATGATGATTGCTTCCTTACGAGTACCATGAACAATAAATTCACAATCATTTTTGTTGGCAGAAACCCTATAGTTACCCATATCATATCATACTTTCACATGACTCAAATTCCGATTGATCAAAATTGCTGAAGAGTTCAAAATGTTCAAAACCTAAGATCTCGTGGATTTACACAACCTTTGAAAACCCCATCATGTTTCCGTTGAAATCCATAAACCCATGGGTTTTCCCATGGTTTTTCCATGGTTTTCCCATGGTTTTTGCACCATTTCCCAACGGTTTCTGCATGGTTTTCCCCATGGTCCACCTGCAGCCGCCAGGGGCACCGTGGAGCTGTCGGCGTCGGTGAGGTGCATCAGCAGGCTGCGGAGGGCATCCTGTCAATGAGGAAACACCATGAGGTTCATCATAGTTCACCACCAATACTACCATTACAGTATATCCCTTATATTCCCATTATATATCCCATGAAAAAATGGGTCATTACCATAGTCATCACATTATCTGGTTGGGGGTTGACCTACCCCTCTGAAAAATATGAAAGACAATGGGAAGGACTATCATATATAATTATTGTGGAAAATAAAAAATGTATGTATATATATATGTACCAAAGATATTCATAGCTGAAGAATGTGATATGAATATGAAAGGCATATAAAAATACACACAACAATTATTGCTATACATACATATATATATATATCATATATATATGATACACATATGATGGGTAAAGTCGCCAGCAAATAGTGCAACTTTCAAAGATGGCGCATCAAATGGTACAGCCCACTCATAGGTGTAGAATGTGTGCACAATGGGCGAATGTATGGTGAATGCTGTCGGTAAAGTTGGGATATGATCTTGGGCAGCAACACAGATTGGGGTCTTAACCAACAATGATCCTGGATAGCATATTGGGTTTAGATTCTTGCGGCTACGTTGGAGGTATTGTGTTCACAATATGTATTCCCAAGTCCAATGCGAATATCATCAACCTTTATTTGTGTAAACCATAAACTCCCGGCTTGCAAAATAAACGGGTCCGTCACCCTTTCTGGGAAAACAAAGCGAAGCAAAACAAACACATTTCCACCACACATACAGTATGTTTTTCCAAAACTGTCTTTTTGCTTCCATCTGAGCTTCTAGAAAGCTACTGGACAATTTTTCCCTTGTCATTCCATGTATTGCCTCCGGTATTTGTACTAAGCTATACTCCATTTTCATGCATTTACCATTGTTTGGTAAATTTCACTCCACACCCAAGCTTGTTGGGTTGACGAACAGTATCCGGGATATCTTTGGTGCACCCTCGTCAAGTCCGGTGGATTCACATCGTCAACCCCCCAAGGCAGGAAGCCCAATTTTAATCCCATGATCCCCACAAATTAGCAGGTTCACCCAAAAAATCACAATCCCCAACTTGAATGGGTTCATTCTAAACGAATATATATATATACATACAGTATATGTAAATATGTATATGGATATGGATATGTGTGTTAACCTAGTAAACATCAAGGGTTTCTAAAACCTGGAAACTGTATCTGTATATACTGTATATCCGGATATCCATATCTCTCCATATTAAAGAAACACAACCTGATCTATATATCTAAATCTAATGGATTTTTGGGAAATCCTGGTGGTAGAACTTGCCAGATCCTCAGCGCACCTGCCGGATTCCTTCAGCCGCCAGCTCCTCCGATGCACACCTTGGGCAACGATGTGAAAAGGGGGGTGGGGGGTGAGAATCAACTATTGTACCTTCCAATATATTGAACGATTGAACGATTAACCGGTATTATCTGTGTACTTTATCTGTATATCTATCTACTATCTATATCTGTATACCTATCTTTGTGTAGCCAGAATTACCATCTATATCTATACCATATCTATATCTATCCCTGTACCTATATCTATCTATCCTCAATCTATGGATCTATCTATGGTCAAACCCTGTTTTCAGCGAGTCTAATGATCAGATCTATTCTCTGATTGCAAGGGCGACAAAGGCGATCTCAAGGTCCACGGCATTGGAATCTCAAGATCCGGTTACATGGGTCTATAAAAATTAAATCACATAGGCTCTCTGGACCAAGCAGGGTGAATTCATGGACATGTGGTGCTTTCATCCATGAAACGGCTTGATCTGACTTTAAATTGGAAATAGAAAATCTTGCAAGAATGTTTATGGAGCAATTGGGAAATTTAAAAATGAGTTCGAACAAAGGGTATTGATCTGGGTATCAAACAAACTGGACAGGGGAACCTGTTGAATACAATAACGGTTTAATTAACAGCTATACCCATCTCTATATATATAATATATATGTTTATCCTATCTGTGCCTGTACATATCTTTATCTATATATCTATTTAGCTGTATCTAGATCTCTCTCTATATGTCTCTTTATCTATCCATTTCTATTCTATATTTATATAGACCTATATCTCTGTATCCACCCATAGCTATCTAACAACCAATCCAATCTAACCCAACTTAATCTAACCTAATCCAATCAAATCTAAGTCGACTCGAAATATCATCTAATTCTAACCTATCTATCTACCTATCTATGTATCTAATCTTATCTCATCTCATCTCAATCTCTTCCAATCTATCTGTCTATGTATCTAGCATTATCCAATCATTTATAGATTGATTGACATATCAATTGTAAAGGTATACCTGAGTGTATGGATCCAAGAAACTGTGGAAGTGGAAAATACCGCTATATTTGGAGATTATTCCATTGCCATGTTTGATGACCAACGTGTAGACTCCTTTCATTCTGGGCAAATTATTCTAACTCTCAGAAAAAAAACGCAATAAACCCATTTTGGGGTGGTTTCCTTTAGGGTCAGGTCACCTCAGGTCGTTGTTCGCTGTAATTTCCCCAGATCCGACGTCCAGGCCGAGATGCAACGTGGACACCAGGTGCCTTGCTGTCAGATAAAACGTCAATAAACATCATTATTTTCATTTATTTTCAAAAAATGGTGGAATATGAAACATGGAAAAAATGGTGGAATTATTTTCATCTTTCCATGACTTACTTGTGCTAAACGTAGGGAATTTTCGGGAATGATCCACTGGCTAACTATCAATGTCATCATCCCAGCAACCCCCAGCAACCCATCCATTCCCTACGCAAAACGCACCAGTAAAATGATCCGACCTATCATTTTTTCCATGTCCCCACGTTTTCCCCATGACTTTCCCACCAGAGATCAGCCTCAGTGCCGTGGTGTCCCGCAGCAGCTGCGCCAGCAAGGCTTCGGGTGTCTCCAGGGTGAGCTGCGCGGTGCCCGGCAAGGCCTGGAGAGAAAAAAATGGTGCTATGGATGGTTAAACTGCAATAATATGTGGATATGTGGTGTATATGTGATAAATTATGGTAAATTATTTTGGTAAATTATGGTAAATTATGACCATTTGAGTCATTTGAGTATGGTTTTGGAGATCCCCCATTTTAAGAAACCTCCATATGTATACGTATATGAATATGGTCAATTATGGCAAATTATCATTATATAATTATATCTATAGTATAATTTGGTAGAATATGTCATACCACACTAACATGTATTGATGTACTAGATGAATGGGGTTATTAATCAATTTATGGTTCGTTAATTATTAGGTACGGGTGAAATTTAATATGTACAATATGTATACTGTATATACACACACATGAATTATTAGGATACTGAATCAATCAAATGGTGGGTTTAACTTAGAAATATTGTGATATTACAGAATGTTCCCTAATAAAATGGTAGCATAGTGATTTAACCAACAAGAATAGGACTTTAGATGGTGATTCAAACCAACCATAATGGTCGTATAATATGGTATAATATGGTATAATATGGTATAATGCTTTAAAAGCTTTTGGGGGGAAGATAATTGAGATTAATGGCCATTACAAGGGGGATTTAACCATCAACTTGGCGATTACCGGGATGATTGTTGGGGTAATCAGGGCTGTTAGTGGGTCAACACCATGGTGTGGATGTGATTGGAAACTCCCCAAACATACTGGAACTGAATGGGAATGGATCCGTACAAATGATAGATTGATAGATTATAGATCTGGTTCTGGGACCAAATGTTTTGTGAAACATGACCATAAGTTGGTTGCTCATTCTGGTTGATATCAGGAACCACGTATTTATTACCTCCTTCTACAGTAGGAGAACCCATACAGAAGGAACAGTTCGGAACAAAATGATGTCAGCAACAATTGACACAATGAACCACAGGCCCAATTATGGTATTTTGGTTCAATGACCTCATGTTGGTAAATATGTTGGTCAAGTATGGTTGGTATTGGTGAGTTTTCCCTGCAATATTAATCTTGGTGGGAATCAAAAGGGTATCCCAAGGTTATGGGAGTGTAGAACGGGTAATTTAACAACAGGTTATTGAGATCTCGAAATATAATGCCTGTCTTTATAATGGTCTTGTGCGTATTAGTTCTTGGGGATACATTTTGCAGATTTAGTGAATTCCCAATTATTCCACCAACCAGGATTTATCCTATGATTGGTGATTCATTTAGGAGTACATTTGGGTGACCAAACGTGTGTTTTCTCTGGGGGTGGGGGGTACACCTGTACATTGAGCAACTTTTGAAAGGTGTACTACATGATAGGTGGAAATTCGGCTCAATACTTCAGTTCATTGTAATTCAACATTAGGGATGGCACAAGTGCTGTCATTCATCAATTGCTGCAACCAGATGTTCAGGAATGGAAGCGCGATTAGATGGGCAACGAAGCTGGTGATCATCAAAGTCGACCGCTCAACTTGAAACATGGTATAATCTGCAAACACTGTCGTCATATACCAGTAAAACTGTGATACATCGCACCTAAATCATTGAAACTTGCAGGGTGGGTTTGGAGACGAGATGCGATGAGACTCATTTTCTTTAACCAGGATTCGATTGGTACATGTCAACCTAGGTGTTCCCATTTAGATTATGAAAAACAAATGGATGTTTCCAGAAATCGGGGTACCCCCAGTTCTCATCCATTTATAGTAGGATTTTCCATGAAATAAACCATCCAGCTTTTGGGATACTTCCATGTATCATTTATGGAAAACCCCAAATGGCATCAGTCCAGGAAAAAATGTAAACCGTCACCAAGAGACCTGCAACTGCGAGATGGATTGGATCACTTCCAGCTCTAAACCCTGACCTTGGTGATCATGGATTTTCATCCCATTTTCAGAGATGCAATTGCCCACAGCAAATAGAACTTCAATAGACCCATCAGTTTTTTTGGGAGATCTGAAACCCACATTTCCATAATTTTCCCACATCATATTCCATGTACATCCATTTTTGGTGGTTCTATTGCCATTCAGCCTGCCAAGGAGCTATGGATCAACACTGCATGGGGCACCTCACAGGCTGATGCTTCACCACGCGAGAAACTCCCCAGTTTGTTTCTGGCTAAATCCTATTGATTTTTCTATTGTTAATGTTCCTTCCCATTTTTATCCTATTGATTGTTCTATTTTTTAGAATTCAACACCAGTTTTTTTTCCTAAACACCCTGTTGAAACACAATGTGTTCCATCTTTTGGCCCCTATTCAACCACCCATTACAGTACACCGTTGGTTCAAAACCACCAAGTTTTCTCATTACCATCCCAAATCAACAGTGTTGATATATGTCATAATCCATTGTCACTCTCCATTGACATTATTTGTTATCATGAACAATATACCAGTATAAACATTGTCACTATATGTCAATACATTGGTTATATGGTCCATACTCAGTGTTGCTTAATCAGTACATGAAAATTCTGGACAGTGGTTCATATAGGATTCGGACATTAATGGACATGGTTGGTTAATGTCATCCATTCTCCACTGTTCCATAAACCCTGGTTGGTGGTTTCAACCCCTCTGAAAAATATTAGTCAGTTGGGATGATCCTTCTCATATATTATGGAAAATAAAATTCATGTTTGAAACCACCAACCAGATCACGATCATATTCCCGTTGTTGTTGATTTATACCCTATTAACCACTATTAATATCACTATTAACCATCATTCTCCAAACCGCGCCTCAAACGCCTTCGCCAGCTGCTCCAGCTGCATCGGCCAGGGCCGATGGGCCCAAAAGTGCCACGTCTCGACAGAGGCTCCGGAGGACACCTGGGCGATGGCGGCGGAAGTCCCAATCTTTAAGCAAGCATAGGGGAAATAGGGGAAATCATATCGAATATATATTAGGGCATAAATGAACTGAACCATCATGGGGATAAAACGGGAATTTCCCGGTACCTAAGTTTGATCATTTCACCAACCAACTTTTGCGGGTCGGCCTAACATGTTGCAAAACAGGCCTATGCCTGGATGTTTCTCAGCCCAACTTTGTGCTTGTTTGGTATGTTTCAACATCATCCCAGATGTTGTACATCTTTATCCGAGAAAAGGTGCCTCTGAAAATAGGGCACCCCAACGCTCATGATTTATGATAACTTTCCACATGAATATATTAAACTGGAAACAAGTGTCACATTATAAATCCCAGTTTTTGCTCAAACACTTCAGACAAATACACATCTCACTTGGCTAAATGACCACACACCCATATTGTCCATACTTAGTACATCCTGCAAAAGAAAAAAAACATCCAACAGCAATATCCCCATCGTATAGATCTATGAGCGATGAGTTATGAATATTCTGCGGTGATTTCCAAAGTTGGAAATATCTACCCATAGCATATTTATCAAACAAATAATAAATATATATAGTATAGATCTACACAAATACCATTTACTTCCTAACATCCATCTAATATCTATATTAATGGAAGTATGAGTACTAATATCTAATATAAAACCATAGAATGGGGATATTAGTATATTATATTACCTATCCCCATTCTAAGTGGCCCATTCTCCGCGTCCATGGCGCCCTGAAGTCCATCGTGCTCTCGGCGCTGTCGCTGCCACACTCCGTGCTATCGTAGGAGCCCTGGCAGTGTCTGGGAAGTCACCGGCAAATGACATTTAATATATTGATATAGGATTTTCCATTATAAACCATCCATTTTGGGGCATCACCATTTTACGCAATCCTCATATGTATATGTATATATATATATATATTTAATGTATAGACCTCTATCACTATGTATCATTATGTATCACTATTTTCATGTTTTAGGATGTTTTACTGTTCTATCTTCGGGGTGTGCTATACATGGGATAAATGGGATATAGTTAGGATGCAGTTCGGACGTGCAACTGGATATACTTCTACATATGTAGTGATCAACCAAACATCTCTGATACAGCAATGTAAGTGGGATATCACATTATACCATTGATATAAGTTATGGATCATATCTAAATGATCCTTGGTTGTCTCGCAATCGTCAGTTATATATATGAGGCCATGAGTTGCTTCATCCCTGATATTGGTTCTCCCATGTCCCAGTCCAGGGACAAAGCGATAGTGACACATGATACCATGGCATACTTGAAGCTTTCTGCTAGGGCTATGGGTCAAAACTGGTGAAGCCTGAGAATGGATCATCGATACTAAGCACAACCAGTCCATTGTTCAAGTTTGACTCATATAGTTTTTTTACTCAACTCTCTATGATCTCTGGCCATTTCACCAAATTTATGGGCATACAAGCTCATCTCCTTAGAAGATCCATCAAATGAGGGGAATTATCAATCCAACATCAACGTCACCGGGTTTCAGGCAAATCTGTCAATATCTAACATATCAGATATATCAGGATTGGGTCTACTGATGCATTCCCCATGATTCCCCATGCACCTCCAACATCTGTTGAGCTTCGTTGCATGCAGCCATCTGAAAACCTTGCGCAAGCCCGGGGAACGCCGGGGAAGATACTCATAATTTGCCAATCCGCGCGTAGCAATCAGAAATGGGGAGATAATCCGGATAATCTTTCAACAATTGGACACGTTCGCCCATCAAGCCATGCTCCCACCCAGCCATGTCCCAAGCATGTCAAACATTGCGGTCATGGGGCAATGGTGGCACACATTGTACTTGCAGTTGTGGGTGCATCGCCAATAGCTGGTATGCGGCCCAAAGCTTTTATTGCAGGCGTGGCACGTCTTCTTGTCCTGCGCTGCTTAGACTTGGTCAAAGCCCCACGTCAATCTGGCAGTCCAAAATGGTAGGCTTAGCTGCCGATCTTGAATGAGATCACTTCATGCCAGGGTCAACTGCTCTCCAAATTCACAGTTTATTCAACATATTCAACTTTCAGAAAAAACAAATCCATACAAATCCATCTTACACCTTCAAATCGCATGTCAAACATATCAGACAATCATTTCCTCGCCATGGAGCCCGCCCCTCTCACAGTCCAGGTTCCCGCGACCCGCTCCTGCCACCACCCAAAGGGGTCGCCTTTTCTGTGGATGGCCTCAGCGAATTGGTGGCTCGCCTCGCTTCACGGTAAAACCGACGTCACCCCCCCGAATTTCAGATCCCCAAAAATCAACTTGTGTGGTTATACCCATGATTATACCCATGATTATAGTGAAGGGACCTGCTTAAATATGATTTGTATTCATCAAGAAATATGTGCAGTTTTGTTCATCCAGACCTGCACTTTGACAACGGGTCATGACCACACCTTTAACTTTTAGTCGGATATAAGCTCCTTAGCTACTGTATCTTACCCGAAAATTACACAAAAAAATAACATCATACACAGTGTCTGTATGGCTACAATCCATCCATTCTCCATTGCTGGATGTTGATTCCCCCAGTCATATGCTGGTAGGATTTGACCCATCGTTCCAGCCATGCATCCAGGATACATGTCCTTCCGGACATCGCAAGGCACTATGGTGCGGCACGGCCGCCGGGCACTCAGGACTGGGCCTGGTCTACTTAAATGGTGGGTAAACACCACATGTTACGGCAGGGCATAAAATAGTTATATATATGATCTGTAATGGTGAGATAACATGAGATAACTAGGACGTGTATAATATCAATAATATCATGGCCTGGTTAAAATATCACGATTCTTCAGCTATAGAATACAACCGCGTTACCTACGACATGATTGGTGAGTGACACATCGTGGAAACATGTTACCCCCAAATAAAAGGAGGTGAATCGAAAACGCTGGAAACCAACAGCAGCGAACATTGGGACTTAACGAAGGATTGTTCAAGTATTTTCAATGCAATCAACATTTCAGATACAAAATGAGGGATGCTAATGCTAATGGTATATTATATTACTATATAGGAAACAGAACAGAAAGTAACAGCAGTAGTAACAGCCCAATTATTAACAATTGTCATACTAAAAGTGGCAAACCACACAAGTAGGCGAAGCAACCTCCATAGTCACTGCATCCACTCACCATCACCCCACCAACATCCACGACCCATTCTTCCTTAAATGCAATATTTCACTATTGTATCCGCTAAATGGTAACACACCTCAATTAAGGGGGAATTGACTACTACAACTTTTACCCTGTGAGACATACAACAACATCTGCAACAATTTGCTTGGTATGACTATGTCAATGTAATTCCCCAATCAATTTTGATACAACCATTAGTGTCTGAAACAATTGGGTATATCCTCCAAATGGCAACGTTTAAATTGGAAACATATTTAATCAGTTGATTTAGAAGCTGTTCCAACTTGTTTCCTCAATTTTCGACTGCTCAAAATAGGGAACATGGATACCCTTCACCGCTCCCATCGCCCCCCATAGCTCGCTACCCTTCACCGTCCCAGGCGCGTCGTTCCCTTCGCACGCAGCAGCAGGTTCTGATCTGCTAAGGGCTGTAGGAAGCCGATGGCCTCATTGGACGTGGCGAAGCGGAAGTCCTTCCTGGGCGAGCCGCGACGAGCCGCGAATGGCCGGAGATGGCCAATGAAATTTGGGATCCCACATGAAAATGGTGGATTCAATGGGAAAATCGGCTATTTTAATGGGTGAATTATAAATTTAATCCTCAAACAAAGAGATTTAATGGGATTTAATGATGGTATGATGGGTAGAATAGGGATCTAATGGTTTGGTTTAATGGGGGTTTATCGAATATCGAACTGTACATTATTGTTGGATTCAGTGGGATTTAACCATCAAATCAAACATAGAGATTTCATGGGGTATTAATGGGATATGAATCGGATATGAACGCGATGTAATTCGATGAAAGGAAATTGCGACAAGAACGAGACAACCATATAGTATATATATATATATTTATATCTATTAGATTCTATTCGTATATCTACCTGAAAATATAAATCACCAGAAAACTCGAAACATTGATGAACATTGCACTTAGTACAAAATAATAATCTGTAAAAAAACTGTTTTTGTGCAGTTCCAGGCAGATTTTAGGGGTGGAATTGATAAGCAACCTGGCACTTTGGCACTGCTCATGTCCAAGGAAATTGAAGGCCAAACAGAAAGACACCACTGAGCTGTTTCATTCCCCAACTTGAAATTGGCTTCTGGCTACTTGAAATGCTTACATGTTCTTTTTTCACTTCTTTCTGGCCTCTAAAATTCTATGAGAAACATATGCTGTGTTTTTCGGATACCCTAGGGTAAACTAACATAGATGTGCAACATCCACTATTTGTAGATGGTTTTCATGAGGAAACCCTGGTTTTCCGCATCTATGTCAGTGTAATACCTTCATTGATTGGAAGCCGTGGTTATTCAAATGCAAGGTCTTGGCAATTTTTCCTCTTGAACATTTGTCGATATCAGGCCAGTCTAATCAGCTCCCATCTTCCCCCAAATATTGCTATGATAAATCATGCCAAATCAGTTTGTATGCTACAAATATCAAACACCCATGTACCAATGTACCAAACAGGCAGTCACCCACCGCAAAATCAAACGTCAAGCATCCCTTTGATTACAAAACGCAGAGCTCTCCGTTGATCCTTCAATTTCAAGGACCTCGGCCATGTCTCGTGGTAGGCTAGTAGGCTCGTGGTAGGTTCCCTACAGAGATTGGGAACAAAGAGTTGGATAAGTGATGGAGACGGAACATTCCGAATCAAACACTAGCCATAGGAAAATACATTCAAGAAACATACATGATTTGAACAATCATCATTTGATAGGTCATTCTAGATCCAGCAAGCATGTCAACAGGATACATCACAAAGGTAGGATTGATTCCATCTATAGTGGAGAAAATATGTGGGACCGCTGTATATAGGTTGAACCATGCATGAACCCACCAAACAGTTCCAAAATGCTAGAGGAAGAAACCTGAAGATGGAAACCAACTGTATCAAAATATAGGAAAAACATTCACATAAACTACACGAGCCGTTTCTGAGTTCTTCTTCCGGCCTCAATGTCATTGCCCTTTCTACGGATGGTAATAGTTGTAAAATATATTAAAACATATACAGTGCCCCATTATATCCCCATTCTAATCCTATTATATCCCCATAAATGATTGCTTGAACCCCTAACCCAAAAGATGATTTCTTCATACATATATATATATATATATAGTACTTCTAGTGTAGGGCCAACTTCTGTTGCGACAAACTCGCCAGTGTTTTTCCAAATCATGAATCCAATTGGGTTTGTCTGAAAATAAGCCACCCAGAAATCCATTGGTTCCTCATCATATCATTACTGTATCCCTATTGAACTGGCTATTTTATAAGTACTCAACCCATCTTCAAACGCCAAAATATCATTGCATTTCCCATTCCCAATATATTCATATATCCTCATGATCTTCCCATAAGTGGTTGTCAAAATTGGCAAAACCCACATTTTTTTTTGCCCAAACAAAACACACGGCGGACCCAGATGCTTCAACTTCTGCAAGGTTTGCTCCACGCTATCACTATGCCAAGCCGAAGCCAGGCCTTGCGCGGATGACCGGGGCCAACATCCTACGGATATCATAGGGGATGCCATCCTGTGGGTAAAACAATAAACCAGCCATGACTGGGAATGGTTTATAGATAGCACCTATATATTTATGGTGATGACTGGATGGTTAGGGATGGTGCAGATGGCATTGTCTCAAACCCACTTTGCTGTGGATTTAATGGGATTTAACCAACAACAATGGGAAGATAATGAGGATATAATGCCATATTTGGGGATAGAATCGGATTTACCCTCTGGTCATGTAACACTTTGCCCAATAGAACATCACCAATATCAACTGGAAATGTGCCATTTTTCATACTTAGCTATGTTACATGGATATAACGGGTAAAACTGATAGGTATAACTTGAATGGTATATCCATGAACATTTTGGTGTACCATGGTGTACCCATTAGCCCATAGTATGGGTATAATATGGTATAATCATGGGACAATGGGTGATATGGGTATACTACAACTGATTGGATATTTCATGGGCCTAGCTGTTCCAAAGAGACCACCGATTTTACTGTGGAACAGCTTGGTATCGGAATCTACCATCGCCACTCATGACCTCGCAGGAATTCACGTCTTGTGATGAAAAACCATACTCCATATCAGCCCATATCCATCCATATCCTAGTTTTATTGCTAGTACATTCACCAACAGATGTTACGGCTAATTTGTCCCTAAACTGGGATAACTTGAGATAAAATCCACTTTCGTTGCATCTGACCCGACCATTTGCTGGATCTGATTTGGTAGTTGAAACGCCTGACTGCTTTTAATCCTGTTGCTAGTCTTATTCGATACTCGGGATGCTATATCCCCAATAAACCAGTGATACTGCTGACTACCCGCAGCTTTCGCTATGTCAGCAATACCCCGTTGTGATCAGTGTGCACTAACCCACACTAACCCACCCAAAAGCCATGCCCAGCCTGTCTTCAAGAAACTTGCATCTGAAAAAGTCCATCGTATCATGGCGCGAAGCTTTCTGCGAAGCTTTGTGTGATCTTCTGGAACTTTTCTGACCCTATCTACCTCTGGGAATTGCTGAATAAAAGGCAATGTAAGCATCCCAAACTGCTGTTCTAGTCCAACTTGACTCAGCACAATTTAGCTCAGAAGATCTCAGAAGTTTTGACGATTTCGTCACGTACAAGTTCAGCTATGGGGACACGTCATCGCGAGTTTCGGTCTGCTTCAATTGTTGGGCATCCAGCCCGGTTCAATGCTTCGTATGATCAGCAAACTTACAACTGACAGCTGCGGTAGCCATGGCCCGCATCTATTCTGATTGGCTGATCTTAGTTCGCAGATTTGCGTGTAATGATCCCCAGTAAACGACTTGGTATCGCTTGGTATAACCCTGTATTATCTTAATAAAGAACAGGGATTCTGGCCATTGTAGATCTGGATCTCTTCTCTCTATTTGCTCAAGTCATTGGTCGGTGGAAATCGCCGAACATTTTTGGAAATGAAACGTCTCAAAACATTGTCCACCAGCATGAGGCCCACTATCGCAATCTAAGATCCATCTGCGTATGATGTCCATTCTGATTGACACCACCAGCCGCAGCACCAGCCCCATCCCTCAAGGAGGGGGTCTGCCTTCTTTTCAGCTTCTGCCTTCCGTGAGCAGCTGCTTGCGTGCTGGACCAATCTTAAAAATAAGTTGGTTGGTTATTTGAATAATACATGATTATTGTTATTTGAATAATACATGATTATTATATATAATAAAACTAAATACGTGCCATATGTGCATATAATATATTGTAATACGGTGTATATATATAATATATATATGTGTTACAAAAAAATAGCCTGATGATGGAAAGCTTTGTGACACTAATTGTGCGACCCATTTTCAAGGCCCATGGCTTTCCTGTTTTTCCTAGGGGTTGTGCGGTTCGATGGAGATTTAATGACTGGACTTGAATCTCACCATCAACTGGAAAGGTCACACCTGTGGTTTCCAGGTCTTTCTCCCATCAATATCGGTATTCACATTGCAACCCCCAAATTTATCGTTTTGATCCCATTTGTTGTTTACAGTGGAGAATCTCATCGGTACCCTCTAAAAAACTTCCCGCCCCATGTCCCATTCCGCTGGGGCAACCCGGGTGACTTTCGCTCCTTATCCATGACCTTCTCTAGGACAGATGGGATGTCCAAAAAGTCGATTTCCTGGCGTTTTTTTTGGGAGAATCTGATAAGGAATAGATATAGATATAGATATAGATATAGATATAAATTAGATAAGATAAGATAAGATAAGATAGATATCGGCAAACTGCCAAGATTAGGTTTTGGTGATTTTGGCGAGTTCTCCAGTATCAAAAGCGTCATACACATGGGAGTATTCCACCAACAGAAAGACGAGGTTTACCAACGGAAATGCGATTTCACCAGCAATCATGGTTCTATAGTGAAGCAGTGTGAATTTGAATGGTGGAAAAAGGAATTCTTGCCTGAACCAGCAGGGGATAGAAAATGTTTGGTTAAATGGTTAAGGCATTATTGTTTGCTGGTGGTTGTCCCAAGGCAATTTTTCTGCACCTGATCTGGATAAATTGTAGCGATCTCACTACGACCTCACCGAGGGTCTTATGTCTTCCGTCTTCCGACGTGTTTCATGCTGACTTGCAGCAAAAGGTTCCACCTACTCAAAGAATTGATTTAAGGGAAATTCGACACCCTTGGGTTTTTACCCCCGAACCTTGCGGGTTTCAACCGCGCATGTTCTGTTTTCGGCCAAGACACATGATATTTCCAATCAAAAGGGTTTCTCTATTGTGTTACAGTATCTTCCTCTCCAGATAAATACAGAACTAAATACTCGCTGAAAAGATACTTCATCCCTCAAATCATACAAACCTAACTTATTCCCAAACAGTGAAAACCACAAGTCTATGGGATACATGGTGCTTACATGTGTTTACCCATCTAATGAATCTAATGCTTCAAAGACACACAAAACAACTGTAGTGATACATGATCATTACGTTGTTTAGTGTTTATCCATCTATGATCATATTAGTCCCCAGAAAACACCTAACTATGTAATCCCCAGATATACATACATAATTATATATAAAATTATAACAGAAACATATCATGACAATTCATAACATATCTGTATGGCATGGTATGGCTACATCCTCTCAGCTTATCCCACAGCACCTTGGTCAGAAGCAACTCCACCGCCTGTTCATTGGCCGCCGATAGGATGGCAGGCCTCACTTGCGGCGCGGCTTGTTCCGCCAGGGCCACCGTTGTTTGTGTTTTAAGATAGGGATGTAATGGAATGTATAGTGTATAGAAGACAGAAGAGCTATCAGGTTTATAAAGATTTGCCTCAAATTCTGTTTCTTGTGAGATTCCCCGCAAACGACTTGTGCTACACGTATAATTAGAATGTAGTCGCTTCAAACTCCTTCCGTCTGCCGGACATTCTATCTGAGCCACGTCGTTTCTGGTGCCTTTAAGGCCAAATTCACATGACATATCAACTGTCAACATCCATCAACGTCATAAACCCTATGATGTTACGTGATTTTCTCAATTCCAACTTTGACCCATGTCCATCACAGCCTCCACGGTCGGCGCTTATTCCCCCGGCAATCAGCATCATTAAGCTTACCAGCCCATGGCAATGGAAGGTTCCACAACTCTTCATATCGAAATCTGATGTTATTTACATATCTGGTGGTTGAGCCACCCCCCTGAAAAATATTAGTCAAGTCAGATTGGATCATCATCCCAACTCTTGGGGAAAATGAAATATTAATGTTCCAAAACCACCAACCAGATCACCATCATATTCCCATTGTTGTTGATGTATACCCTATTAACCACTATTAAAATATATTAAAATCACTATTGCCATTGTTGTTGGTTTATTTAATGGAAAATCACCATTTTTAATGGGAAAACTCACTATTTCTATGGCCATTTTCATATCATGAAGATAGATGGCACTGGTGATTCTCGCGATATTTACCAGCTGACCCGCTCGACAAAAGGCCCCTTGGCTTGATCTCAGAGGTGCATGGTGCCACCAATGCGACCCGCTTTGTACGCCAGGCCTTAGGAAAAAAACGGCTGGAAAATCATTGGAAAACCCATGTTCAAAATGGGTTTTCCCATGGGTTTTTCTTGATTTTGGATGTTCTGGTGGATTTTCTGTTGTGTTTTAGTGGATTTGTGGATGTTTGATTGGTTTTTCATGGATTTGTGCCTTGAATTTGTTGAAACAACTGAGCAAATTGCTGCCCTGAGCGCCCAATTGTCAAGACCTATATAGGGTTAAGCCAATCCTCTGAAATATATATATATATATTAGAAAGCCCCCCTGGGACAATCTGTTCAAAACCTGATTGGTGGTTTAAATGCTTCAACACCTCGGAAAACTGTCAACCGGGGATAATCATGAAGCCACTGTTCGGCCAAGCAGCTTCTTTCACTTTTCTAGGAAGCTGAGAATCAAACACATATCGACTGCTGGGTCCCAATGAACGTTAAGATAAAACCCGAATAATGGATCGTATAGTAATATGATATTCCCTAACATGTTGAATTTTGGATAGTATAACCTCAATACAATCAACATCAATACAACATCAATCAACATCAGGGTTTTGGACTTCACCGAGGTCCCAGCGAATGCATGGATATTTCTCCAAATCGGGTTTGCCTCGACATCGACATCGACGCGACTCTTAACGAGTCAAAAACAAACATCGACAGGTCGGTGGTTTCAACATCTTCAAAGGTTCAATGATGTCATGAAATGAAACGCCTGTCTTTGGGTAAATGTCATGAGATCCGAAGTGGAACAATGTGGAACTCCGCATCATCCTGGCAACTCATGAAATCAAGACCAACCCCCTTTGGTGAACTCCTGGGCTGTTTAATTGGGGGCATATCGGCAGACCGTTCAATTTGCGAACGAAATCCCTCTTGGGAAGAACCCCTTCATCAGGCAAAGTAACCAGGCTGGTTACTCTGGGGTTGACATTGACTTGACCAAGTGTGAAACATGAAACATATGCCAAATTTAGGACGGTTTTATCCGAACCACACGGTATTTTTCGAAGTCGACATGAGGTTTGTACCTTTCCTCATTTGATGGTACTCTAACCTGTCACAAGACTAGCGGCCGAAGGTGAGTTTCCCATCCTTTCCATCACCTTGGCGCCATGGGAGGGGCAGAGATTTGGACATCATAATTGGGCGGACTACAGTATTGATTATATATATGGAAATATATGGAACATATAATGGAATATATATGGAATATTTATAGTGGTTATACATGGGGCAAATACTGAGACTCTTGATCTTTGTTGGGCAACTGCCTAACAAGCTTGTTCCATATGGATTGCTCAATAAACTATATAATGTGTGGATGTCATATGATGTCATGAACATCTAAGGTAGCCCGTCTACAGCAGCAATTCCCAGATCTGCAGAAGCGTCAGCCAAATGCCGCTATCTGCAAGTGGTGGATGTCCCCTTCCATGTCGAGTTTGGAGGACATCACATTAACCATTAATCAATCCCTCCAAAAACGCATACAAGATACATATATACATATATATATACAAAAAATATATACAAGGAAAAATGCATGACATTCCCTGTCAACAAACAGCAACGTATATGACCATGACATCCCTCCAGAAGAAATGCACACCAAAAGAGTGAAACAATATCCGTGAAGCCACATGGGCATTTCCAAAATGGTATGTGTATATATATATAATATATATATATATACATATGTGTGTACTGTCCCCCCAAATGGTTCTTTTACCGTGGAAAATGATGATTTATACCCAAAAGGGATAATGATGGATCATGATAATGATGCAGCTCACCAATGGATTTATACCCCCATTCCCCAACCCATGGACAAAATGAGGATTTATATCCCATTTACCATCTGGTTATTTAACATAGCCATGGAAAATCCACCCATTTTTAAGTTCGGTATCTATTTCTATGGGCCATCTATACCATGGCTATGTTAGTCATAACCATAGGGTATTATCCATTATATCCCCTATAAATCCCCTATAAATCCCTATAAATCCCTATAAATCCCTATAAATCCCGATAAATCCCTATAACTCCCCATCTTAACCAATGGATTCCATGGTGGGGTCTGCCCAGCCTGCGCCATGTCTGAGCCTCCCCTGCCAATCCACCAGTCGTCAAAGTTTCGTCCGTCACGAGGATTCGGCAGATCCGCCGGCACCTCGACAAGCTGTTCCACCGCCGACGGCGGCTGTTGTTAAAAACCACTATAGTATAAAACCACTATAGTATAGTATAAATCTATATCGCCATTACACTACATCACCATATGATACTATATAACATCATTAGATCTGATTACCTGGTTGGTGGTGCAATAACCATCTTGAAAAAGATGAAAGTCAATGGGAAGGATTATCCCATATATTATGGAAAAATAGTATACCATCTGGTTATTTGTTAACAATTCGCCATGGAAAATGATGGCCCATAGAAATAGATGATTTTCCCAGCGAATGAAACCTCCATTGATAAGGGTTTCGTAGGGTTTCCTTCTAGATTTTGCAGATTCAATTGGAAAAGATGCTTACAAGGGAATAAATAAGGCAATATTTGAAACCCCCAGAGATGGTTTGAAAGCGGGGTACATGCCACTAGGATTTGGAGAATTCAGTCTTTTGACTATTGATCCTAATTTCATAGCATGACGTAATTTCACATTAATTAGCATGCTGGCTTTCAGATCCCAAACATCATTGTACAAGTCATTAGAGTCTTCGCTCAACAAATCATTAATTTTGCCCTTGTCTATAAATGGCTTTTCAGACTGAGTTGAAGCATCATGTCAGCAATTTCTCTCAGCAATTTCCATCAGTGGCTATGATCCACCGTCAGCATTGGTGTCTGGATTGGCATGTGCTGCTTACAGATTTTGCTTAGAGATGCATTGGCATACCATGGCATACCAATACTCTCGTTGCGCCCTTTCCTGAAACATCAACTGGCTTCCCCGGCGCGCGAGGGATGCGACAGGGCATAGAGGATGGGCAAACGCATGTCCTCGGCGATTGATCTGCGCAAAGATATTATAGTGATCAGTTGCTTCAGTTTACTGATATTTCATGATATTTCACGAGGGTTTATGGTGATTATATGTGGTTCCAAATTGTTCTAACATGTAACATCTAATATACAATAGCTATTATAACCAACTTATCACTTATCACTAGCACTACCTTGCGGCAGCCCGAAGAAGTAGAAAGTATGGGATGAGATGATGCAGTACCTTGAAAGTACCGGATATAAGCAATCAACAGGTGGGATTGAACCAACCAAAGAAAAACAAATCGCAAGAAAACATGGGATGCAGCGCCCTATACCGAACACCACTGCGGTTCTTGACATGCAATAGTGGAAGTTTACCAATAGAAAATCACTGACCAACCCTTGCACGCACCACACCTACTGTAAGTGGGAGGCTTTCATAATATACAAAACATGTCCTGATTAGAAACCAGGGCGCGAAACAGTTTTGTGATGACACCATGAAGCGTTCGCATGTCTATGTCAGTATCCATTTGGCGAGTCACAGGCCATCCCGTCTGCATCAAAATTGCCGTATCCTGGCTGGTTTCCGTGGGTAACATTCCATCCAGAATAACATGTAAGCAGCATAAATAGGGATGTTGAATGACCAATGAAAATGCGAACACTCTCCAGTAAACAAACCCGCTGATGGGAAATCCTTATAGCTTTTGAGCCCATTGCCAAGTTAGAGTACCAGAGGGTGAACGTTGACAGGGAAACATTTCTCATTTGGGAGTAAAATTTGTTGCGCAGAATCAGAGGGGGCTCGGTTGCGAAGTACCATGGCATTCACATCCCAAAAGTGATGTGAATTTGATGGACTCTTGATGTGTTTTGATTTCCCCATTTTCGTTTTGCTTTATTCTTGATCCATGCCCGCTTTTCCACCATCCATTTTGCAGAGTCCCTAGGTACTATCAGTCGACTCATGGATAACATCCTCATATCCGACGTCCCATATCTTCCCATCCAACTCTCTTGGGTTCTTGCTGCAAACTGATATAGTGCACATCCACTCAACTTTGGTGCGTCTCGTTTGGAAGGTGCGGTGCTTGGTGACTCTCTGCTGGGTCTGCATGGTGGTTGTCTTTGCGTGCTGGGGTCCCTAGTTCTACTAAGCTACTCTACAATCACAAGTGCAAGTTTTAGCTGTAGCAATCTTTATGATATCGTACAAGATATATATAATATAATATAATATAATATGTACATAATATATAAATTTTATAATATGATATGTATATAATATAATATATATATATATCATAATATATATATATGTAGTTTATATAAATGTAATATATATACATATAATATATATACATATAATATATATACATAAAATATAATCATATATAATAATAATATAATGATAATACTAAGAATACTAATAATAACAATAAATAATAACGACAATAAATAATAATAGCAATAGTAATAACAACAATAATAATAACGATAATAACAATAATAACAATAACATAAACAATAACAATACTACTACTACTACTACTAATAATAATAAATAATAATAACAATAATAATAATACTAATAATAGTAATAATAATATATATATAATATATATAATAACTAATAACAATAACTTATCATATGTTCTACATCATGTTGGAGCGAAAAACACATCTTGCTAAACCATCTCAAGTCCCCCCATGGGCCTGGCATTCCACAGCGCTATGAACAATCGACTGAGGGTGGATCCTCGGCAACATTCAGATCTGGTTGGTTTCAGCCCCCAGCACTGCATATCTGTCAGAGATCATCGAATCCTATGGAAATGCAAAACGACCAACCAGAGATCATCAAAGAGATTGGAATACAGATTGTACAATACTCCATATCCCGTGGCGCATGCCCAGGTTTCACCTGGCACTGAGCATCTCCAGGCCAAGCTCAGCATTGGTACACCGTATCCATGGTCAAAGAGGACCCGCCAATGTAGGTCCAAGGGTCCAAGAGTTGGGAACCCGCAACATACAGGATTCTTTAAAACGCTGAAAAAAACCTTTCAACCTGCCAAGATTGAATGGTTTCCTAGTGGTTCACAGCATTTTCAACATTCCATGAATGGAAAACTGACCACTTATTGTCCTGTCCATTGCTGGGTCCATCGGTCAGGTTTGCCAGGATCCAAACACCACCTCAATGTCATCGTATTCCACGCCATACAGCCAGTGCCTATAGGCTAGGACTTGAATGGACTTGAGAAGCCATGACGGGCCGGAATGGCCGGAAGGGTAACTTGGTAACCCCAAAAAGATAGAACCGTGATTTTCCGACATGTTTAGGGTATGATTGTTCAATCAATCTTTGTGGGGGTATAGGGCCATGTTTGGATTTCCACCTGAAATTTCAATCGTGGTGCTGCGAACCCATGACACGTAGCTTGGGAGGAACAAGAGTTTGGAAACTGAGAGCAGGTATCGTTTATCCTCCAGTAAACTATATCATAGCTATGGTTAGATCCACCGTTTTCAATGGGTCAATCATGGTCAATCAACTATAAATCACCCACTATCACCCATTTTCCGCTATCTTAGTTCACTAGTGACCGGCTAGTGACCGGGTAGTGCATGTCCTGGGCATCCCAAACGCTTCAATCACCTCAAGGCCCTTGTTCATCATGGTGGACCTGGGCCCAAGACGTTAATATCCCAATTAGATCGGTGGAATATCTTATGATATATAGGTATACATTGTATATATATATATATCTGTATATTATGGATTATAAAGCACAGATCCAAAGTGGGATGTTGGATATGTTGCTTGGAGGCAACTTCTTCAAAACACACATTTAACTGTGTTGGCTGTGTGCATTCACGTCGTTCACAAATGGAAAGCCATGCTTTACAAATCAGCAAAGTGTGTTTTAGCGAGAGGAAACCAACCTATTTCACAAATCAGGAAAGTCTGCACACATGTTTCGCGTATTACGCCCTACATGTCTTGAACCCCAGCTGTCCTATGCTGTAGTCTCAGGATGTTTGGTTTTATCCCAAAAAAAACAAACTGTGCCCTTACTGTGACGCAAATCATGACGATGTTTTCCATGAACGCATGAGCTACACGCATCTACACGCACTGCCTGGTGAAACCCAGGATTGTGATGTGGGAACATCAGGATAGAGAGATTGGCACACCCCTATATCTGGCTATCTGGTATAATTATATATACAACAATATAACACATCATCACATAATATAACATATGCATATATATATATGGACCATATATATATATACATATATGGACCATATATATATATATTGTATATATATATATATTGTATATATATATTGTATATATATAATTGTCATTCGACTCCCCCCCGATCTGGGTATCTCTCACGAATCCACTGTGATTTTGGCCTTGGCGATCCACCCTCTCTGCGGTGTGGGCGGTGTGTTGGCTAAGTTGGCTACAATCCCTAAGCAATGTATAGGTAGCATGATCAAAACATATCAACACAAGGTTTCGAAACCATAACTCAAACGGTTTGTCGGGACACATGAAATCCTTTACAGCTACGCAAACAAATAGTAGAACAGTGCTGAAAAGTGCAGTAACACAATGTTTCGGCGCAGGAAAGGGAAATGAGACCGTTCTTCTTTCTACAAGTCACAACGAAATCAACTCTACAAAAAACACGACATGTATCTAGAGATTTGATTTACCCATAAACAGTGTTTTTTTTTGAGATTACACATCCCATTTCAAATCCCATTGCTCCGAACGCCCAGTCCGACTGCGCCGGTTTCTGGGTTCCCGGTACGCCCATGTCCCAGTTGGGATGTGTGGTGGAACGCTGTCGCAACCTCAGGTCATAGGGCATCAGAGGGCACACCAAAATAGGGTCGATGTCACTTCGTTTCAGAAAAACGTTTTCTATATATAAAAACTCCATTTTCTATGTAACAAAACAACATAGAAAACTCTTCACAAAAGATCACCCCAAAGCGCGAGCTTCCCCCAGGGTCACCAAACACCTCCGGATCCTCTTTCTTCATGTCCTCAAGGGACCTGGCGACCGGGAAATCCTGGCCTTCTCTTCATCGCAGTTGAGATATACACTGGTACACATTATGTAATGTATATGTAATGTATACCTTATGTATATGTTAATGTATTGTAATGTATAAATGTGTAGTGTATGTAATGTATATGTAATGTATATGTAATGTTAATCATGTAATCAAACCAAATGGAATGCCTACAAAAATGCTATGTTCTCAATGCCTACCTTCAACCCACCTCAACATCCGCAAAAAACATGCTGCCGCACATGTCGCGGAAGGTGCCACCACTGCCGGTCAGAATGATCTTCTTCACGCCACCCTTGGGGATGCCTTGCCTAGGATAAATCCCCGTTGACTGTAATCATGCTGCAATGGTGTCATTGACTAATCACAACAATTATCATGATTATATACAATTAAAAAAAATGGTATACAACAAGGATAGAACTGCCTGAGCAACAAATCTTGGGATATACAATGATAACCATGTTCTACTTGATATTTTTACAATCAATAACCATTGATATACTTGATAACTATAATATTATGTATATATACCATGATATACAATGTTTGATACAGGTAAATCATTATGAGTCATTGTGCATCAGTGACTTCCAGGCTTCCAGGATCTATTGATGTCTGGCTTCAAACACCGGTATCATATTTGTGAACTCTGATGTAAATGTGCAAACATGATTCACGTGTTGAGAGTACATGAAAAAACATATAAGTATGTATGGAACATATATATATATGCCTGACTGTTGGTTATTAACTTGTTATGCTAAATACATATTGCGAACTGGTTCGGATGGTGGTGAATCATCTTCACACTCCAGCGTATGATCAATCTCCTGTGCTTAGTGGTAACTGGGCCCTTAAGTGGTCACAATCGCTGGCTACAAACAATTCTTTAAACATCTCTTGCAAACATCAATTGCTTGGATAAACCAATACTGCAAGTGAGAAAAAACCCAACTAACCAAGTGGATAAAAACAAACACATAATGAGATCAATATCAACAACTACATTTTTCGTTTGTGTATACATATTGTATAAATGCATATAATGATACTTCTACATGTCAAAACACACACACATATATATATTTATTATTATACACACCCAAGGCCAGCCACATGCACTGGAAGATCGCCGAATGCTCGGAGTCGACAGGCCTGGGCACTGTTGGGATGCTGATGGGATCCCAGCTGATCAATTATTTGGAACAATTCTACATACACATATATATATATATCTATCTGCATATATCATATTATATCACATCAAATCACATCATGTCATATCACATCATAGCATATAATGTAATATTCCCATGTGTTTTATTTTTGTTTGTAAAAAAAAACCTATGGATATCATAAAGAAAGGTAGAATCCCATAAAAACCACCAATCTAGTGGCGTTCCATCTCAGATCTGTGATGATTAAAACATATTAAAACCCCTACCTGGATGTGCATCCCACTTAGGATCCGTGGTTTATAATCCATTAATCTAACCCATATCATCCCATATATATATAATCCAGTGGGCATGTTCCATGTATATATGTATATAATTATATATATAATATGTATATGTAATATATATTATATATATATAATTGTATATATATATATAGTTACATACATATATATAATAAATTGAGTAAAACCCATGTGCTAAGTGGGATGCACTCCCTATGATGTTCACGATCCATACCACGGTCTCGCCGGGTCACAACATGCTGACGCCATATTCCTCGATCAAAGGAGCAATCACCGGGCCGCCCGCGATGATGGTCTCCTGGTGTAAGCGAAGTCCCGTGGGTTCAGATCAAAAGTCCTTTTGTAGATAGGTATTCTAATAGGTTTTAATTGGGATTAATAGGTTTTAACAGGTTTTATTCCCCTGGATCATAGGATTTGTTTATTAAGGTTTTGAGATGTTTAAAAGCGTTTGTTCGATTTTAAATACGGTTTTACAAAGAGATTTTTGTAGGTTTAAATTGGGAGAATCTACATGGAGGTATAATCTTTACTTGTTATGTATATATTATATATGTATATACATGTATACTTAGTGCATATATATATATATACAAGTCATGCATTTCTGGCGTGTACCCATGTGTACCCCTTCATTCATCAAGTATGGTTTTACCAATCAAGATCCAATCAAGCAAGATGGGCTTGCTAATTCACAGAATCGTAAAATGACGAAGCACCAAGTTAACCTTCTGAATAGTAGAATTCCTCTAGCCTCTGGTAAATTAACAGTTCGACCCTGAAAATAACAACTTTTTAGCGGAAACTCATCTTCCAACTCCAAAAAAATAGCAGGGTCGTCATGTTGATCTACTGGAGGGTAGATGGTTAGTAGCCAATCCTTTTTTCCATTTTTTCCCATTGAATGGTTTATTAGCCATTTATATCCATTTATCCGATTAATATTGATACTTAGGGTAGATGAAACATGATGGATACATATTCATAGTTAGGGTGGATTAATCCATATTCTTATTTGATGAAACATTGACATTAATCACCATTAATCCATGTCATTTGGTAGATACCCTCTGGTAAACTAACGTAGCTATAGAAAATCACCATTTTTTAGTAGGTAAATCAACTATAAATGGCAATTTTATCAATTTTCAATAGCTATGTTTGTTTACCAGAGGGTAAATCATCCAAACATTGACATTAATCACCACTAATCCATGTCATTTTAGTACCATTAATCACCATTAATCATCCAAATCTGGATTTTCTGCTGGATTTTTGGCGCCTTGTTGGCCAAGGCGATGTCTTTCTTCGCCTTGATGGCTTCGATGGTGGGGATCAACCTGGTGACGCGCGGATCCGGATCCCGAGTTCGCGGGCAGCCGTTCGGGAACATAGTGGAACCAGGTAACGTACGAAACTGCAAATAGCTAGGGATCATATGGGATATGTATATATATATGGATATATGATGATTGATTCATGATATGATAGTGTTGGGATAATATGGGCTACTACATAAACATATATCAAGAAATGGCAAATCGTTGCAGGGGATGATCACCGGAGGAGTCCTCGGGATATTTTTGGAACGCCGGAGATTTTTACCGTTTTCCCTCGCAAAGTCGCCCCAAGGTTTGGGACCCCAACTGCCAAACTGGCGAATTTTGCTTGGAGAATATCTATGTGAAATGATGCATATTGATGCATATTGCATGTTATTACGAGGAAGGGACTGATTCTGGCTAAATTTGAATGAAGTAGACATGTTGCTGTCATGTTTCCTCATTTCGGAATCTTCTTTCGGTACCAAAATCCATCCCATAGGGATTTTTGGTCAAGGGAACTGTCGGAAGTTGGTGAAACCATGTGAAACCCATGAAAGTCATCGGAGGTGACCGGCCTGGTGGTTTCGGATAGCACATGAAATGAAGCCACCAGTGTTTGGCTGTCAACTTTTTTAGAAACTTTAAGAATAACTTTCAGAAAGCTGTCAGACCAAATGCTCATTTGAAATGCCAATTTTTTTCCCGGCTCTTGGTAGCCCAAGTGGGGATCGGATATTGTGAGGAAGCAGTTGATGCTAAAAAGCCGTTCCAACGCGAGGGAAATTGGTCAGTTGCAGTTGGCGGGCTCGATCCTGCTACCATGGCAGAAACCATGGCTGAAACCATTGGAAGATATGAGAGGCATTGGTTCCCTGAGGGATTCGCAGGCAGGACTCCAAAATCCTCTGCAGGCGAAACAGTGTATTCTCAGACAATCAAAAGCTGTGGTTCCACCTGGTCTGTGTAGAGAAGCAACTTGTATCAGCTTGTACAGTCTGACTCCTTAGGCACCGTAGACATTGACCCTTACACTTTCCTTCAGGGCTTTGAACATCTTTGAAGCTGATCTTGCAATTTCCCAATCATATATATAATATGTATATATAATATATATATAAGAGTCTGACAAACCAGCTGATTCTTTTTCCCGTGAAAAAATCTGGAAAAATCCGAGATCTGCTACTGTCAGGATTGGCCAGGTGTCCCTTGTGGCAGGCATCTTCTTGCCCAACAAGAACACATCATTAAAAAACCGAAACGTGAAATGCGATACACTTCGGCATCACCCCTGCTGTGGCGAGCAACCCAGCACAGCCCACAATGCCAGTGACCACCGTCTTGCAGTCCTGCACAGCTCCAGGGGTCACGTGTAATCCGTTGTAATCCCATACCACTTTGATCATACTCCAGAAACCCCTGCTCTATTGATCTTGTATGTATACTGGTGCATCATGCCACCATATTGTTGGTGAAGCAAAATTTGCTGGAGCATTTCCTTGAAATAAAGGGTTATGTTCGAGAATAGGGTATATACCCGCAATTCCCAATAGAATCTCAACATGCTTCCAAAAAAAACAATCCATGATGCATTGCTTAACTCCACTGTTAGTTAAATCCTTTTCCTGCGGACAAAAGATCGGTAAAATCACCAATTTCTATGGACGGCGAACGTCGTTCGCTCCGGATGCCGCGCCACTTCGATTTGGCCCTCAGGACCACTGAGGAGCTCCTGATGCCGCGATATCTTGGAGTATTATGGGATCCAACATTAATGGGATATATTACTGGTAACAGATCAGGTAATAATGGGATAGTATAAGCAACATTAATGGGATATATTGGGGATATGTTGGGGGCATATATGGTCTCCCTCTCTCTATCTCTATATATATATACACATACATATAATATATACATACATATATGATGGGGGGATCAACCCACTTAACCGGGGATATAACCAACAGCACCGTTGAGTTAAACATACATTTTTATGTGGAACTATGTGGAAATCATGCGATTATACTCGAGATATGATATAACTAACAATATGACGTATTTGGGTGTATCTGAACAAGGCTTACTGTATACCCTCAAATAGCAATCTTAAAAGGGAACAAAGATAAGTAACCACTGGATTTTGGGTACCATATTTTCAGACAAACCCAAAACCCATATCACCAACGCATAATGGGGGGTTAAGCAGCCAGACAAGATAGTCACACATGATAAAGACATATTAATGTTCAACACAAGCTAATGCAGGTTGACCAACCAAAAAAAAAAGAACTTAATTAACGATGAAAGTGATACAGCCAGCAAAAAGGGGAAAAATTACCCTCTCGCAATCAAAACTCCTGAAACTTGGCTTAAAAAATCCCCGCTTGGGTGAGTTTCAAAGAGTTGAATGTGTGGTACCTTCAATTTCTGCTTTTTTTCAGCTCGCGAGTCAGTTAATATTTAAGATTTACTATGACCAACACTTCACGTTTCCCCGTCTTCATTCCTGACCCATACCCAAGTATGTAAACTGGATCTTCGACATCATCCAAGCACATGCAACCCCTTTCCATTTGAGGCTTCACAACCCCTGATCAAGATCTTGAACAGTTGATTTAAAGTTCAGATTAAATTATATACCTGGATATATAAAGTCCCGTGGCAAGTTCATCTCACAAATATCGAAATTATCCAGTGATGTCAGAGTCACTCATTTCCATATATTATCAGCTCCTTTTGGAAATCTGCTCAGCAGCTCAATGTCGGTGGTTTCCCAAGCGGATCGTAGCCGCTCCGTATGTTTGTTGGGTCAATCTCCTCATGTTGACGTGTCATCAAATCTATGGCTCAACCGAGTGAGTCCAAACATGGCTTGTCCACATACATGTATGTATATGTGACACCAATTCTAAAATATTCGGCACACAGTAATAGATCTGAACGGATCCTGATCGACCAACACGGTTCCACTGGGATGCCCAGCAGGGTCGTAGTCTGGAATCTTCAAGTCCTTTACACCTTCCTTCAGTTCCTCGAGTTTCGACCTGAGGTGACAGTGATGGAGCCGCGGATGAAGAACTAAGTTGCAAAGCTGTTGCATGCTACATAAGGTTGCAATGTGGCAAACATATCATAACACTTGATAGAAGCATCTCAAACGATATAAAACGCACAACCTCATCCATCAATCGTTGCTTGAGGTCTCCCGTTTTTCTGTTTCTTTTATATCCACCACATATGTACCACGTCTGGTAATTTGTCAGTCAGCTGTCAGTCTGCTCACTTGGCCGTGGGATAAAAAGAATCCAATTCAAGGATTATATCTTCAAAACTGACATGAACTCCCAAACAAGATAGCACATTACTCATACTTTTGAAATGGGAATTACAATGTATTTTTGCTGTTTAATATCCTTACAAAGGTAGCAGCATCCAGCCACCATGTCTGCTCCAGGTCGCCCCGCTCATCGCATGCCACCATTTGTGGTTGAAACCTAAAGGTGTGGCGGATGGGGGTTGACCATGGTTCACCACGGTTCAAACCTGGGGTTCTCAAGATTTGGAACTAAAATATGATCCATGAATCTGCGGCTAAGGGGAACGTCGAATTACTATTTGTACGTTCCATGTGAGAAATTGTGAATACTTGGTGTGAAGCCAGAAGTATTCCTTGGTGTTTTTTCGTACTGGCGACCAGCAACTTAACGATACCACACATTATGCCACACTTCCGATTGCTGCTGCTGGGGCTGCTATAGTAGGTTATACAGCAACACTATATCATGATGCCGTTCAAAGGGAGGTACCTTCCAATAAGAGAAAACACAAATCCTTTCCTCAAGTGTATAACCAAAACCCCCCAGAAACCCAGCTGTAGTGGTTTCCAACCGTTGTGGGTCCCAGAGAGAGACGGGCTTCTGGATTTTCGCAATTTCCAGTCTTGGATAGAACAAACATTGTTTTTTTGCCGGCTATAATATCCGCAAATAAAGAAATATTACATATATGGCTTTGTCTAAAATAGGACACTTCCCAATTAAAAGCACCATTTCGGGCCATACTGGTATCTTAGATATCAATTTCCCCCTAGCCCTCTCGGTCTCTGAACTCTTTGATTTGTTCCAGCAGGAGCTCAATATTTCGACCTGTGCCGCTGCAAGCAGACTATCCAGGAGGATGTCAGAGCCGTAGAAAGATTCCATGATTTCCTGTGGAGACAACCTGGTTTGGAAACCAAATCGAAGGGTGACGATTTGGTATAAATGAACCTAGTATCTCCATTACGTAGTATCTTTATTGTATACATAATCAATCCATATATAATGATATATGGCTCACAGGCAACATCAGCCTGTCCTACCCAGCACAATGCACAGTAGGGCCTGCGGCCAGTGCCACCGGCTTAAATCGCCCAGGGAACCTTCAAACAGCGCAACCAGAAAGGAAGCTGCATCCAGCAGCAAATGACATGGGGATTTTACCAGCAGAAAAGCGGCTTTGAGGTATCTTAAGGCCAAGATAACAGGGGAGTTTTGGAACATGGTGATATTCGGCAACACCACTTCGGATTAAAACACCCAAAACTGCAGGTTTGACCATCCCGTGGGGGTAATAAATACCTTTTCTTTAACATCTTTTGAAGCAAATATGGAGGCATTCGTTGCAAACTGATGATACTCACTCTACTTCAAGAATCCAACTGGAGGTAAATAACGATGTCATCTTTGCAACGAGCCAGAAAAGTACAACGATTTAAGAAGAGACTAATCAAAAAGCAAGGAATCTGATATTCTGCCGATAATAGATCCTGCTATAGTGTCTGCATATGTGCGCACTTTAGCTGTCGGGTGAACTTAGCTCTGGAAATCATAAATCTCATTAGGTTCCAAACCCCAAACAATCCATGCTTGGGATGATTAATTTTACGTGCCACCACAGTGAGCTTGTTATGCGGTTGCAAAAAAATACTCAGATTTATGATTCATCTTCGTACCAATTGAGTGCCCAGAAACTGTCTGCAAATGTCCAAGGTCTGCGTGCCAATGCCTCCGCTTGCACTTAAGAAAGAACCCGGAAGTAGCTAGATTGAGCGACCTGAAATTTTGAGTGCTGCAGCGGGCAACAATAAACAATAAACTTATGTTGCCTATAATCTATAAACAATTTTGGAAAATCATCTGCCTTCCGGGCAGTGGGACACCGCTGTAGCATTACAAGACCAAGTGCAGACTGTTCTCTTGCAATGGCAGGACCAAACCTGAAAGAGACAAAGTATACCAGGCAGTTGGCTTGAAGGCCATGTTTTGATGGTGTCAACATATGTAGAATGGGATTGGTTCGCTAGTGACCGCTAGTGGAACATATATCTCAGAAAGTTTTACAAAGCAGTGGGAAGTGGTCAATATTCCAACCTTAGTCTCTTCCGCAAGACTGATAAACATGGGATGGTTTGATGCCTTGATTCATTGATCCAATCCGCAGGTTTACAATGCCCGTTGTTCATTGGTCATGGTCGTGCCATATCTTGGTGGAGACACAACTGAAATGCCCAACTGTTGAAGTGGACCTTCAGATATTCACAACATTTCACGACTAAATTCCATTGAGAAGATTCTGATGTTGAGAACTATTCCACGAAACAGCATCCCACTCCCAACTACATTCTATTGTTGGAATCATCCTTTCAATTTTTCAAAATCTTGGGATATGTCTCTACAATGTGGTGCCCCCCACAAGTTATGAGCTGGTTTCTAAACCCCATTAACTATGATATACCATGAACCCTAGCGAAATGTTGGTCAACTGATCTGGTAAATCCAAGAATAAACCATCCTTAATATAACCATAAACGGATTGTGGTACGTAACGTTCCCAAATGATAGGTCTATGCCAGTGGGTTTACTGGGTTTACCGCATTAGTTGGCACGGCATCGCCAACTAAGCCGCTGACTGCCAGTCGAGCCAAGGATAGAGATCCTGGCGATTTGGGATCATCTTGGGATCCAGGGCAGGATGGAACATTTTTTTTGGACTTTATCTAGATCTCAAAACAGAAACTCTAGATCATATCATATATATATGTCATCTTGTGATGTATGAAGTTATTTTAGTAATATCTACTTGGTATAGTTATGGATATATGATATGTGTATAGGTTTTTTAAGATATGACATACATAAGACCCTTAAACAATGGAGTGAGACCGTATTCTAGAAAAAAACCACTTCACACCCTTGCTTATGTGTTTTGACATTATGTTTGTGCCGTCACTTGGCAAAACAAACGATTTCAAAACACACTGAAACTTGGCATCCCTTAGGGGTCTACTTGACCCAAATAAGATTCAACTCACCACAATCCCCATTGTTGGTTAGCTAATGGATCCACACATGGATTGGTAGACTTCCCACGAATTCCACCAAATCCCATTATAACAACGTACCATTTCAAGACCATTTTTGCAGGAAAATCATGTTTTTTTTTCACATCTATGTAAACGTTTACCCCAGGATAGCCCAGGATAAATCCCATTTCTCCTATCAAATCCACAATCCATTTGTTGGATCCCAAAGACATCCGTCCGTTGGGTGCCTCTTGTCGCTGGGTGCCTCGTTGGAGGTCTCCTTGCAGAACTCACCAGCTGGATGATACCACCCCATGCCAACCAAATGAGCAAAGTGGTGATCTTGTCATAGATGAAAAAAACACATAAGATTTCCTATGATCTTGTACATAAAACAATGTGTATATATATATATGTATATAGTCATCTTCCTACAGTATGTGCATATATAATATAGTCATCCCCAGAAAGATAGAAAAGTAACACCCCAGAAACTAAATTAGTGACTTTTCTTTTTTTTGGGGTGTGCTATAAAGAGACTTGTCTCATGACACCAACTGTCATCGGAGGCATGTATATTATATATATATATATTAATGTATTCCGTGTATTATAATATATAACTATATAATATTATATAACTGTATTATCATGTATAAATATAATATATATAATATAATATATATATAATATATATATAATATATATAATATATAATATATATATATGATAATATATATAATATATAATATATATATAATATAATATATAATATATGTTCCATCATGTTCCCACATCCCAGTTTGACCATCGAGACTTGGTCTACGACTGGTCCTTGGTGTTGGTCCCCACCAAGTTTCTGCCTTTGGCCCAACTCCGCCTAGCGCAGAGTGGTCCCCAGCACGCGTTCCAAATGTATCAAACGATAAAAAGAACAACATCAAAATAAGTCTCGGAAATATGTTGTCAAAACAAGACTGGTAAAATTCTATTTTACAGAAAACCATCGACTCATTTAGTCAAAAAAAATAGAGTGATATTTTATGAAATTTGACAATGAACATATCATGTTTTTTTTTGCAGTTCAGGGTGAGATTTTGGATATTTTACCCAGAAGACCCTGGAAACCATGGCATCATTTTCAATGACAATGTTTATTCCAAAATAAAGCGGCTGGAAGGCCCAAAATGGTTGGATGAACAGTAAAACATCTTTCGGAGTGAATTTGTATGCTTGGTCTATTCACGATGTCCAGCTCAGAAAGAACTTGTCATCCTCAAATGATTGAGGCCATGTCCACATCACATTCAGCGCCCCTAGGATCCGTAAAAATTAACACTTTTCTAAGTGTGATATATCCCATTGCAGCCTCTTTGGGATATGGCTTGTACAGCAGCTACTTTCTTTCACCCATCCCACCAGATCCGGGCAGATTTCCCACCTCAGCACCCGCGATCTCTTGCGGCCGGCTGCCACCACAGCTGGCACTGCAAGCAAGGACGCCTGGGCGAGATGGGCCTTGTCGAGATGTGGGAAACGACAGCGGCATTTCTTGGAAACTGTAACGCGTTGCGGGGAAAGATCATGAAGATAGATTATGAACCACTATTAAGCCACTATTAACCACTATCAACCATTAGTAACCAGGTATTATTGGATGGTTCATACCACCCAATTGAAGATACGTAACATATGCGGATGGTGTGACTGTGGATGGTGTTGATTTCTTGAAGCATCCATGTCTGGGGATGTATAACTTTGAGTGAAAATCTTCAGAGAGTCCCCTGGAAAGAATGGCTGGGTTCCCTTTACGGCAGGACTTCCAAGTTTGGACCCTGAAAATTCCAACTATCTTCCAACTCCATTGTCTTCCTGGCTTGTTGTGTGGAAACGAACGGTTCCCACCAAGAAACCCAAACGCAGGAACTATCATGACTTTCGCCGCAGAGAAACTGAATAAGTGGAATGGGACTTAGCGATATGAGGCCGCGGGTTGTTGTTTAACTATTGATCCTAAGTTGGGAGAACATTCCAGTAGCACTCCCAAATGGTCCAATGGTCCAAGCATTCCTCACCAGCACATCCCCATTCCATCCTTTCTTTCCTTCCATCCTTCTCTCTCTCTCTCTCCCACTCTCTGGGATGATTCCTGGCAATCTAACCATCCGCCTGACGCCAGACACCACTGCTGTCGCCGGCACTGATGGGCTTCACCTGTGCAGCTGTGCAGATCGGTGGATGTGCATCCCTCTTAATCATGCACATATATATATTATATAATTATTATGTGTATATACATACATATATATATATATGTATGTATTATGTAGAAAAATGTATTTCATCTACATTGCAATTAGATTGTAGATATTACACATAACCTGATAGTAATAACAATAGAAAAAAACACATCATATTACCGCGCTTGCCTCCACCCTGCGGCCCAATGCGACACCCCCGCGCGAAGGCGCCGGCGGCGCCGGCGCGGCACCTGGCACGCGGCACGGACATACCTCCCAACGAATGATATCATGAAACATGGATAAAGAAGTGATAAAAACATACATAGTAAAATGTAAACATATATGGAAAAACACTATAGTTATTTACATGATATCACTAAAAGTCATACAGTAAAAACACACAATAAAGATGACATTGGTAAATGGGAAACATCAACAGGTTTCTGCAGGTTTATGTCACCCAATGTCCGTTTTTGAATTCGTGACATGTCATAAGTACGGCATTGTGTGAACATGTATGATTCTACACGGCTATACTGCGATAACATGTTTATTACGTAGAGGGAGAAATATGATATGCCGCTTGATATGCCTGTTATTTGTTGGAGATCTGATTGGTGCCTTCTGAATGCAGCCAATTCGTACAGTCGTACTGGTTGGGATATGGATTAACGTGATACTTCAAAAATGCAGGGTTAACTGGGTCAAAGTCAAGCATCACATTTGTGGACCTACATTTTTTCATACATCCTCTTCTGGTTCCTTGCATGTGCATCCCAGTCATACAATTCAAATAAGTTGGTTTCGATCTTTGTGAACTATCCCTTTGCTGCACATCCACGTGCTGACCAAGGCCGCTACCAAGAGCAAAGGTTTGCAGGGACGCCATGGCTCAGCCTTCGTGAGGCCCTGGAACCAACGCTGCGACGCTACGTGATCCATTGAGGTCAGACCTGTCCCAAACTTTGTGGATCCTACAGTTGGTTTATGGTGGTTTATCACGCAATCTATGAATCTGTTCTGTGTCCAGGATATGCGACCAGCCCCAATTTAGTGCTATAATGGAAACATATACACAGAATGTAATGTGTGAACAACGAATGCATTACATAATTCAAAATAATTCAATATGGGAATGGCTCAGAATCCCTTGTACTCTTGTTTGCACATTGAAACAAATGTACAGAATTGACTATGTTAAGATGGTCGCTCAATATCGTTGATGGATATGTTTGGTCAAATTCTGAAATTCTTCCAGGAAATAGTGTATATCCGCTATATATAATCATGTATGGTAGATAGCTTCAAAGTCAACCCGAGGGACACCAATCTGCCATTTGATACATCCGCAGAAGAGTGGCGAGAATTCCTGTTTGAAAGCCTTTCGAATGGTTGCTTCATAGGAATGTTAAGGAACACCCGTGCAAGTTCCCGATATATAGGCCATTTAATTTACATCTGGACAAATAATCATAATTCACCAGCCTGAGTAGTTCGGCCATTTTTGGGATACTTCTCCCAACCCTAAGCATGAACTGATTTACCTCGTGACGTCGTGACAATAGGGCACCGACTGCTCAACTGGAACTGGTTCGGTCCCACTTTTCCTTAAAAGTTGATTGCCACCCATTCAATTGCCTCCACTGTATACCCATTATTGATGGATACTGCATACCCCTGTCTTTGCTGGTTGTAATAATCCATTTGTGCTTGGCTTTATGTACAGTATATATATATATATACATATGCCCGATGTTGCCTTTAACTCTCACAGAGTGGAGTTGCTACGGAATGTCCAACAACTAAAGTTTATCACTTGCTGACCCCCAAAAAAATGCGACGCCCAACCATTTTGCCGACCTTTATCGCATTTGTTTGCCAGCTTCAGGTGCAATCTTTGCAAATCTTGACATCTCAATGGTTTCTTGTCATTGCCAAACAATCTAAGTGTCACCATCCAACCAACCAGGGTTTCTATCTTAGTTTGAGGCAGATATCATCCACCACAACTCATGACACGAAACAATTTCCAACCATCCAGCCAAACTCACCAATATTCACCAATCAAAAATCATCAGCAACTCACTTCCGGCTCCTCGGCTCCTTTACAAAGACTTTTCCCAAATGATATCGCTACCTATCGCTTCTCAACCGCTCAACTGATCTCAACTGCACCTGCTGAACTGCTCCAGCAGTGGCCGGAGTTCGCGGGCTGTTCGCGCAAGGCTTGGCATGAAGATCTGACTGTAAGAGCAGTTTGGTGGGCTCCTCCAGTCCTAACCGTCTCTTTCAGGGGAGGCGAACCTTTGAAGATTCGCAAGAACTTGAAACGGTGGGCAACCATCCGACATGTTTATTCATTTTATTTTCTTGGGCTCAAACTGTAGGTAACAAACGCAGACATGGATCCTTAGAATTGAAGAAAACGCCTTTCGAACACACGCAGAGAAGTATGCCAAAACCAAACTTAGATTTCAGTGACTCAGTGCAAGAACATTCGAATATGACATCGACATCTGATCACGTTCCACGTAAACTTCACCAGGTATCACTGTCTTTTCCAATGACGCGCGCTGTTTGATGGTCGTTTCTCCATGGCGCAGAGAGTCCAAATTCCGACTCCACAATTTCCTGAAGTTTGGTTCTCCCTGATATGGGGAATATGCAAAGGTTTTCCTAAATTCATGAATAAAACCATACAAACACCTCAAACACCATGGTTTCCCGCAAACATCCTAAAATCAGCCCTGTGACCAGGACGTAATCTCATGGGATGTCACGTGCGCTCGTTTCAAGTGATGGGGTTCTTCAGAAAGTATCTCTCATAATCTCTCATAGTATAGAGATGTATAGAATGAGTATCTTCTAGAATGTTGAATATTTCCCGTCCACACATATATATCTATCATCTATATGTATATGATTGTACATTCATATCCCTGGAGCATCGAAGCCGTACTTCATCTTTCAGATCTATGTCAAGCCTTGCTCTAAAATCAGGCGGTCCACTCGCCCCAAAAAACGAGCGCGCTAGGCGTCGCGAGGACGCGGATCTTCAACCGCCATGTCATGCACCCAGGGAATCCCACGGCAGGGTATCTGTGCCGATTCGGCATGTTTTGCCAAAAAGAAATCAGCATGTTTAACACAGTGAAAGTCTCAAGCTATGGTTTACTATATTGCTTGGTGGTTTACACACCTTACAAATTGAATGATACGTAAAAAAAAATGTTTGTTGTTGGATAGATGTCTATTTCTAATGGGTAAAGTTTCCATTGTTTGATCCCTAACTCCCAATGTTAGACAATGAGTTTTGTTTCAAAAGCACCCTTAGGATCCATCGATTTCTCCCATTTCCCAGATTCAAAAGTGTTTCAACATGTTTCACATTAGCTGCCCGTCTAAAACAAGTTGGTCAATCGCGGATCATCATCCATGGCTATCTTAAATTACCTGAGGGTATGTGACACATTGTGAAACCGCCAAGCAGTAAGAACTTCATCATGTCCCACGGCAGCTGGATACCCTGGGTTCGTTTATCGGTGAAAAAACTTCGGTGCTGCGCATCGAAAGTGGCGGTCAGGCCACACCTGCCATCAAGGAAACAATAAGATACGAAACGACCAGTGTGCCATTAGAAATTATCATACATCATTATCATACATAATCACACATAACCAAATATATTAATGTATGTAGTTATGTATGATATTGGTTTCCTACAAATAGTTACTAATAGTTTCATATCCATAAAATGTTCATACATATATAAGTTTCCTATAGATTCCTTCTAAGCTGGGTTTAACATAGAGATATCTTGAGGCCATCGCAGCAATTTGGAGCCACAAGCCCGAGCCCCGTGGACCCATGGGTCGTAACAGAAACGACGGCGTAACATGTCTTGTAACATTTGACATATCCAAATATGTTGGATACATGTATACTTTCATTTATTATCATTTTATCAAAGGTTAGGCATTTAGTAAAAGGTTCTTGTAACAATTCATGTGGTTGAAAGGATTCTTCATCCATGATCAGCATTGTACCAGCAAAATCACCCAGTTAGCGTTCGGTAGACATCGCAGTATCCAGTCATCAAAGTTCGAAGTTGCCATGTTCAAAGCCTTAGGGTCTGGATATGGCACAGTGGGTGAATGTACAATCCAAAAAAGTGTGGGAACAATATCTGTCTGTTTCACTCAACTTTGCAAACATGGGATTCCAAGGCTGGCAATGTGGATGCGTACCGATATTCAGCATAGAAAACAAGTTTCAAATTTACTGTACTTTTGTTTTGTTTTGTCCACTTTGAATTGTATGGGAATCATTCCTTGAATTTGATATTCGATACTTTCTTTTCGGCGGCATACTTAAGAGAATCTAACTTTGGAGGGATTGGATCATGCTCAGTCCACTGAAACAGAATAACTATACCCAATCAAGCAAAAGCATCCAAATTTGGCATGGAACCTGCCGCAAATTCCAAAACTCAACATTATTAATCAACTGCGGATTTTGGGGGTTCAATGCCTTTTTTTCATCAATAAACCTCCCAACCGCCTACGCGAAAGAGGCACGAGTTGGTGCTCCCCTGAGCGGCGCTGGGAAATGGTGTTCTTTATCCATGTAGTTTGTAGCCTACCGACATTCCGAATGCCTTTTTGCCCCGAATAAACATGTCCATTATGTATCCACATATATTCTTATATTATGCATATATATATATGTATCATATATCTAGATATACATACGTCTATGCACATAAGCATATTGGGTTTCATCTATTTGCCTGCCCGAAAGTGAGTTCTGAGAGCAGTACAAGGGGACAACGAATAATATGCGGTGATCCTTCCCTGTTTCATGATGCTTCATGGACAAACTCGGTAACTTCATCCCATAAAAAAATATAAACGTATATACAATACATACATCAAGCATCATCAAACATGTTTGTTTTTTCTCCATCCTCAGCTCGTTCAATTGCAGTGTGAAAGGAGTAGGTCCACAAAAGGGAAACCCTCCATTCTTGGACATAAATCATTTGTGGGTGGGTAATGTTCAACAAAGAGCGAGGTGCTTCATGACTTGAGGCAACACGTCCGATTCCGTTACACCCTAACCTCTGTATTTGGGTTGGTCAATGGTCAATATGTATATGTATATATGTATATATAGATAGGTGTATATATAAAATATATGTATGTATGTGTGTATATATATATATAAATATGTACAAATAGATGTGTCTTTATATAATATAATATAATACAAAATAATATAATACAACATACTATAATATATATAATTTAATATAATATAGAAAATAATATACTATAGAATATAGTATAGATTATGATATAGAAAATAATATAGAATATAATATAGAATATAATATAGAATATAATATAGAATATAATATAGACTATAATAAAGAATCTAATATAGGATATATTATAGAATATAATATAGAATATAATATAGAATATATTAAAGAATATAAAATATAGAATATAATATGGAATATAAACTATAATATAATATAATAATATAATATATACTATAATATAATAAAGAATATAATGTAACATAATATAAAAGCGGATAATATAATATAAAATCATATAATATAATAGATAATATAATATAAAATCAGATAATATAATAGAGAATATAATATAATATAATACAAATATAATATAACATAATATAATATAATATATAATATAATGTAATATAATATAATATCACATTATATAAACATATAAAAATACCCATGCATAGTTTAAAAAATAAAGTATCCAAGTCCCTAAGGAACAAAACAACCAAATTTTACCCAACTTTACCAAAAAATCATCCAAGTCCCAGCTGAGGCACATCGTAGATGGCACCTCTCCAGATCCACGTGAAGCAACAAAACCGAGCAGCGAAAAAATGGGGAAACAGTAAAAGCGTATACAATGGTCAGGAATCAAGTGATGAATGTTTATAATGTATATACAATTATATATGCAATTGTATGCATATGACATTTTCATGTTGTTTGCCAACATGGTGTAAATCTTTGCAATATCCCTTGGTCTGTTGGATATAACATTTTTTGTCAACCGATTCAATCCAAGTTTGGGTGAATCAGCCATGATGCTGATGATGATGACTGATAGCTGACGCAGGTCAAATGTCATATATCCATAGATTGATGTTTGACCTAACGAACAGCTGGGATTTACATCCTCTATTTAACTCCGAACTGCAGCACCTGGTGTTCCAAAGGCCCACAGCGCTCAAGTTCTGTTTTGGGATAACCTACTTACTTTTGTGAGAGCGTGTCCCTGGTAGAGATTGGAATATATGTTTTAAGATTTGTCAACAAATGACTATGGGTTCCCCTGGGTCGCTTGGAGGACCTCAATTCTTGCACGACGGATTGAAACCCTGCACTGAGTAGACCCCATCCTTTTTTGATTCAAACATATTCATTAAATTTTCCAAAATTATATTCTAATTGTTTGATGGCTATGGCTATATCTCATATTCCTCCGTGTGGTTCAACGTGTGTCCTCATGTTTGATTTTTTGTTCCGGTGCTGTATTCCCGCTGGGCTCCCGTCTCCCCATCTTTCGGGCCTGACCAGCAAAGGACGCCCTTGCAGGTCTCACTGTCACGAAGGAGCCTGGCAGAAAATCACCATTTTGAATGTGGGTAAATCATGGTGAATGAACTATTTCTAAGGCAATTTTCAATAGTTACGTAACACATTACCAGAGGGTACACTTTCATTATCGTACTATGTTTCCTGTTTCCATGGATGGACCTTTTCTCGTGCTACTTTGCTCTACTGTGGATGGCGTTAAAACAGAAAGTGATCAAAATCTGACAATTGGAGGGGGGTTATCTCTTCTTCATCTGTTCAAATTTGTGTTTTCTGAATATGATCCACCACATATATATATAGTTATATATATATATATATGCATATATATATATATGCATATGTATGCATATATATGCATACATTGCATATTGTATACAATTGTTTATAGATACTCATCATATATACCTAAGGTTTTGATGATGTAAAAAATCTACAGGGATCTACATGTCTAAACTTTAGGAACTTTAGGGAGTAAGCTTAGCGCATGTATCCCATCAGCCACCAGTGCCTTCTGCTCCTGTTCGGACAACCTCAAGGGTGGCATCAACATGGGAGTTCCACTGCCGGCTTTTGATCACATCAGGTGGGCCAAATCTACAAAAAAATCTATTGAATAGCTGCATAGCTATTCGCTTCGTTTTGGGTGGCTGTATGTGTGCATCAATAAAAGTGGCACCAATTAAGCCCTGAGTTTCGTACTGGCACCGTGCTGGAGAGGGTACTGACGCGGACAGCAAAGGAAACCAGAACGCACTGGAGGAATATAGATATAGTTCTGGGCCAGGGTTTATGTTCTCTACCGCGAACAAACCTGAAAATGCAACTCCTACCTTTTTCGGATTGGAAAATGGATTCTGAATTCATGTGCGTTTTTTTCGTAGCCAACTTCGAGTATGAGGAGGCAAGGCACATGGAACCACAAGTTGGCCAAGCATGCTATTCCAAAGAGGCCATTGGTTTGATCAAGGTACATAGCCGTTCTTCCCTGATGGAGTGACGAAACACGTTTAAACACAGAGAGTGTATAGAAATAATTACAAATCCTCAGCAAACAGGCATCAGCAATGGGGTATTTTGAATAGATGAGTTCCCAAGTTGAGCCTTTATTGCTGTGACAGCATCCAAATGCATTTGAGCAAGCAACCAGCAACCGAAGGCAACCGTTTCAGTTCCCCAAACAACAACAGTTAAATTCATTAAATAATTAAAACCAGCTCAACCTGAACTCCTCAACTCTTTGAACGGTGCCATACAACATCCCAGCCTCTTAAAAGGACGTATTTTTCAAATCTCATCAAATCTCCCCTCCCATTGCCTTGGCTGCGTCTGCGGCCGTATCACATGCGCGGTGGGTTGTCGCAGCACCGTGGCACTCCGCTGCACTGGCACTGCCACAGGCGCCACCGGCATCGCGGGGGCGCCAGCGGCCGTGGGCAGCTGGGAGTCCGTGGGGGGCGGCCGCAGAACGCGGTACATCGACGTGGATTGGGAGCCGGTCAGCTGACCTTGGGACCCTTGGGAGGTCACAAAGGTTCGCACGCGCGCCTTGGGCTGCAGAATTCTGGAATTTTCAGGCCACTGAAATAAATGAACAGACTTGTTAAATAAAGCATGATGTCTTGGTATCTAAGTGTTTTGTTGGACTTTACTGGCTATCAGTATGTCTAAACAATGGGGAACACTGGGAACACTAGGGGCTACCTGAAAACAACCGGCCCACCACATCTGATCTGACGGCCCCGACCGGTGTGGTTTGACTGGCAGAGCCCAGACCAACACCTGGGAGATCCAAAAAAAAATAGTTCATTTCTGCCCAAAGATTCACATCAACCAACCATTTACTAGCCATATTACCCAGAAGCATTCCAGAAGTAAGCATAAAATCACAACAAAACACAACAGTTGGAATCACGGACCATGCATTGCTTCATCTTTTTGAAGTTGATGCTCGAGTCCCAGACCTTGTAGAATCCTTGTAGAATGAGTCTGCTGGCACCAAAAGTCCCCGCAAATAATTGAACAGAACATCTTAGTAATACCCATAGGATCCATGTATGCTATATATGGTAACATTTACAATCAATATACCCCCAATGTTAGCATATATACCATACATGGATCCTATGGGATATATTATTAGAATATCGCAGAAAACCATCCCTGAAACATGGACTGAACCCCATCTATGCCACGTCCGAACAAAAACAACTGCCATCAAATCAGTTTTTTGAGACTTTTGGCAAACAACCACCAGTAAAGTCCATAATTTCCTGAAACTCGAAAATTGTCCCTTAACAAAACCAATGGTTACGTTGTTCCGCAACGGATTTCCAAGCTGAAACTTTGACGCCGTTTTGACCGTTTTCGCCCATGGTGGATCCGGAGGAACTTGATGCACTGGTGGCACCGGTCCAGCAACCTGGCACGCTTCGGAATCTGGGCAATGCATGTCATCATTGATGCTTGTGACCAAGATCGCAAAAAAAAAAACACAGTATATGTATATATATATATGATAGAGATGTAACATATGGTCATGTATAGCAGCGCGAGAACGTTCACATCCGAACAAACATCGTTTTTGAAACATGACCATGTAGATAGTTGTATATATGTAGATAGTTGTAGATAGTTGTATATGTGCACATGTATACATAATATATATATATATATAATATGCACACGTGTGTATACATATAATTATATATATGAATATATATATACACACACCTATATGTCTTATTTTGAGAGATGGAACAAACAAGTTTCTTTCAACCCATCAAGGGATTGTCATGTGGGTTCGCATGTCACTGAATTTCTGAAACAGTTTCTTATTTGTGCTCAAACACTCTTGGTCTCACAGAGCCTCTTGTTCAGCGATTAGAATTGGCATACAGTTTCTTCGTAAGTTAAGATTTTTGTTCCGTTCAAACATGTGGCCAAATGCAAGGATACACATCAGCAGTTCACATCCGCAACAAAAATGAAGGTTTGTCCATCCTGATCAAAATTACCAGTGGCAGTTTATGGAATTGAGCAACTTCTAAAGCACTAACGCAAGCGAAATCTGCGGGTTGGTCAGAAAATCATCTCAAATGGCCGCCTCCAAAGGGCGTGGGCGGCCGCCGCGGCGCAGACCGTGGCGCGGAGCGCGGCGCGGAGCGTCGCATGCGGCGGTGACCGCAGAGACGCTTCCGCGCAAGGTGAAACTTCCGTTTGGCGCGCAACAGCATGCGCTGGTCCTCACCGGACGAATGGGGATTTCATGGGCACTTTATGGGATTTTATGGGGGATATAATGGGGAGATTTTCATATACTAGTGTGCAATGTATTTATGTGTAAATATAATATATGTATATATATATATAACCTTTGCATTAGTATATATATATATATGTAACCAACTGGGTGCGTCTCAAAATAATTTGTATCTGACCACTAGAAATAGTTGAACGAATAATTGATATGAATGGGAATACAATGGGATAAACAACCAGCTTGATATGATATTTGGGTGTGTCTAAAATTGGGGATAGCAGAAAGTAGCCATTGTATGCCCTAAACAAATACATCCCATCTTCAAACAAACCCATCGTGAAACATCCAAGTTCGACATACACATACACAGAATGGTATGGCATCCCAACTAATTGTTGATTCTGTAAGTCCAGTTTGATTGGTATTTTACATAATCTGGAAACCACATATACAACATATATCATATAGGTATAGCTATGTATTCATTATTCATACAAAATCAAAGAACTGACAGGACTCAATCTAAGTCTACGAATCTAATATAACATATACATATAACAGTAAATTCACGCGCATTCATATGCTCATATGGTTGTGGATCAAAACCATGCTAGCCTGCTGTTCACATCCATTGCTTACTGGCATGGATATTCATCCCCAATTCACCAGTCATTCCATAGGTCTTAACCAATCACCAGAGAGACATGACATGCCTTTTCCCTTCATTGCATAGATCCATAGATTGATGGTATCTGTCCCATATTATATATACGACCATGTCACATCCACATTCATATTGCTGATATGGTTTTGTCCAAAGATAGGCTACGAAATTCTAGTGGCTGAAAACCGCACATGTTCTACCATAAAATGGGGTCCCATTCTCCATTTCTGCTCAAACCCACATATCACATAGTAGCCCCATTATAGCCCATTGAAGCCTATTATAACACATGTTAAAAGAGATTAAAACCCATTACAGTCCCCAGTCGAACCCATTATGAACCATGATCATAAGCAGCTAGTTGTTGCCAGACTACGATTTTCCAGCATGACTATGACAGTAGTTGGTAAACTATAATTGCCATTGCCAGTATATCATAGATAACCACCATAGCCCCTGAACTACAGATACCCGCCACTATAACTGGTTGCGTCCATGGTCCTTATCTTTCTCCAATGATCGCTGCCAGACCTTAGGGGCACATGAAACACCGGTGCCTCTCCACGACTTCGTGCTGGCGATGTTAGCATTAAACACGGAGCTCTAAGGATCAAAACACATCAAAACAGGTAAAGATTAAACAGATTATACACGTATATATACACATAAAGATGCCCATATGTGAATATCATTATACATATTCACTCTGAGATCAAACATATGGGAATGTGTGGGTGTGTGGGTATGTGGGTTTCAAATGGTTTCAATTGGGACTAATATCGATAAGGGTCAAGTGCATGAAGTACCAATGGACCCAGAACTTAGTGGTCAGTTTCTGTATGCAACGATCCAATTTGGGGGATGAGCTTGACCCATTTTGACCCATGTGTGATTCTTCCATCAGCATTAGTGTGAGCACATTAAAACATGTGAACATATTACCACCAAAAATCGTGAATTTTAACGGCCAAAATGGGGATTGAACCATTACATATGGATGTTTTTGTTGGAAATGACCAGTGCGACTTATCTGTCAAAGTAGGATCTTAGCGGTCTAGATATTGAGGAAACCATGTTTTGCGATCAGAGATGGTGACTTACACTAAAACTGAGACGGGTGGGGCTGCTACCGCCCATGTTTCCCCAGTGATGCCCATGGGCCAGGGCACCTTCAAGACATCTCGCAGGGCCTGCATTCCTTTGCTCATCGCAGGCATCGCTGTCGCGTTCATTCGATCCTCCTAGCGCCAGGTGGGGCATAACTGCTGCTTGCTGCTGGTTTCAACTCATCTGAAAAATGGCCTAGTCACATGGAGTTCCACATAACCCAGGCTTCTCACCTTGATGACTTGCACAAAAACCCAACACTCTTAGATCTCTTAGATTACCAAGTTGGCTTTAGAAGTTTTGAGGTATAACCGTATAACCCTGACCCTTGGGGTTTGCATTTGTTGATCTGTGTTCTTTCTGCTCATGCAGGAAAGACATCTACCATCATCCATCACTGGATGATTTGGTCACTGAATTTACAATGCATGTCTCAATCGATTGCTTAAAAGGATGTACAATAAACCAACGGGTTTCCTGACACGTTTTCCTTCAACCAATTCTTGGAATTTGACAAACCAATTTCATAGTGGTTTAAAATCCACATTCTTGTTGGTTAGTCCCCCAAACCCATCTGAGTCATGTTTTGTTTAATTGTAATCCATTCGAGTCATCGGTTGGCCTTGGCCATCTGCATCTGTTCCCAGCTTCTCAGCTGTTTGCGACGACCCTCCTGGCATCCGAAAACACGAGGATTCAGTGAGGGTATCCCTGGGATATATTGTGATATTCATATGATATGTATATTAGATTATGATCGTATATACATGTATATAAAATAATATTCGTATATACATGTATATACTGTATATACACATATATTTTACTGTATTTTGGATGATAGATACTCGTATGAAAGTTATGTGTGCGTACGTATGAACATATGAAATACACAGGCAGTATCTTCAATGTATTTTTTCTATGTATATATATAATGATATATAATGTGTACATGGTTGGCAACTGGGTTCTACTCCAAATGATCCATTGGAGCGATGTGATATTTCATGAACATTACTATGAATATTTGCAAAGTACTTGAATCTGGAGTTGAAACAATACCATCCAAAAATCAACGTCTGCTTGGCCTTTCAACCACCGCAACTCAACTGGCCGCTGGCCTTCCCGCAGCACCAGTGGCCCGACCGGCCCGACCTCATTGGCTTTGTAGATGCGTTGGGCCTTCGACAGCACCGCTTGATCTTTGCAAATCTGGCTGTAGGCCCTGGGGCCATGGACAAACCATGGAGGTCTCGCAAAATGGAAGATAACGGAAGTACTTCGGGAAGTATAAGACCCAATATTTCTTTGGAATCTAGCTTGGAAGTATATGTATACATATATATATAGATATGTATACATAAGATAGCTCAGCGTATGGAATCGTTCTGGAATCGAACTTACAATCTACAACGGTACCTCAAATGGTTGACACTGTCGACACCCAAGGATGGGAGTCCAGGATGCGAGGTCCCAAACCAGATTTCATGGGATATTCACGGCCAAATCAGGATAAATTCACCATGGTTTATGAACATATGGAGGGTTTCCTAAAATGGGGGGGACCCAAATAGCTGGATGGTTTATAATGAAAGATCCATCCATAAATGGATGACTTCGGGGTACCCCTATGACTTAAGAAAGCTCCTATCAAATTAACAAAGTCTACAGATCCAATCGCCCTCACCGCGGGTCCATCTTCGCCTTAAGAAATGCTTCCAGTTCTTCCTGTGCAGCTCAACCAGTGTGGCAAGCACTTTCTCGGTAGCTAAGTCTGGTATTTGTGTGTACATTTGTATGTATATAAATATTATAACGATTATAAATGTAATCATATGTACAACTATATCATATCGATCCATCCTCCAACCAGCCTGCATGTCCTTTCAGAACCAATTTCAAACGGTCCGAATTCCACCACGGATCGTATTTCAAAGCAGATATTATTGTCTTTTGGTCGGATGTCTCCGCGTCGTTACAGCCATGGTGTGGGTAGGCTATCTGGAATCTGCACCCCTAAGGAATAGACTCTCAAATGCATCACTGTGGTATTTCAGGAAACGCAACCTAAAGAATATTTAAGCTTGAATATTGACTGGTATAAAACGGTATAGTATGTATATATATATGCACATGATTTTGTATATATACTGTACATATATTTTCCTGATCTGGCTACGCATTCCCTGTATGCTTCCAGAAAATTATTTTGCATCACGATTTCACCATGGAGTCGGATGACAGCTTGCGAACTCATTGTACAAGTCATTCCATCTGTTCATCTGGACTTTTGGTGCTATAACCAACCATTTACTATAAGATTTATCTGAGCTCCTTCGATGGCTATTACAATTTCCCATTTCCGGGCTTTCAAAACACGGCTCGCTAAAATCCTCAAGTTTTGGTGAAATAAATATTTTGGTTACTTACATATCCGGACAAATGGGCTATCACCGTCTTTCACCAATCAAATCCCTGTTTTTGCTCATTACCTGTTCCCAGTGGTTACATCCCTGTCTTGAAATCCAGTGGAGACCTGGGTCTTCGTCCACCAAGGCGCTGCAAGTCCACAGGGCTTTGCTCGGACACGACGCCTTTACGTAGGAAGGGATTCAAGTTCTGCCTGCAGAACGTGGCTCACGGGGCGAGAATTCATGAAGATGCAACCATCGAACATTGGGAAAGGTATCTGACAGGTCACTGGAAGATGAGGAGTTCTTTCATCCCCATGGGGTGGTGAAACTCCCCTCATTTGTATATGTAGCATCTGTTTCTAGGCTTTGTCTCATTAAAATTGGGTGGTCTCCGATGTCTCAAGCATCTCCTTGTTTGGTGTAGCCCAATGGGAAATTCGTCTGGCATCTACAACTCTTCACTGGAAAATTGTCTACTATTTTGAATCAAGGAGGTCCCATTGCCAGGATAGATAACCTAATGACCGTAAATCCAATGGGTTTCATTGTATATTTCCCCTACTAGTTGAGTACTGACTTTGGAGCCAACTCAACGGCATCCATATCCTGCCTTCAGTGATTTGCCTCTCACCTCTGGTTTCCAAGCCGTGTTCTTAATGCGTCATCAGTCTTGACTGGCACATCCTCCAGATTTAGCATGAAATGGCACCTACACGTTCAATGACTACGGTTGCGTTCCCACTATATTCGAGTCACACTGGTACACATTCATGCCATTTCTTGGCACGTAATCTCTCCAAATTTGCTAGGGATATCTCTATCTTCACAATGTTTTCATGTTGTGGTTTCATCCATCCTTGCTCACCAAGTTTGTTGGCTCGGCTGGACTTTGTGAATGATCGGCCGTTTGCTGGTCACCGCGTCTGCCCTGTACCCTTAGCTGCATGATGATTCTATATGATTCTTCAGAACAAGTTTCATAACGTGAATGTTCTGAGCAAATCATATTGATATTGCTGAACTTCAGCTACCCCATCACCGGTTCTATTAACCCCATTTAACCCTGGAGAATCACCATTATCTTCTGTATATATATATATATCCATGAACATCCATTGACCATAAATACAACATAACATCCACTGACCATAGATACATAATGATATATAATGTTCTTACATATAGACATATAGTCCCATTAACCATAGATAATCCCATCACCTATAGATAAACCTGGAGACAACCCGCCACTTGTTCTATTAATCCTATTAACTGTATAAATCCAGTCCACTAACATTCCATCATTATGTCCTATATCTATACCCCCTTATGTAACATCCATTTACCATACATAATCATGGTATTGTAGCAGCCCCATTAACCATAAATACGTCATCATGTTTCTTATAACTTATAACTATATATATATAAATATAGTCCCATTAACCGTCAATAGTCAAATAATCAAATCATTGGTTACATAATATTATTTTTTTTTTCTGATATATATATATATATGTCCAAACATTGGTTTGGTATCCCATAGTTAATTAACCATTAACCATTAACCATGATTGGATAGTTTCCATTAACTATATATATATATATCCATATATAACCATAATGTAACCATGATTAACATTATTATATAACATTACTATATATAACCAGTATCCCATAGTTAATATAACATTACTATATATATCCATGAACATCCCATTATATAACCATAGTCAATCGTAGAAAACTCCCCATGTGCTGTATCTCATCTCGCCTCACCGCGTCCAAGACTTCCAAGGACTGCGTGCCAGGCACTACAACTGTCTGCCTAGGAGGCACCCGGCGGGCCGCAACAGAAATGCGGCTAAACACCCTATGAAAATTGTGATTTTGGATGATTTTGGTGATTTTGATGGTGGAAAACCCTATGAAAAAACGCGATTTTACTGATTTTGATAGTTGGAAAGTTGGAACCCTATAAAAAATCTGGTTTGAATAGGTTTAACCAACCAAGAATGGGGAGTGATAGTTGGTTTATGTTGGCTAAAGTTGCAAACTAAAACTAGGATTGCACACTATTGACTTTTTACCTTGCAGGGAAGTCCTTGTTGGAGTAGTAGGTCTCGAAACACAGCGAAAGTGGGGAGATGATCAGCAAACCAAACAAACTGGGAAAACTTGCATTGCGAGAAAAAGACTGATTTGAGCGAATGAAAAGTACTGTGAAGTTCAATACGTGAGAAAATGTGAGAAATCCACTACACCCAGGCACGAACATACGACAGCACTATACACTCATCATCCTTGGGGGATCGCAATACCCCGTTGCTGCTCCCAAATTTTCCGGGTCAAATTGAATGGTTCAACGATCAGCCACAATGATTGGTGAAAATTTGGTGAAATCATATCCGCCCCAAATTTCTTGCTATATGATCTCGATATTGTCCTTCATTCCTTTGATATTTAATCCCCATATTTTTCCCCATATGTCTTCCCATCTTTGCAACTTAAATCCCATATTTTTATTAGTGACGCATTTGTTTCCAACTCTTGCGTTTTATCGTAACATCATTTTTTTGGAGTTTCCATTAGTTCCCAATAATCCCATATCTATCTATTTTTCAAATAATAAATAATAAATAAATAAATAAATAAATAACTACTATATATATATATACTATGTTTGCTGGTAAATCTCAATGGGAAACTCCTCGAAAGCACTTTCTCGTTGCGGAAGTGTCGCCTGCCGAACCAGTAGTCGTGGCGCACAAGGAGCGAGTAGCGCAGCCCTGCAGAGCTGAGGCTTGACTTCGCTGCAAAAGGTGCTCGGTTGAATTTTGGGCCAGGCATGTTAGCTTAGACTTGACATATATATATACACACTGTATATATAATATCATATTAATATATTAATATACATTATTTGTGTCTATATTTTTTGATATGTTACATAATACATAACACTTATACACACCGGGGAAATATGATACACTTTATATAAACAATTTGTTTGTGCCAGCAAATACGATTTTCTTACCTGAGCCAATGACGATATTGTAAGTAAATTGGCTATTGGAAGCTCTCTCCGTGTGAAGGTTCCGGAAATGATGTCTTTGGGATTAGATCCATGTTGCAGTAGAGGTAATCCGGAGACCCAATACAACTCCAGCTGAACAGCCGGTTGCCACAATTACCTGGATGAATTGGCTGGGCTTATCACTGCCGCAATGCTCTGTATCCCTGGAAACGAAAAAACAAATCATGGTCCTACCATCAAACTTCAAAACGCCCAAGTACTGGTCGAATGGCCCAAGCGCCTAATTCTGACATGGTGCGCCCCTGTTCCTGCGCAGATCTTGGAGACTTGAGTCGCCAAAAATCCAATTGACATATTCGTGCGTGTGGTTAAATCTCAGAGCTCAATGAGGCTCAATGGGATCACAGTCCATGAATCTCTCATGTCAATCAGCTTGCCCAAAAAGGAGGGGATGTTGCTACCAAACTCAGGGTATTGGTGGAGGAACATCCCACTATTGACTCTTGCCGCGGACTGGTCAGATGATTCCTCAACTATGTGGTTCTAGGCTGAGGCGAGAACCAGGGAAGAGTTCAAATGTTGGCCCCACAAATCATCGTAGACATATAAGATATATATATATATACTGTCATACACATAATATATATATATATATACACACGATATATGATATACATATATTTATATTATATGATATATATATTATATATATATATATATGATTACATTATAATACAATTCAAGTGATGGTTGGTGTCTCATGCATTACCACCACTGGGGATTTGGCGGGGAGTTAATTGGACCTATGAGGACCCTATGAGTTGCTGATGGGAATGGCAATATAAGCCATCAAAAATTGGAATACCACTATCAACATCTATCACCTCAACTACAAAGGAATGAAATATCGCCATCAACACAGGGGATTTAATTTGAACATCAATATAAACGAATATGATCAAACCTATGATTTCAATGGCTGATACAGAATTGATAAACCAAGATAAACCACGATCACTACACCTACCATCCCAGTGGGACCCTCACTCCCACTTTTCGTCACCCAACGCCCATCCTTCGCAGCAGAGTGCAAGGCTGCGCGGAGCTGCTCAGTGGTAGCCGCATAGCCACCAGCAAGGCGGGCCTGAAGGAGTTGTCCCCACCGTTCTTTCCCTCACTAGCAGGTGTGGTGCCAAAAATGATTACCAAATTTTGTTGGTCACAAGATGTCACAAGTACTTGTGCTTCCCGCTTCCCAACAATTTTTAATCTGGTTGGTGGTATACCTACCCCTCTGAAAAATCATGGAGTGAAAGTCAGTTGGGATTCTTCTTCCCAATCTATACAAAGTCATAATCCAGCCATGTTCCAGTCACCACCAACCAGATTATATACTATTATCCCATATAACTATGGAAAATCACCATTTTTAAACGGAAAATCACCATTTTTGATGGGTTTTCCATGTTCCAGTCACCACCAACCAATGAAATCTCCATGAGTCGTCTCTCCGGATCCCAGCATCCGCCATGAGAATACACAGGAACTCCAGCGCCAGCGGCAAATCACAGGCTTTCGTTGAGATGGAAACGTCTTTCATCTCCATCTTGGCGCGGAAACTGGCGGTGGTACCCTGGCGCGCAGGGGAGTTTCCAGCAAACCATGGGGTAATTATAAAGGATAGATTCTCTTAGGAGAGAAGGGATTCAAACAACAACATATGGAGGATTGAAACAAGACAAAATGAGAATCTAAACTGGCAACATTGGAATTTAAGCATCTCTAAAATGAGCATAAGCAAGAAACATATTGAGTTTCAGCTGTGGGAACAACAGGCTTTGGTCCCCCATTTTGGTTGGTTCAATTACTCATGTTGGTTGATACACCTTCATATTCACTCTACATCATGGAAGTTATATCCCATCATATCATCATTTTGGTTTAAACTTTGAACCACAATTTCGGTTCCAGGGTCATTAGAGATTATATCATATTATATCACTATATCATCACCAAGCATTGCTTAACACCCCCATGATATCGCAATTCTCGTTGGCCAAATCCCATTGGGTCACCATTTTGCTGAGTGAAATCATGTCTGACCCCCCATTTTTTGATAGAAATCCACATATTTAAGTCATATTATCACAATTTTGGTTATATAATTTTATATAATTTCATTATGATAGCCAATGTTTTGTTGGTGAGCGGTGAAATCACATCAAGTCAACATTTTGCTTGGTTAAATCCATGTCAAATCCCATCAAGTCGTCCATTTCTCTATCGAAACCCACCATTGATCCACATTAAACCATCATTTTTCTTGGTTTAATCCCATCAAGTCACCCCATGCTTCTACAGAAATCCAATGAATTCACCTGAAATAAGGCTTGGGATCATTCTCCTTGCCATCATCCAATAGAACTCTACCACTCTACGATTAGTTTGGTTGGTACCATTTGGTACCTGTAATTACTGGTGCATATATAAACATGTAAATATACACGAAGGGGGCCCATAGTTAGCTAAGTTGACTTGTACCTTGGTTAGCTAAGGTTTATAGATGTTTATAGGGGATATAACTTGATATAACTATATACTTAGATTGGGCTTAGAAAATGTTAACCAACTGATAACCCCTAAATATTCCCTTTCTAAGCGTCCATGCTCACCTTGCTCCAGCGGTTTCTGCACGGCAGCCACCGCAGCGCACGCGCACCGCAGCGTGGCACCTCCTGAGGGTCGACCACGTGAAAAACACGTGGGATTTGACCACCGAAATGGTGGTTTCATGTCGATGAACGGTGGATTTCCATAGAACGCTGACTTCATGAAATTAAACAGCAAAAAGTGAGGTATCCAAGGTGAAATTAACCAAAAGTGTGATAATATGACTTTAAAATCTGGATTTCCACAGAAAAATGATGAGCCGATGTGAGTTAGCATATGTTAGCAAGAAGAGTTGGGCTATCGTGGGGATACTAACCAACAATATGGTGCATCAAACATGAACAACTAATAGTTACTATAACAAACAAATTCAATAAAACGAGCTAAAATGTGCATTTAACCAACAGTAGAGATTAAAGCGGCAACATGGTGGATGAATAAATATGAATACAACAATTGCAAAAACAACAATGATGGTTTCACCATCAAAGTGAACTCAGTTCCTCATACCCCAAGTGTTTCTTGTTGGATAAACTCCGGCGCCTCCACTTTGACCACCGGCGCTGTGGGTTCGGCTCCTGCATCCGATCGCCATGTCGATGATCAGATGATTGGGTATGACTTGGGAAAAGACCCCTTGGAAAAGAGGATACGTGGATTTTTTTCGCCAGTTGCCAGCAACTTCACTGTCTTCAGGGATCATTCCAATTAGATCTAACTAGTGCTGATGAGTAGCGGATAGCAGCTTCCACGCGCAAAGTGTGTGGCTTGCATGGGGCAGCCATGTAACAATGCAGTTCCACCGATATAAAACAAATACTGGCCACACACCACTGATTGTCCCACACCACTGTCTTGAAGGGGATCTAATCTATATCCTGGTTGGTGGTTTTAACCATCTTGAAAAATATGAAAGTCAGTTGGGATGACATTCCATTATATCATAGGGAAAATAATATATATATATGATTATTTCATTATATAATATTTCATTATTCCATTATATTATAATATCCCACTACTTCCAAGAACAAAGTTAAACGTTGTCGTCCAAGTAAAACCATGACTTTACTTAAAGACACTCATTGACTGCTGATATATATATATATATATTATAGATAGTCAAAAAAGGGTGACCTTTCCCCTGAGCCTAATCGAATCCGTAAATCAATCCTCAAAATTCTGAATAAAAATATGTGGTTTCCATGCTCAAGTTTTTGATTGGTTTTCACGGGTTTTTCACTGTCTTTTCACGGGTTTTTCACGGTCGTTTCACGCACTTTTCACGCTCTGGGTTTGGAGTGGGATTTGTTTGAAACTCTGGAGTCCGGTATATATTTATACTAGTACTCATTGTCATTGGGTCTGATAATGCCCAGTAAACACATGTCGCTTCCAAAGACAAAGTTAAACTTTGTCGTTGTGAAAGCCCCAGTTAAACTTTGTCGAAGACTGAGTGGGTATGGTTCCAAACTAAACCGCCAACCAGTATCCCAATTCAGCCTTCAGTGAAGCCGCGCCTGCAGGATGGGGATCTCCTGCGACGCAACACTTGCCGCGCAAGCGACGCCGCGGCAAGCTCGGTGTTGTGCTACCACCGGGCAACCTCGAATGGGGGGACACCATGGGGCACCATGGGACAGCATGGGACAGAAAAATGGCAATTTGAAAATGGTGAACAGAATATCAGAATGATCAAGATTGGTCGAGCAGATGTTGGGGTATTTGCACACATTTGATGATGGGGGTTGGGATGCATTGTCAAAACTTGGTGTGGTTTGCAGGGCATGAATTTAGACTGCCTAAGATGGAAAACAAGAATGGCCAAATGCATCCAAATACCATGTAAAATCAATATATTATATATCTAAACCCATGTCCACGAGTCTCATGTTCTTTCATATTACAACAATTTGGTATTGACATGAGTGTCTGAGAGTTTCTTGGAAGGTGTGGACCCCTGTCACCACTCATGGAGTCAATTTTTGGAGTGGAACCGGTTTACCTGAAATCTTCATCGCTAACGTCATGTACGGCGCTTACGGACCTACGGAACTGTGTCATCCATCCGATTTACTGAGATCAGCACATACCTTGTTTCACTCTCAGATGAACCCAGTAAAAACCAAAGCTTTGGACAAAAAAAACATTGCCATTGTCCATGTTCAAGGCTTATCCTGCATTTTCCGCGACAAGTCACAGAGGTGATTGGCATGGCGGGACCGCCGCGTCTGCGGACTTGTTGCCTGCACAAAAATTGCCCAAATCGTCCATAGCAACTTGTTACTTACATAATAACAATAATAGTAAGAAAATAATTATATATGTGTATATGTTATATCCAACAACCTGCCAAATCAAGGCAAGCATGTACCATACATGCTATACATGCTATGGGCGCTGCTGCTTCTAGATGGACAAACATATGTGTTCTTGGTAACACCACTGGGTCGGGATAGCGTCCAGTGCGGAAATCCAGGTGAACCACTGCAGTAGAGGGGTCATCCTCTTCGTTCTTCATACATGTTTGTTGCTGAAATTGAGGTGACTCATTCATGTACTACGACTGTCATCTTTGATTTATTTCAGATTCTATCGGTTCAACGTTAAAAACTTTTGGTTGAAACTAAATTTGTTTGATTGAACCCGCATTTACAATGGCTTTACGACCAGGTTTTCGATTGTTTGTATGCCCTAAAACATTGGACGCACAACCACAAAATGAACATCTGCAACTTTCAACATACAGGATACACTCTGGTATCTGGTAGGCGCTAATGTGTGTTCGCGATTGTAAGGGTATTGAGCTATGGTCATCGTTCAAGTCCCCGTTTGCAAACAATCGGAAAACAACAAAAAAACATGCAAAACACGACCAACTTAGGTGGTATAATCATTCATCATCTACCCTCCGGTACTCGAACATGGCAAGGGAAGTTCTTCCATCTTCAATGATTTTCCCAGCTATAAACCTCCATAAGAACCTGCTTCCCATGGATTTCCCAGCTCACGTTACCGGCTGACCTGCGAGGTGTGCTGCCGGAGAGGGGATCGACGGAATCTCCTGGGATTCAGCATATGTCACCAGCAAATCTGGGGAAAATGACCATTTTAATCCATGAATTAGGACTGAAAAGACATGTTTTTTGGAGGGTCCCCCATGTTTAATCAACCATAATATAATAAATAAATAAATAAATAAAGAAAGAAAGAAAGAAAGAAGGGAAAAAACAAACAAATAAATAAATAAATATATACAGTACATACAGTATATATACATATACTTGTGTCCCATATCTTCATCTTCTGCCCAGTTGTGCCTTCCCACCCTGGATCGGAGTTCCTTGGGAGCATCGACCATCCACTTCTCCAATAAAAGCCGCTGATGCTGAGAGAAGTACTTACCTGGGGCGAAAGGTCTGGAAACCGTACCTTCGAAAACCTTCGGCTTTTCCACAATGAACATGGTGAATCAACGTAAAGTATAGTACAGTAAAAACCATGGTACATGGCTAGTCACATGGATGCTTAAAGCACTAAACTTATCTACCTGCTTACCTAGCTTCAAAAACAATGCGCTTAAACACTTTGTGCCCTTGGAGTCCGTGGTGTTTAGAGCTCACCCGCTTTAGAACCCATCAAACTCAGTCTTTCTATCGCTGAAAGAACAACATCCCAAATTGCCAGAGAGTTGCTGATAGCTTCCTGCCTTTCCTCTCTGGTCAGCCTCTTCAAGAGGAAATGCACAGTGCGTTCCACTCTGCAAATACGAAATCCCCTGCGGCTTCCGAGTGGAATTTGGGACAGGTTTCTTGGTAGGTTTAGGGTACGATTTGCATTCCATGTTCACAAGATTTCACAAGCAATTTACCACATTTTGTGGGCGTCAGCTTTTCAGCATGGGGATAGCATAAAAGTGTATTGAGTTGCCTTTTTATACGGGTGTCTCTGAAAATGGGGCATGCACTCATCTTATGGCCATATATATCGCCATTTTGTTTAATGAGAAACGCACTTGGAATTCATTGGATACGGGCAAAAATGGCTTCAGCATCCTACGAGTGCTGAAACTTTCGGGACCAGTTGAATCTGCCAGTTTTGCATCACATGCCCTGAACGGAAGCTCTATTTTTGTTGGTAATCCCTAACCTTACAGTTGCCTTCGACATAGGTCACCAGGGTCGTTTTACCCAACCGTGATTTTGGGGTTGGTTATCTATTTGAGAGGTAACTTGATGGTGAGGGAAGGGTAAAATCTCGGATCTTACCATACTTGCATATCATCTATAGTACGGTGTCCACATTTAAACCCACGGATTTTTAGATAATTGGAATAGAAAAGTTAGACTACCTCCAGATCGGATCTGGTGATACCGCCCTTCATACAGATGTTGTCACCGTACCAACCCCTAAGATAGAACGTACAGTTCTTTAGCGCTGTTTCAAACGGATTTTCCTCGATCTTATTGGGGGTTGCTATACCATAATCTGTGCCATAGTTCCGAGGCATACCCAACGCAAAACTGACCGCTCCGCGCACGAAACATCCCTGGGAAGGTGGTACCCCAGTTGGCTAAGTCGGTAAAAAATCTACTGTAATTAGGCTGTGTGGTGATTATACTATGGATAGGGTCAGAAACCAACTTAGGACTACAAAACACCAACCTGTACCTAGTGTTTCACCTGTGTTTCAGAAAAGATATTGACACATTGTGGGATCATTTGAACCAAAGTCATATATCCGTGTCGTTATTTCCCATCAAGACCGCTAGTGTACGATTCCAACTCCAATGATTAATGACATCTGTATACAACAAATTGTAGATATCCCGAAAGTGCATAGGCTGTCTCAAAATGCGGGGATACCGGTACTCCCCAAAATTGTTCATTTTCATGCAGGCAAATGGTTCATTCTGAACCAGACATGGTCATTTAAAATAAATTATATGAGGCAAATCATGACAACTAACTCCACATTGTGGATTTATGGATACTCTACAAACATCTACAAACATCTATACATATTAATCATGTTCTACCGGCCAGTCTATTTCAAAGGGACAACGATGCCTGGGCTGTCGGGCCCTCTTCACCCCGTGTTTCAGCCGCCACGGTCGCGTCAAGGGATGCGTCAAGGTCTCGAAGGCAGCGAAGACCTTGGGTCATCCCACTTAGGAAATGGGTGACAAAAAACCATTTGGACTACCCTCTGGTAAACTAACATAGCCTAGCTATTGAAAATGGCCATTTTAGTGAGTTTTGCCATTAAAAATGGTGATTCTCCATAGTTATGTTAGTTTACCAGAGGGTAATGGATTATAACATATTATAAATGGGTTAGATGAACACCCATAAATGGTGAAATAATTTAATGGAATATCCGCACTGGATTATATGGGATGAAACATGGGATGAATGGATTATAACACATTGTAAAGCACGGGTCCGATTCGTGGGGCCCGCACATCCAAAGTATGGATTGGATGGACAAGGGGGTTCGATCCATTGAAGAATGAAACTAATGCACCAGGTGTGATTTCGGGATGGCTTCCCTCAATGACAATCATCTATTTCTATAGTGATTAGTAGAATTGTGAAATTGTGACATATTGCAATGACATTGTAGTTGATACAAGCCAACTGTTGATGATGGCGCCATGGGACATGTCGTCCACCAAACTTACGCGTTTCTGTTTGGTCAAAACATGTTTATTCAAAACTTCTTATTGGAAATTACTCTATGACTAACATGTCCAACCCTTGTGACTGATACATTTTTGTTTAACCTCATTGGTTAAATACAACTTTTGTGCAGCTATAGCAGGCTATATCTCATGTGTGCGTTGCTTCGAACTTCATTTTGGCTAAATCCAATCTTGTTGCTGGTCAAAGTTCCAAATTCTCGCTGAGTTCGGAGCCATTTTGTTCTGGTCAAATGTGTTTGTCCAAGAATAGGCTACCCCATCCCAGCCACTTCTGAATCATCATGTTCCCCAATGAAATTGGCTATAATTGGGTGTACTTGGCGCTGCAGTTCAATGAATCAATGGTTTTTTTTTACCGGTTGTAGGGGTTATATCCCAACTTATGAAGTTAGAATCCCAGAGTTATAGCCATTGTTTTTACTGTACCGGCCTGCACCCCCAAGAATATCTCAGGGACTCGGTCGAAGCGTTGGGCACTTCCGCCCTGTTGCGGATGGGCCTGCAGCATGATGACATGAGCAACGAAAACACTGACATATCCTTATGGAGCTGAAATATCTTTTGAGAAAGTGATTTGGATATGATTTGGGGGGTCAAGTTTCATCTGAGAAGGCATTTGGGTCCATAGGGTGTAAATAAATATATATACTGTATATATAATTATATATATATATACATACACTGTATATGTATATATAAATTTATATAGTTAGATAAATAAACATAACCAAACAAGTGAATACACATAAATTTGGTTGGTGATTGTTTGGTTGTGTCTTACCAATGAAAATCCTTTCTTGTTTTGCTATATTAGTTGTTACGTCACTGACAAACATGAGGATTTGATTAGAAAAAAACATAATTAATCAATATTTATATATTATATATACAATATTTATATATTATATATATATTACATAATCTCATAGAAAAACGCACTGATAACAAATGGTTTCCACCAGCAAGAAACGGGGATCCCAGAAACAGGGAAAACATCGCGGCTATTCTCTGCAACTGTCTTGGGTTTCCTGTGTCCATTGTCATTATAGTAGTTATGGTCTTGACATCTAGAAAAAAAAAGTATATTTCAGCATAAGGCATCATTTAACCTGAAATCTACTGCTACAAAAAAATCCCAGAAAATCCTCTTCCCCGATGAGTTGCGATAACCTGAGATGAATTTGCTGCTTATCTCAGATTTGCTGCCGAAAAAAAATGAGCTGGCTAGCAAGATGCCGAAGAATTAAATTGTACTTATCCAGTGGGTTCCTCCGGTGATGTCAAATTTATTATCTTATTCCAATTTTTGGCTGTTTAAATTGCAAGGTTGGTGGATACGGAAGTTTCTTAGAATGGAATTATCCCTCCAAGTCCCAAGTAAACAATTTTAATACTAAAGCCTATGTTCACTTGGGGATCCCCTATTTTCAAGAACCCCCCATATGGGCTTGTCAGAACCGGGTATTAACATACATTAACCCGATCAAAACCACATTGGTGTTAAGTGGTTTTTGCAAAACATGATTTGGTTAAATCACAAGATCATCCCAATCAGTAGTGGGTCCACCCAAACATTTAACAACATTAGTCCCAACAAATCAATGGCCATTCCAGGATCCTAAATTGGAGGTACCTACCATATATAAGGCCTATGTAAGGGAATATCCCCACAAAATATGGCCTTATATGGTACAGTACCTCCATTTTAGGATCCTGGAATTCCTATTGAACAAATCATCCCAGGTTGGCTCTGTGGCCTCCAGGGCTCGCTTTTTGAAGGCCCTCCTCACATCCTCCACGGCTCCGTGGCCATCTCCCAGCGATAGAAGCTCAGCCGCTGCTTTCGGCGTCACTTCAGGTGAAGTGTAAACCATGGCAGAACGAAGCAGAGAACACCTTAAAGAAATAATGATTTAGTATGATTTAGTAAACCATATCGTAAACACTATGATGCCCATTCTATTCATCTATCTTTTATACTACGGACAACACAATATGATAACCGTTCCTTTCTTTGAGTATCACTTACATACTGTTTGTATGTATTGTGAAAAATAGACAGGCCGGTTTGACATATTCTGATTATCATGTATTATCTATACCTATTGGTTGTGGAATGGAGGAAACTTTCTCTTTGGTCAAGCAACCAGTGGAGAAAGGACATCTATGGCAACATGGAACCAGCCCGATGGATGACATCTTCAAAGGCTGGGATCAGGATTTAGTAAAATAACTGATCACACAAGAGAATAAATTTAAGAATCAACCTGGCCTAATTCTTGCCGCAGCCAACTTCTTAGAGAAGATTCGTCACACTAAATCCCCAAAGATTTGTGCATGTCGAACCACTTATATAGGATTATAAAGTCCTTTGCATGTTGAGAAATTTCCACCTCATCTTTTTCAGGCTCAGCTGATTGGAGCCCTGCAGTTTCTGAGCCAAAGGCGTAGCTCAGCAATCCCAAGACATCTCAGATTTCAGGGAGTCAAATTGACTTTTGAATGGATATGTATATGGGTCAAAACATGGTGCTAAACAATGTATATATGATTTATCTTATTTCTTTGTCAAGCTAATGCACACATGCATCCAGTCAAACTATGGTTTAAAGTCCAAGCGACAGGAATCTTAAACAGCTACATAGGGTTCTACCAGTACCACCAAATGTGGATTGTCAAAATTAAGTACGATAGACACGTGCAAGGTCTCCCGACCTATACCATTCTCTCGAAACATGAACCATGAAAACATCTCAGTCGGTCCTGTCTCCTTCCAATTACGCCGAATAAAGGCCGATCTTTCAAATCTCCCAACTTGCCGGGCTCATTCAACCGACTGCACAACAGAAACATGAAAATTCCGGACATGTTATAGGCGTTTGTAGGATGTTCGTAGTTTTTGTTTGCTTGCAGGTTCCGATGCATATGGGAATCACATTTGGAACTTTTTTACAGGCTTCCTATAAGCACGCAGGTTAAACCCGCACCGAATATCCCCAGTTGGTTGATGACCCACAATGGTTCATGGACGTTTTCTCTCTCACTATCAGTGGATTGATTTAAGAGAAAATCGAGAAGACAACAATGATGATTTTTCTCTGATAAAAGTAAACAAACGGTGCTTTCCAGCTTGCTCTGTAGATGTTCCTTTCATCCAATTCTGCCATCAACCCATCATTCTTGTTGCTTACCCATCCCTAACCTTCAAGTTACCTTGAAAATATGTAACCCTGATCATTTTGCCAACTATGATTTGGGTGTCATTTCCGATCTGACAGGCAACTTGAAGATGAGGGCATTGTTGTTGGCCCCTCCTTACTCCTTCGCTGGGCTTTCCCGCTGCCGGTGCCGTTTTGACTCGCCTGCAGGGAAAAGGATTCAACCGAGCCCACCGAAGATCCACGAAGAAGGGTTCATTCAGGGCTTGTTAACGACCAACCAGCAACAAGGGCGTGTTCACCATCTATCTGTATGAAATAAAGCAGCTGCTTTTAGCAACGAACAATGCACTCATGTGGATGCGCTCACATCCATGTCATCAGGCAATAACAAATTAAATCACCTTCGGAATCAAAAAGACAACTACGATAATGTTCATAGCAATGTTTGTTTGTCAGAAGTCGTCAGTTGTCAACAAGATTGGTATATAACAGTGATACCACCAATATCGGATACCATTCTCAGGATCTGATGAACACCCCCAAACACCCCAAGCATGAGTATGTTGTCCAATAGAAGCTGACTTTTTCGGACCTCTCCCCCAATAAATATTATGAAACATTGTTGCAATATATACGGACGTTCCATATCAACGATTTTCCAGAACCATCACTCTAATTGTTCTATATAAATTATAATGGACAAGAATGGGCATACATAAGCTATCATAAGCTATACAAGTATATATATATATATATATGTGCTGTATCAATGAGGATTGTCCATTCCTAGCTTCAACGCACACGCGCTGGCCGCCACCGTGGCGCGCCTCCAAGTTTCGGCTATCTGGTGGTGCTGCCACGTGGGGCGGAGCCATGGCCTGACCATGGATTAATCAACCCCGAACGGCTGTTGATTTGGGGGGTACCATTTATGTGTCATATTGTGCCTATTTGGAGGGAACCCCCACAATCCGGAGTTGACATTGGAACATGATAGAAACAAGGATAATATGGGATCATCTTGCGCAAACTTGCAGGGGGAGTGAACACATCGTATGGAGGAACACACCTTGGGTGAACTTATTCAAGCTGAGAAACTGACATGTCATCTTAAAATATCTTAGTGTCCAATCGCCGTAGGATATGATCTTGGTTCTGATTGGTGTGTGCATATTCATCTTGGGATATCTTGGGTTTTGGAGTGTCTTGTTCATGGCATCTGTCCTGCAAGGGTGAATTTTGTGGCCCTAGAAAGTTTTTGGGGGTTCCAAAAGTATGGGTACCCTAAAACCATTGGTTGTCCCATTGATAACAAACCATTTTGGATGATTTTGTACCCCATTTATGGACACCTCCAAATGGGTCAGGTATCCTCAAGGTGACTGCCATGTGTCTCAAAGTGGTAAGCGTCTCTGACTCTAACCCTGCATTTTTCACTTCCTCCGGGCACACTCTGTCATACCGCTTTGACGCATATTAAAACTCTATATAATATAGTCAAGCAAAGGAAGGAGGTCACAAGTTGAACCCGCATAGCTGCAAAGCGGACAATGCGGCTCAACTCAGGCTGTCCACTACATGGTCAACTCGTCAATTCCTTCCGGTTAATTCTCTGCAGTATCTCATTCTTGCCATTCTTAAAGACAGCCACATTTCTATCAGCAAAAATGTAGGCAAGTCCGCAGCATGTTCGAGAGGAAGTCGTCTCGGCGTGTGAGCATTTCCCATCCCCAATCGCTGAGGGCTTTGAGGCCACTCTGCTTGAAAACTGGGCACACAGCACTTGGATACATCACTCATTTGATTCTCACAACCGCAAATCGTCTTTCGTCCATCATAGTTGTTGCCGCACTCTTGGATCTTCGCCTTTTTGCGAACATCTTCCCTTGGGCTTTGTGAAGCACACTTCCCCAAGAGCAAGCCTGGGGCACAGCAATCTGAGGGCTGGAAGCCTTGGCGACAAAAATGTCGTCAAGCCGTGGCGGACAAAAGAAGCGAAAGCAACGAAGGGCGCATGTTCAAACAAAAAGGCTGCAGAAAGTACACAGCAATCTGAGCTGGGTTCCTTGCGCCGAATAAATTGCAAAGGGCACATTTAATTATATATATATATTGTCATATAATATAGGGTTTTTACTTGCACTCGTTCAATGAGTTTGAAGCTGAAGCGGAGCGTTCCCAGCATCAAAACGCAGCAGTGCAGTCCTGGTCTCAAGTCTCGATGTCCCAGGTGAACACCACAGTCGCGGTGAAGCAACACACATTTACCAAAGTGGAACCAATAAAGAATCATGCAGACATGTTGCTATGAGGTTGTGACATGTCTATCATCACTTCAGTAACACAGTCATATTCTTGGCTTTTCCCGGTAGTCAATTCCTTGCAGTTTCTCGCTGATGCTTTCTTCTTTCCTCCTTTCGCATTTCTCTATACCCACCTTGCATTGTGTCCTATAGAGTTCCTTCACTCTACGGCAATAAAGCAGATTCGATACAGTGTGTACAGTGTGATTTGCTTCTCTATTTCCAAAGATAAACCACATAAGTCATGGGCCATGGGGTTGGTATATTGGATAAACCCATATCATGGTTTATGTTCCACAGATTGATACATCATTCACCAATTTTCTCATCGCCTCCAGGCTTCTGCTGGAACGTCTCGCCAAGGGTTGTGATGAAGTGCCACCACCAGACTGGGCGAAGAGATGTCGCGGGGCGGCTGGGTATCTCCGAAGTTGTTTGCTCCTAACGTGACCCCAACATCATCCAAGTTGCCGATCATACTGGGAAAACTAACTTGGCATGTTTCGCGGGATACCCTAATTTCGGAGAAGACCATTTGGATTTTTCTTTTTTTGGGTGGGTGACCTATTGTTGGACCAAGCCATCATGTGGACATATTTTGGGATGATTCCGACATCAAATCTCACTCATCCCATCCCTGCATATATATATATATACATACTATGTGTATATATATATATACTGTGAAACGCTTCACACTGGTAGAAATTCCCCTTCACCACCTCCAAAACGCTCGAGATCTTTCTCACAAGCAGCCAAGATGGTAAATGTTGCTAGGCTTCCAAAGCAGGAGAACCAAAGGCACTGATGCCACCGATAAATGCTTTCCTCAGCAAACCAGAAAGCATTGGCCTCAATCCTATGGCTTCAAGCGCTTCCTCAGCCCTCCCACCACGAGCTGCCAGTCAGCCAAAGCGGCTGAGGATTTCCACGTCTGGAGTTGGACCCTCATGGAACATGTGTGAAAGGCTGTGCACATGTGACAAGAAAGCAAGAACATGACTGGGATCATTTGTTCATTCACACTCGTAAAAACAAGAATTTTCTACTCTTCTTGTTGATCTTTGCTTTCTCCACCTGTGGTAGCTTGGAGCCACTTCACCCTGGTTCTGTTACATGCCCTTTCTTTGAGGATCTCAGTCTCGTCATGTAAGGAGTATTTGCCACATTGGAGGGTGTGACGGAGAAAATGACATTGCATAATTTTGGTTAATGCATCTGCCAGCTGTGCCCCCGTGTGAACCCATCTAAGTCTTACCCCTTCAGCCAGCAAGTCTTTAATGGCTCTTGCCTGTAGTTGTGTACGAAATTCCTGGCAACTGGGTGGAGCAGTCCGAGTGACCAAATCAAACAAAGATTTACAATCGGTAACTGCTATTGAGGGGTCTTCCTTGAACGTGGCGGTCGCAAAAGTTTCTGGAAGTTTATTGAGTGTGGTGGTTGCATTCTTCCAATCTGTCTTGGGATTCCGTATCCAGCTCCAAAAAAGTCTCAACCATGACAGCTGGTCCAAGGTTGTGCTCAAGGACGTGGTCTCTGCTGACAGCGTGCTGGTGACAACTCTTTGAATTTTCTTACAGCCACAACTGATTGGATTTACTGGACATACATGGTTCTTTCCTATGTCCGCATGAGTGGTCATGATAATTGTTCCTGTATGTGACTCTGGTTGTTTCTTGGAAGCGGATGATGCGTCAGAGAAAGCAAGGAACCGTATCTGGTCCATGAGAATCGGTTGAATTCTGACATGTGTATCCTTGTATTTCTTGGCTTCATGAAGAATTCTGTTTCCCTGGATGAGAGTCTCCACGGTCGCTTTGTTCACCTCGCTCTGCAGAAAACTTAAGCGGCTTGACAGGTCTGGTCTCGTGTTCACGGATGCATACTGGAGTGATCCTATCAGTGCTCTTAAGTCCTGTCTCTCTCTCTCTCTGTGACTGGAAGGTTTTCTTGTATTTTTCGTTGTGGTTGGATGTGAATTGGATTGATTTTGGAAACGTACTTTTCTTGTGACATGACAATTGAGTAGTCGTTTTGTTGGTGCATTTCTATTCCCGTAAAGACAAATGACTGCGTTTTACGCGACCCAAATGGGAATTTGGCCTCAAGCCTTTTGATCATTTCGTGAAAGTATTGGTTTCCTCCGCAGAGGCCGTCATCCACGTGTACCCCCAAGATACCCGCTGGCTCATCTTTTCCTTCTTCATATATAGTAGGTATAAGCAAGGATCGAATGGGGATGGTATGAAATTCAGGGATCTCAATTGCTGGTCCAGTTCTGTATACCATAAGAAAGGAGCATCAATTAAACCATACGCTGATTTCACAAGTCTACAAACTTCACTTGGTTTGAGGTTCATCGCTTTCACCATTTCAGGGACGGGTTCAACAGCTATCAGTCTGTCTTCCTGCGTTTTGCCTTGTAGAAACGCTGCCTTAATGTCGAATGACATGAGTGTCCATCGCATGGATGCAATGACCTGTGCAATCAACATCTTTGAGGTTCGTCCTAGTGTAGGGCTATCTCTGGGGATAGTTTCTAGTTGTGGGTCCATGTAGCCCAAAACTACCAACCTCGCTTTTGCCTTTCTTGACTTTCCATTATTTTCTTTGATTTCCTTGGGGTCTTCTAGAGGTTTCCAAACATACAACCATCGACACCTGAGGATCTGTTTTGGAGAAATTTGATGACGAAAAATTTTTGCTACTGTTCCTGTCTGTAGCCAGTTGTTCACTTCCTTATTTTTCGCCTTTTCAAACTCCTGTCGTTCAGCAGGATCTAGGGTGCTAAGTTTGACTTCTGTTCTCTGTCTTTTTGCAGTGGTCGCAAGGAAAAGGAAAGCTTCTTCGCGATTTTGATTTTGGCTTTGCATGGCATTTGCCACCTGTTCGGGACTGATTTCCAGTTCTGTTCGCCAGAAAAGGTCTTGTCCATCTGGTCCGATTTCTGTTTCCACATCATGGCACATTAGGAGGTCACAGACTAGCTCATCGGCAGTATCATCAGGGATTGGAATTTCATGAGGTTGTCTAGTGTCTAGTTCTGGGATAGTGGTGTCGTTTTCAGTCTCTCTTGGTGTTTCGGTATTTTCAGGTTCTTGGTCAGGTTGATCTGCTGAGCTCTGACTTGGGGTTCTTTGAGGTGGACTATTGGTATCGTTAGGGATTATTCCATTGGGATTAGTGGGTACTGGGTTATTGTTTGTGATTGGATTATTATTGGGGTTGCTGCTTTCTGGGATGATTGGTTCAGTGGCATTTCTGTTCATGGTTGGGATATCACGGTGTTCACTTCTCGGCCCGTTGTCACTGGCAATTTGATCCAGGGGGATCAGGCGAGCTTCTACGGCGCTGACAGGTCTGACATGCTCGGGTGCTGCTTTGAGAATGGATCCCATATTGTTGCAAAACACTGCATTGGAACCATCCTGTTGGATGACTCTTGCGGGGCCATACCAGGATCCTTGGTTGGAAACCACTTTCCACACCATGACCCACTCTCCAGCTTCATACGAACCCCTGTGTGGTCTCTCACGACGTAAGGCGGCCCTGCGAAGAGACATGTCATTATCAGCTGAGTGGAAAGCTCGGCGAGCTGTCTCTCGGCGAGCTAGCATCTCACGGAAACGTAAGCCCTCGGATGTCTCCTCACATGCTTTGGCATGCGTGGGTAGTTCATCATCGCCAGTTAGTGAACCTGGGATTCTGGTGCTTTTTCCAAACACTAGCATTTCTGGGGAATACCCCTGTCGGATTCCGCATGTGTTTTTTGCTGCAGTGCACTGTGCTAATGCTTGCTGCAACTGTGAGTAGTTGGTGATTTCATGTTCTAGTTCATACTTACTCAACATGTTTTGGAGCACTCCTCCATGTCTCTCTACGCGCCCCATCTGCCAGTGCGCATTTGGAGGGACAACCGTGACTTTGATCCCCAGGCCTTGCAGAAAGCTTTCAAAAGATTTGGAGACAAACTCAGTCGCTGAGTCTAAAATCACTTCATTTGGAGTGCCAGCCCAACTAAGCCATCCTTGAGTGAAGCGGTCCTGAATTTCTGCACGATTCGGAGCAACAACAGCAGAATGATAGTTGGTGCCATGGTCTATGAAGTGGTAAAAATGGTATTCTCGACCATCTTTGTTGGTCCACTTCACTCCATCTAAAGATATCTTGTCTCCAAATTCTAAGGCTTCCTTCAGGGTTGCCGGTCGCTGCAGTTTGGGCTTTTGTGTCATCTGACACACGGAACACTTCAGATCCATAACTCCCTGAGACAGTTCAGTGCTGTAACCCCTCTGTTTAAGTACCTGGCTTAATTTTTGGGGGTCTGGATGGCCTAGGTTCTTATGTAGCCTTAATGCTATCTTCTTATTTTCGGGTGACATGGCTAAGAACCGGGGACCATGGTTGGAACTGTTCAGATCGACTTGGCTTGGCTCGCAACTCTCGGATGCTGTTTCTTGGGATTCTGATCTGGCTGGACTTGGCATCGGATGCATTGGTTCAGGCATTGCAGCATCTACGGATGACCCATCCAAGGTCGCAGATTGGCTCGGTCCAGCTGGTTCCACTTCCTGGATTACTGGCTTGGCAGAGCTTGCTACTTCAGCATTGGGATTGCAGGCAAAAACTGTTATATTTAGGTAGCTTGGATGCGATCTCCTCCACTGCTGCCTAAATGACAAATCTTCCCATTCCTCCCATTGATCTTCAACCAGTACGTTTCGGGTGTTTCTCTGCATGATTACCGCACGGCGGTACGGGGCTTCTCCTCGCATGAGATCTTTTGGTGGTACTAACGTTCTTTCAGTCCCCTTACATGCAATTATTCTTTGTACTTGTTTATCGCCAAACATTTCTTGCAACATGGATTTTACTTGAGGGTCATTGATCTCTTTGCGTCCAACCTTCGGCATGATCTCAAGTATCCTGTTGCAAACTTGTTCACACAACACTTTTGGGGTATCATCACTTTGGGTCTTTCCAGAAAGTCTCCTCCGTTTGGACGGCAACATTTCTGGGTTGATCAAGACACTTTTGATGCTACCCTCTTTCAGTTTTGCCCGTTTGGCACTTTGGACACCGGCAGAAACGGATCTTCTCTTGGCTCCTGAGCTTGCAAACGAAGGTTCATGCTCGGCAACATGCAGTGGTGCTTCCTTAATCATCTTGACTTTGGTAAGCACTTGGGCCAACGTTCGGGCAAACTTTCGGGTGTAATTCTCAGAAAATTCAGTTCTTCTCATGCGGTGACCTTTGAACATTGTGTCTCCCTCAAGTGTTTGGTGTTGATGAAGGTGGTTACACTTACGACCGTGAAGTTGGCTGTATAATTGATAGGACGTGGTAAGGATTTCCATTCCCTTCTTGTACAAAAGTTGGTTGACAGGGTCACGCATGCCTCCTACTCTGCACATGTCGAATTGGGCAAGGTATGTGTTTTCCATTACTTCACGCAACATCGGAGACCTGGTCATGAGTGATCGAGCAGGTTGCTCCCAGTGCATGTGTCTGCCATTCTGTCTCTGGAAACGGAAAAGCACGATGCCCAATGCCAGTTGGTACATATGTTGCTCTCGGAGAGCTTGGATTGTCTTGAACCCTGCCTCAGTCTGCACGGCATTCATTGCGCTCCAGGCACACCAAGGACTACATGTAGGGCTATACCAGAGACTTCGAGGTTGCCCCTCGATTAACTTGGTAAAAAGAACGGCTCGGCCGGCTTCAGTTGCAAGGTCACCCTCTTGAAAACCATGCCTAACCCCTTTATACCCCAAGTTATTGACTTGCTTGGTGAGCTCACTCTGAGGTCCTCAAAAGACTTCCAAGACTTGAATTGGTGTGCCTTTCTGGGAACATGATTGTGAAATTGACTTCAATTCGCTGGTAAACTGTTGAACAAGTTTATGGAATTTGTAGTGTAAGTGATTTGGTGTGTTTGTACTGAAGTGGGCTTCTGCAGTTGGGTTATTTTCAAACTCGGCATCAATGTCACCAGCCTGGCACAACATCCGAAGAGCATGATTCACTTCTCCTGACGGAGATGTCCTAAGATTTCGCTGGTGGCACCTTCCATGTTCATTCCTCGAGCTTGGAGTGCCTCGATCATCTCGTTGGTCTGGTCCTGTTGCAGTGCTGTGTAGTTCATGACATCCCACGGATCGCTGGGATCCACAATCTCCTCGATCACCTCCACAGGCACTTGATGTGCCGGCATGGCCTTGCTCTTGGGCATGCATTTGGATCGAGGCAACACCACCCCTTGCAGATCTTCGGGATTCTTCAGAGGTACCATGCCATGACTCTCCTCGTACTGATCCAACACCTTTTCCAGAAGGCTCATGGTTTCCAAGTCCAGCTGTCGGAACTCCTCGATGTTCTCGGTGGGAGTTCGGTTCATCACTCGCTCTAAGCGGCTGGACAGGCTCATGGCTATCACAGTTACTTACCTTCGCAACAAGGTGGAGAAACTCGGTTGATGGTGGCTTGGGCTGGGAGATCTCTGTACATTCGAACCTACACTCACTGCCCTGGCTTCGGCTGGTCATGTGAACATGTACCTGTGTACCTGGGCCTGTTGGTGTTGAAAGTGACTTCAAACTGTTCCCTTGACTTTCACTGAGGCTTGGCTGACAAATTTCAGCTTGCTGGTTTTCGCTGGAAAAATCACTGCTCATGAAAGTTTCGGCCATTATTGCATCACGAGGTCCTTGCAAATCCTTCTGGGCACGAAGCAAATCTATCAGATCAAGCATGTAGAGTCCTCTGGGACTCAGCTTAAGTTTGACAACCTGGTTCAACAAAGGACTGGACAACGTGTGATGCTCGCTGTGCAAACTGGCTTTGAGAGTCCTCAGGAGTGTGTTGGACAGCAGCAGCGGTGTTTCGCCAGGCACGATTGCAATCTTGAGACCCAGACCTACAGATTTTAAGGGGATAACTAAGGCATGTTGGCTATCCAAGGTACCTTGATTTCCGAATCTGAAGGTGATGTCACATGATGTCCTGAACACCTGCCGTCTCATCTCAACTGGAAGGCCCTCAAGTAAGGCAGGTAGCAATTTGCTACCAATCACTGACTTCGACGCACCTGTGTCAAGTATGCCACAAGTGCCATACGTGGAAAAATACGCTACTGCTGGCTGCTCTCTCACGGATGCCACAAAACGGCTCTCAGGTTGCTCTGTGATTCGTTCATTCCTGGGCAGGCTTTCATTCGGGTTTTGATTATCTTCCCCTTTACCCCGTTTACCCAAATTACGGAGTCTATCCCGAATTTCCTCCATGGATGAAACAACAACATTAATTTCTTGTAAACTAGGAACATCTAGGGTTTCCTCATGCACCATCGGAAGCTGCATGAACTCCATCGGAAGCGCATTGGACTCTTCCATGGACTGGGACACTGCTGAAACGGTCATGGCTGCTGATGTATTCGTGGAACCAGTTGATGCATTCGAACGTGTCCGGTCGGGACACTCCGCACGCCAATGACCCTTCCTACCACACAATCTACAATGGCTTTCAAGGATCCTCTGTTGAAGACTTTTCTTGGAAACCTTGTTGAAATACTTCCCTTTGCCCTTTGATGCGGACGATTTGCCTGAACCTTTGCCTTGACCTACTGGCCAAAATCCTCTATGCTTGAAACGGTCGGAGAGTCTTCTCCTGGCATCTGCGTATGCGTTGTATGTGGCAGCAAGGTCACTGTCTCCTTGCAGCACATCTGCGGCCATCGATTCATAGTCAGCAATCAAAGCTGCATCTTCATCATCATCTTGCAGTAACTGACTTACAGACTCATCCTCGGTATATTCATCAGCTACGTATGCAGACCCATCATGTGGAAAGTCATCTTGATCTTCAGCTAGCATCACTTGGGATTCATAAATCTTACCCTTGGAGGCCTTTTGACCCATCATCTCATTGAAAAACGAAGTACCAAGCATGCGAACAGATTGTGTGACCTTCTCCATGTTCAAAGCTCCACTTGACGATGATTCACTCTCGACAATGACACGTTTCTTGTCATCTGTGCTCAACCGAGACCCTCTGAGGACTATGTACGATTGGATTTCTTCCAACTGCACCTTCTTGGCTAAAAGTTCAGACCAAACAACGTCACAACGTCCTAGGAAAGAATCGTTGGATTCATCTTGTTTCTGAAGGCAACGGAAAAGTGCTCTCTCCACGATGTCGTACTTTTTCTCCAAATTGACTTTTCCCCACTGGCCGCCAAGGAGCTGGACCAGTTGTTGCACTCCCTTCTTGTCATTTGTCATCAGCTGAGACTTGTTCAACTGAAGTTTCTGAAAGGCAGTTCCATTCGTATTCAGAATGAGACAGGTGATCAACTCATTGATCTTTGTTGCAGGCCATATCTCACTCAGTAATTCTACCTTTTGTGTGTACTGTTCTAAGTCATCCTTTGATGGATCGAAAGTCGGCACCAGTGTGGCCATGTGGTTCGATGTTGCAGTGTTTCCATCGGTTGAAGCTGCTGTTGCAGTTTCTTCGGACATTCAGAGAAAACCAGATGTTATCAAAGGTCCCCTGGAGCTTTATTGGTAGCTCCGCTACCAGTGTGAAACGCTCCACACTGGTAGAAATTCCCCTTCACCACCTCCAAAACGCTCGAGATCTTTCTCACAAGCAGCCAAGATGGTAAATGTTGCTAGGCTTCCAAAGCAGGAGAACCAAAGGCACTGATGCCACCGATAAATGCTTTCCTCAGCAAACCAGAAAGCATTGGCCTCAATCCTATGGCTTCAAGCGCTTCCTCAGCCCTCCCACCACGAGCTGCCAGTCAGCCAAAGCGGCTGAGGATTTCCACGTCTGGAGTTGGACCCTCATGGAACATGTGTGAAAGGCTGTGCACATGTGACAAGAAAGCAAGAACATGACTGGGATCATTTGTTCATTCACAATATACATTTGTATATATATATACACATTTGTGTATGTATATAATTATATATATATATATCTTCATTTAGATAGCCCATGGTCCCCCTGTAGCAACCCTGGCTTAGTATGGGATCTTCCACATTTTCGGGCGCCTCGGCGCCTTTGTTTAAGTCCAGATTAAAGATCTGAGTGCCCTCCTGGAGACACAGGGGGGGAGAACTGTTACATCTTCCAATGACCTGCCAGATAGGGAACCCAAACTCACCCCAACAATCATGGGTAATTACAGTAAAATATGACCAAATGACCCTGGTTGCCTATCTGACCTAACTGGAAGGCGATTCCAGACGGCCCCAGTCACCGACAGCCGCGCTCCTTCAAAATGGGTTTTTCCTTGGACGGCAATCGCAGAACTGCGTCCTGTCAACACTGTGCCGCTGTGCCATTCTTAGCTCCAGGAGGGGGATATAGCATTCCCAAACTTTAATTTTGTTGAAACCACGATGTCAACTCGACTTTAAACCAATCTGGAATGGCCTGAATCATCCAACATCATCTGAAATCGCTAATAATCTTCCAGAAATTTCACATTTTTCAAAAACTCGAACATCTTCCAGTCATGTTCCCTTGTTGTTGCTTATTTTACTTACAACAAAACAAACTTTTCTTTCAGCAACCCGTGACATGATGAAACCCCAAATTGACCCGGGTGCCTCTTCAGTCCCCGCAACACCTCAGGAGACCATGCTAGGCTAAAGCCATTTGATCAGCAATGGATAAACGTATTAATATCGATATATATATATATATGGATATAGATAGATAAATGATGTATCAATCATGTATAATTAGGTCAGATATAATTACATACAATCACATTATATTATATCATTGTTGCTGATCTCAATTATAATATTATATATATAATAATTATGTCAAATAATATCCAAACACAATTCATATTTATTGAATAAAGCATATCTCAATTATTCAATTGTTCAATGAATCAACAGAATCAACTGCGAAGAATTGAGATATTATATTGAGTCGGGTGGTTCAGCCACAAGGTCCCTCCAAAAATGTCAGTTTTGGATCCTCCCATGTTCATGCATTAAAAGCAATATTTAGGAATGAAATAATCTACCAACTGAGATGTGGGCGAACCCCTTCTGGTATAATTGGCAGATGGGGCGTTCAAGCAGCATACACGTGGATGGGGAACCAACGTCCGAAAGGACCCAAAGTGATGATTCAAGACATTTTCACCACCAAGAACCGGGATTTGACATCATTTCTGGGTGCAGTTCCACCCATCAGTGGAGGGTTTTTAACCATAGTTGGGAGATGTTGGGAGTATATCCCTTATGGACGTTCGAATCCCAGTGATAGCCATGATTTTCACCTCTGGCCTGCACGGATGCCAAGATACATCCATTGATGTTGATTGGCGAGCGTTCATTCCTTAAGTGACGCAGCTTGATTGGCGTCTGGATCCACAAAGTCGGCTGCAAAATTCCACATGTTGATATGTGGCAAAATGATGCAACATGAACCCAAAAAACATATATAGCCGCTATAGCCGTTGCGAAGACGGCAAACTTCCAAGCTGCTTCTGCAGTGTTCCCCTTCGACCTCCATCCGATTGTTTCCATCCGTCGCTGGCGGTTTCATGAATCCTCTGAAACATCAGCCATTGCAGGGACGATTGTTTTGGCTGGGATAAAGACGAAATCAAATTACAATTGAAACCGGAGTGGTTGCCATGTTAGATGGGAGATGATGGGAGTAGATTAGAATATTCCGGCTTAAACATGCTTAAACCCTTTGGTATCCACAAACAAGCAGCAATCCTTGGCTCATCTCCATATCCCCAGTTCTTGCCCAGGTGCATTCGCGAGGACACGGCTCGATCCCAGGGTGGAGGACTCAGTTGGACCGACTCATCTAGAGGAATCCCCATCAAATGGAGGTTTTCATGGGAAAATCATCGGAAAATCATGGGAAAATCCCAGAAGATGTTCTATAAATCTGGAAAACTCATCGGAAAATCATGAGAACATCCCATAAATCGACCATGTTTCGGCCATTGTTTATAGGAGTATCTCCTCAGAAACCGCTGCTTCAAGTCACCCCAGGGAGAGGTGGTGCCAAAAGAGCCGCCCATCAGGACCTGGCCATCCCATCGGAAAAATGGCAACATCTCCATGGGAAAGGTATGAAAATCTATGGTTTAATGGGAACATATCCATGAAATTCCATGGTTTACAGGGAACATATCCATGAAATTCAATGATATCATGGGAAACTATCCATGAAAAAACATGTTTAATGGATAGGAAAATAGTGCAAATACCCCTTCTCTGCCCTGCGACCTTGGTGCTTGACCCAGCCATCCGCTGGGAGGTCGCTCAGGATCGGTGTCCTGGTCCCGAAAATCCAAGAAAAATCAGCAGCAGAAGGTCGAAATGAATCAAATATGAGTGATATCAGTGATATATCTATTTAGTAATATTATACCTTATATATCAAGTGATTTGGTGAAATTTGAGTGTCCCATATCTATCATAGATATTCATATCCCATATATATATATATATAGAGTTTTCTGAGTATTTTGGATGACACAACCACGACATCTCGGTGATTCTGCGAGAGGATCCACGACTCTTCGAGAGGACAAAACTGACTCTTGAAGGTCGACGACTCGAAAACGACTGAATACGACTGAAGCAAGCCCTGAATGGGTTATATTACATATATATATATATTCATTTATAATCATCTAGCTTCTTTCTTGGCCAAATAGGAGTTTCAGGAACAATTGGCGAACCCTCCCAGCCCGCTGCGGTCCCCAGTGGAGAACCATCTGACCTGAGGGCCAGAAAAGGAGGGCCAACGTGGCTTTAATCTATTGTATTGGGGAGAACTATGAGATATGAGATATAGTGAGGATACCAACCAGAATGGATACCATGAACAGCAACAAACCAAGTGTTCATTTACCATCTGGTTATTTAACAGTTCGCCATGGACAGATCCACCCATTTTTAAGTTCGGTAAACCATCTATTTCTATGGGCCATCAACAAACCATGGCAAACTGTTAGTCATAACCAGAGGGTATTATCCATTATATCCCCTATAAATCCCTATAAATCCCTGTAAAATCCACAAGAAACAGCTTGGAGATTCGCTGGGATCCCGGACTCCCGGTAGCCGCGTCCAACACCGCAGTACCTTAGTTTCTACACGTACAGTGCACAAATTGCAAAATCTTGGCCTTCTCTATTGATAATATTGATTGATAATAGTCAGTGATATAGTTTCTACAATAGTTTCTATATTGATTGATTGATATAGTTTCTACACTGGCAGAATTCTCAGTAAACCATAGGTATGGTATGGTATGGGTGATTCACACATATCTTCAAACACGTGGAAACCATTTCCATGTTTTTTTTTTAATAGTATATATAGTGAATCACTCAAACCACGTGTTGCTCAAAATAGTGTTCCAATGGTTCTATCTTTGTTTTCACCGACCTGGGCCACCCGGATAAAGTGATGTAAGATGGTAACATATTGGTATCCTGTAATGATCATGGTAAACATTATAATCATAGTAAATAACATAGTACTACTTACTGCTAATAATAATAGTAATAGTAGTAATAGTCATAGTAATACTAGATACTATTACTATTTACTATTATGGTATAATCACCAATACTTATAGATCACCATTTTAGATGTTGGTTTCCCTATCTACTCATGGATCTCCACGTGTTCTTCTTGCAAAACGTCAGCGGTCATCCCTTGGGCATGTCGCCAGTAGTACTGTACCCGTCAGACTGCGCCGTTGAAGCCCATGTGCACATCTCAATGATATGAACTGATAGAAGAAAATGATACAAAATGATAGTTCCATTCTGTGTGCACAATGAAGCATATATATATATTATGTATGTGCTCCTAAATGTTGAACTGATAGCATCAACCATTAGTATCCAAGGGTTGATCAGATTTGACCTCGAGAAGACAAAAACGGGTTTCCTAAGAAATTCCAAGCAATTCCAAAATATGTCAAAGTAAACTCCCACTAAGAAAAAAAACCTTGGGGACGCTGAGCGTTTCAAGAAGAGGACGGGCTTCATTTAGCCCTTGGCACTGGGCATGCTCCCCAAACTGGTGCTTCGGCTGGCAAGGTCAATGGTCGAAGCCGACTCAAGCTGAGAACCAGATGCTGGTCCTGCCGCCCCTCCATGTCCGCATTGTGAAACTGGCAGCCAAATATCTCCCATCACCCACTCAAAATATATCACAGAATGGCTGTCTAACGGAGTCTAACGAAATGATGGGAACCTGAGATAACCTGAGCCCCCCAATTTTGTGAACCACATGGCATCAACTTGATTTTTCTATATTTTTCCTCTAAAATCAGGGCTGCAATCCACTGATTTCTCCATTTCACAAGGCGCCCACAGGTCAGCTCCATCGCAGTTCGCCACCTCTGAAGCGGCTTCCACCCACCTGTCGCGTCGTGGTGGTGGTGGGGCCCCTAGATAGCTAAGTCAGCGACGTCGATTTGTAACGTGGTTAATGTGTCGGTTCTAGTGAAATTAACTGTACCCTATCCATTTATTTATTTATTTATTTATTTATTTATTTATCGATCTATCGATCTATCGATCTATCGATCTATCTATCTATCTGTCTGTCTATCTATCTATCTATCTATCTATCTATCTGTATATATATATATATGTGTGTCCAGACAAATCCATTTGGCGACATGTTTTCTTGAATCACTGATTTCCACTTGCCAAATTAAAATGCTTTACTGTGAGGGCATATGGACAAAGGGTTAGCATGTGGCAACTGGGGCATTTGCCAAGAGGTTTCGATATTTTTATGTTAAAAATAGTAACATTTGCCAAAACTTGAAATAAGGTGATTTCCGGGAGCTTCCCCTTATGAATTATCAATGGATTTTATGGTTGATAATCAACCCATCATGTACCGTGGTGATATGTTCCATGTTTTGATGGTTTTCCCCACTTTTGGTTTCTAAGTATCTCTGCTTTTGATAGATCATATTACATCATATTCCATCATATTATCATGGTTTTAGAAGGGATGTATCTCCAACTCCAATCTGGCTAGTGGTTTCACACATCTAGTTATGACTAAAATCCATCAAACAACATCAACAAACACTTTCAAACACATCTAGCTGGTAGCTGCTGTCCCTACCAAGTTCTTCGAACCTCACAGGTGCGGCGATCATCTGGCGAAACCTGGGCCGATGTTTCCTGTGGAGATGACGATCAATGGTTTGTGGTCTATGCTATCAATAACTATATGGTTTATTAATGGTTTATCAATGGTTTATTAATGGTATCTATCAATGGTATCTATCAATGGTATCAATGGTATGGTATGGTATCTATCAGTGGTGAACATATGATAAATAGTATAAAATCAAATGTACTAGACATTGATTTAAACAAAAAACTACTGATTGCTAGATGTTTCTAATAAGTATCGGTTTATCCATGGATAAACCATTGATAGTAATTGATGATAGTGATAAACCATCAATAACTATATGGGGGGCATCCAGTTGTACCCTGGGATGATTCCTGAAATCCCATCGTATGTTTGGTTGGTTAAATCCCGATTTTTGGTGTCAAAATGTTGAAGTCGCCATTGCATCAATATCTTCTCCGACTTTTGATGCGTGAATCACTGGCAAGTCATCATCTTCTCCCAGTTTTCTCATTCAATCACCACCAAATCACCATGATAACTCACTCAATCACCATTACCCTCTGGTAATTTCACGTAGCTAATGAAAATGGCCATTTATAGCGAATTTTCCCATTAAAAATGGTGATTTTCAATAGCTATGTTAGTTTACCAGAGGGTAAATCCCAGCAAATCACCATAAAATCACCACCTTTTTTTTTTAGAATGCACTACCAAATCGCCTTCCCCCAGCAACCCGTCACGGACGCCACGCAACGGATCGGCCACCCGCTCCACCAAGGGTCGCGAGGCGCTCTCAGCGCGCTGCAAAATAGCCTGGCGGCATGGGGAGATCACCAACATGAATGTCATATGATCAGTCCATAGATACATGGGTGGATGGATGTACGGATGGATAGATAGAAAGATACATAGATATAGATAGATACGATATAGATAGATATATATATAGATAGATAGATAGATATAGATAGATATAGATATAGATAGATATAGATATAGATATAGAATTAGATATAGATAGATACATATAGATATAGATATAGATAGATATAGATATAGATATAGAATTAGATATAGATAGATACATATAGATATAGATATAGATAGTTATAGATATATAGATATAGGATATAGATATAGATGCAAATATATTTATATGATATAGATCGATAGATCGATAGATAGATAGATAGATAGATAAATAAATAGATAGATAGATAAAGATACAGATAAAGATATAGATAGATATAGATAGATATAGATAGACATAGATAGATTTAGATATAGATAGAAAGATATAGATAGAAATAAATAGATATAGATATAGATAGGTAGATATAGAAAGAAATAGATAGATATAGATAGAAATAGATAGATATAAATAGATATAGATATATAAATATATAGATAGATAGATATAAGACTTACGGATTAATGATCAATCAATGGATGTTTGATATATGTATACACTGCAAATGTAGATGGAATATATGTATATATATATAACGTGGATATAACATCCGTCATATGTTAATTGATATATATATATACTGTGTATATATATACAGATGTGTATGGATATACTTAACCTGGATTGCGAATAAATGAAATATCACCAGCAAGATTATATGATCAATCCATGTTAATTGATATTGGTATGTTGGGATAGCTTATGTTAATGTATGTAACAGGTTGTATGGTCATCCATGAAAATAAGCATGGATATAGCATGCTGGTAAATGTTTGAGAGGTATTTATAGCTAACATGGATATAATATAACATCCACAATATGTTAATTGATACAGTACATCTATGTGGAGTATCTATATATACATACAACATATTATACATACTATATATGGATAATATGTCCATAATATTACACATGTTGGTTGATCGATGTATGTTCATAACACTACGGGGTGATATATTTGTGTTGGTTCATGGGTTGATGTTTGGATCAAAGGATTGGACTTCTGGGGTCAAGTTGGTTGATACCATGTTTCCCGTATCAAAGAACAGGGATCTTACCTGGGGATATTGTGTATATATATATATATATACAATATATACATATATATACATTCATACATGGGGATAAAATATGTTATGGGTGTATTATGGGGACATCAAATCACAAACAGCTTCGGGGCATATCAAATAAGATTTTAACCATCAGTTCCATGATCCTGAACCACCATTCACCATGGCTGCAATCCACTTCCAGATGTCTCTGACGCGAAGTCGTTTCCCCATTTTCAATCTAGGAATTGGACAGACACAGGGAAATACTCCAACTGCCAAACATCTAGACTACTCATTACTCACCAAAGTCATAATCCAATCCCATCTAATCACATCTAATCCCAGACTTATTACCATTGACAAACATATAAAAATAGTAACTCTTTGATCATCCCAATCTTCCCAGTCAAAACCCGGTGGGTCATCCATAATCACCCGTGCGGCACTTGTGGATCGGCGTTCATGCTGAATTTCACCAACAAATGGCCAGCTGCCTGGGCAGTGGGCTATGGTTGGTCACTGTTGGTCATTGGGAGACCACCGGAATGAGGGCAGAAATCTAAGTAATCTAAGTATATACGGTTAAGTAATCACCATAATCCCCTAGTTATGAACTATATAGATCAACTCAGCCAAATAAATCCCAGTAAATCATTAAATCACCATGAAATCCCAGTAAGTCACCATTGAATCCTGGCACTTTCTAAGCCCCCCGACCTGGCCCAGGACGAAATTCCCTGCAGAGCCTTTAGAGTCCCCCACGTGTGTCAGCCTCGGTGAAGGCGAGGCGATCAGGAGCCCTGAGCCTGTGAAATGACATCAAAATGGGCGGAGAAGGATTTCACCAGGGATTTGAAAACAACAAAAATCAGCAAACATGGAAATCGCTCCAGAAGCAATGGGTATATTTAAACCAACAAGAATGGTGATTGTCTTCTGGCAATCCTGGCAACGGATGATTTCACAATTCGTGATAGGAAATTCATCTACAAATTGAATTGGTTTAACGATTGCCGGGGCTATCAAAAAAAGGCCCATTTATAAGATACAAATGGGTTTGTCTGAAAATGAGATACCCCTAAATGCACTGGATACTCATAATTTTCAATATTGAAATATTAAGATTGCCTTCTTGAAATATTCAGATTGCCATTTGATGAGAAGGCCCCATTTTCATGATATCCTATTTGTAAATTAGTTTCCCACGATATCCCCATCAACCCCCTGCGGTTAACTGGTGGCTTACCATCCATGGTGCCGAGCTCTGAATCCAATGTGATCTAAGTAGCTTGGAACTGTCCAAAAGGTCTGCCAAACAGCAAGGTAGTACACTATATATATATAGTATAGTAGCGCAATATTATAGTAATATAGTATAACAGAATAACGTAATACTTCGGCCTATTAGGTTTTAAGCAGCATTGTAACAGCATTAAAGTTCTGAAGTATACTGAAGCATTAAACTATCATGATTATCATGTACAGTGTATGTATAATAACTACACGTGTATATATATATATGTATATGTATACATATGTTGATATATAAACATATATTTACACCTGCCTGAACCAACCATGGTTCTGAACTATGAAGAGCTTGTTTCGAAGTGGGCTATCCAATGTCATCGGTGACCTCTGCAAAGATTCGCCACCTGGTTGACTATGTAGTGCTAGTGCTAATTATACCATCACTTTGGCATTTTTCCTATACAATAGTGATTCAATTCGCAATATAACTACAATATCGGATTGTTAGATAATACATCGGATTTCCTAACTATACCATCAATACAATATAACTCATAATCCGATTCCTGCTCTAATTGGAATGATCCCTCATGCCTCCTGCTAGTGTATGTGTTGATGCCACTCTGCTGTCGATGGAAATCAACTTGGAAGCCGATAGACTTAGTTGATCGTTATTGGACAAAGGGACTCTAAATACTTGGATTACAAGAAGTTTTTTGTGATAAGTGTCCTGGCCCCTGCCTTCCCTTCCGTTCTGCTCGTCAATTTTCTGCTCTTCCACTGGCTTTTAGCACTGCTTTGAGACTGCTACCCAGCTGCTACCCGGAATGAGCTAGCACGAACAAGTCGTGTGCAGAGCAGTTATCCATCAAGCCTGGTGGCTGGTAGGGGCTAAATGTTGCATACTGACAAGCGATTTGGATTACCGTGGTTTCCTGCAAGGCAAGGCTCAAACCAGCGTTGGAGCTCGCCCATGGAGAATCAAAACTTTAGTGTGTCTGAAATTGGGGTATACTGTATAATCTTCAAAAGGCCATTTTCATTCAGGGATCTTGTGACCTTGAATTCTGTGCACAGACAAACCGTTTATGCTTGACATTTGAAAACACCAGATTTCATTCAATGCATCTTCGTTCCGACTCTTGATGTCCGAAATTCTGCGCATCTCCCTCACTGCACATCTGTAAGTTGCCCTGCAAAAACCTTCTACAGAAAGTGGAACCTCCAGCCACCATGACCACGTTTGAGATAACTGCAGTGAACTGCCACCACAGTGCACATCAGTGGGTGCCAATTGTAACAGTCTCCTGGCCAAATGATCATCTTTTGCTCATCGATCTTTTATCATTCCAAACAAAAATAGTTGCTTAGAATGGGATTTCAAAGCCGTCACTTCCGGTTGTTTCATAATTTTGCCAGAACCTGTCACATTTCACCAAAATTTGCTCAGCAATCAAAGCAATCAGATGATTCATCCACCTGCTCCAGCCCAGCCTTAGTGCTCAGCGGTCCGGGATTTCCATCGACCTTTGATATCGATCAATTCCCAGAATTGGTGGAAGGGGGCTTAAAAACCTTGGTTTTCTAAAGATGTTCCTTAAAATAACTCTATGGATAAGTAAGATGGAGCAAGAATCCTGGGCTTGGAGTTGCTTTTTTTTTTGTTTTTTCGACATGGCACATATTAGATTACATGGTTTTTGTTGGTGATAAGTTGATCACAAGCTGGTGAGACAGTTTCAATAGCTTGGAATCCAAGCTTCTCCTCAGGCCACCCCTGCCCCGGTGCTCATTTCAGTTCATTGCATATTGACATATTGCCTGATATGACCTGATATGATTATATATAATATGCTATAATTACATGTCAATATACTAAAACCAAAATGATCCTGGGATGCACCCAGATACCTGATTCATTCCAAGGGTTGGGGGATGCTGCCCCAAGTAGCCGGCACTTGGCTCAAGTCAAATTGCCGCAAGTTCATCCAGAGCCTGGCGAGTTTCAGTGATGTCCTGGTATGCTGAAAGTACTATGGCGTGTTCTACCACTAGTACCTCACAAAGTGGTATCCCAGGTTAGTTTTTTTTTTGAGTCGGTTTATAACTCATATTTCACTGGATGTTGTGGTGATTATAACTACAGTTAGATGGGATTATAAACCAACTTGTAAGTAGGGGGCACCAACTTGTAGCAATGATATACCATCCAGTAAACCAACATAGATATGGAACATCCACCAGTTGCTGCTTTTTTTTCCGTACGAAGCCAGTTTTGCTGGAGGGTATATGATAAAGCTGCCATTAAGCGATGCGTGAAACATAAACGCCAGCTATAACATATCATATCATAATGATCATAGTATATACATATGTCTACATAATTATATATCATACATATGCATATTTTATCCTGGAAGTAAGCACATCCCAGATTTAACTGTGATAAATCCTGATATATCCGTCATTTTTTCCGAATCGATTCTGACGACTTCCCATGGGATGATAAACATTCGGCCAAGCTGCAGGATGGGATTCCCTTCGACCACGGGAGGTTTTTTCACGTGACCCACGGACACATTTCTGGCACTGAGGTATTTGCTGGATTCTCCTGCGCAAGGGACGACTAAATGGTTCTAAATCCCTGCTCTGAAGAAGTAGCAAATAGATGGCTTCAAGTACAAAACATGTGGGGCAAAACACTAAGTACAGCCATAAATGGGCAAATAATATCATATGATATCATACGTATGTATATATATATATATGTATATATATATATAGATTGACTATGCATCGCTGTGGACCAGTTGCTGTTGCTGCTGCTGCCGCTACTATTGTTGGTGGTGGCTTTGATTTGTTTCCTGCGGGACTAATCAACTGCAAGGGAAAGAGAATCTTGACCGAAGGCAGACATAAGGGAGACAAGCTTGGGAGACACATTTAGGAAACAAGATGAGAGCAGCAGCCAAGAGCAGCCTAGAACGAAATTAAGCAAGGAAAGCCTGAAGGGAAACAGAACGTAGACAACTTGAGAGACAAGGCGGCAGCGACAAATTTGAGGTGGCCGAAACGAAATTCAGCCTCTGAATCAGCAGTAAAAACCTCCAAAAGTGATGCAACTTGCCGGAAAACATATAATATCATCATCATCATCATCATCATCATCATCATATATGTAAAGAATGTCTCAAAGAAGAACCGCTACACCAATCATAGACAATGGGAGATGATCCCTGGTCCCTGTTGGGTCCTGGCATTCGAAACCACACCTTGGTGTCGCTCCAAAGGTGAGACCAGTGGCTGGTTAATAAACCCCTAAGTAATCCTTATAGCCTCGACAAAAACCAGATCAAATAATTAAATACACAATCACCAAGGCTGAAAAGGGTGGTTTATATAGGTTTATATATGTTTATATTAAGGAACGCTAAATTGAATACAACCCATTTCTTGGGATTATACCAATGTTACCAACAGCTTACATCTTACATCCCATCTTGAAAGCATCACAAATCGCAATCAATCAACTTGAAAACACTTCAAAAGGTTTCGGCACGCTGATGGTATCAATTGTCGCCAAATAGGATCAGCTTAACGTTTCACCAACCTTTTGTTTTCGGAACACGGTATGTCTGTGTTGCTCAACCATCATTTTGGACAGGAAAACTGCCGTTGAAGCACCAGATCCAAGACACGGGATGTTTGAAGCCGGCTTTCTCCTTCGTGGATCTGTTCTCGATAACATGTTGGATTTTACCAGAGATGCCTTAGCTGAACAAAACGATAGGTGAACAAAACGAGTTTTCCCAAGGTGTTGGTTGGATTTTAAAGGGTACCCGAACAAAGAAATGTGGGTTTTACTATTGAAACGCATTGCATCTCTGTGTTTTAGAGCCGCGAACGATTCGAATATGATGGGTGTATTGCCAACTACCAGTATCTAAAGGATTGAGTGCACCAAATGGGTATAGAATAGGATAGCATCCATGCATGTCCGACAACGAACAATCCCATATTCCCGGAATGTATGATTGCAATGATTTCATTTCTTAAGGATTGCTAGTGGCAATATACTCGCGAAATGGGGCTAGATAGCGGGAATGTGTCATGGATACATTCCCAAGCACTCGCTAAATCCTGAAAAATTTGGTGTTTAGATCCCCACATCCATCATTTTGGCTGGTAAATATCTGCTAACATTCCAAGGATCCCCGATTACTGTGCTGCTCAAATCCTTGGTTGAATCCTCGCCGAGGATCGTTCCCAGTCTGTCGGCTTTGTGAAGTTTCCTTTTTGGCAAAGGCGTCCGGGGGTGTTTGACGCTGATTTTTTTTTTAACGGGAGTTGCGTTTTGGAGTCCCATAGTATAATATGTACATATACATATATATATGTATATATATACATGTTAATGATATGCATGTATATAAATAGATGTATATGTATATGTATATGTATGTGTATGTGTATATGTATGATAGATATACTTATTACAAGATATTCCAAGTAGATTCCACAAGTCTGATGGATTGAGTCATTAAACGGGGAAGTAAATGAAAGAAATGCCAACTTGAACATATATCTACTATCAAGCCGACAGTTGGCCTAGTTTCAAACCAAGTTACCTATTTCGATCTGTTTGTATCTATTTCGATCTATTTGGATCTATGTAGTATTTAGGAACCTATTGTTACCTATTGCATGAGACAAAATCTGTCTGGGAATTTAACATGGTGATAGATGGTGAACATCCCGATTCACCATCGCTCCAGGGGATGGTCACCATGGTGACCCCTGGTACCAGAAATGTCACAGCGCCACATGTGGCACTGGCTTTAACGCACAAGGGGAAACAAACTAAGCGTAAACTGCCACACTGATTCCAAGAATGCCACATCGCTAGCAATGATTTCTACTTCGGGATTTGAGGCTATGATTACAGAAATCACTCAGCGATCTGCGATCCTATCCATGGAAGATACTCCAAGCGTAGGTATGCTACGAGTATTTCGCCCAGCAAACAAATAAACGTGGATTTCACTCCTAGTTTCAACGGCCTTCCCTTTTGAAACTTAGTACATACATACATATCATATCTATATAATGTATACATATCTATATATATATATAGAGATGTGTAACCACCCTCAGAAGGACTTACCCTCTTGCTGGCCATGGATATTAGATTAAGGCACCATCCCCCACACACATACCCCTTGGTACTCCGTGGAAAAACCGGACAACAGTCCATTATAATTCAACCATAATCCAACAGCTGAAGTTCAATTATCATGCTTCTTTACACCATAGTATCCCAAAAAATATCCACACACCACAAGGTTTATAGGATATCCAGGTGATATCCATAGCATTTCCATGCAAAAAACAGCTGATATCCTGGGCTGATCACCGTCAGAGTGTCGCAAGGTGGGCATCGTGGGGTCCAGAGATTTCTGGCGCTGGAATTTCAGGTGAACTTCCGCCACGTCCCACATCGCCGAATGCGAGGTCAGGAGAAACGTGGCTTCCTGCAGCCAGATTTCTTGGGGCGCTGTTGGAACACCTGAAAATATGTGTTTTTCTTGTCTCGATACCTGAAAACGGCTTGAAATTGAACTGGAGTAATTATACCTGACATGTTTGTGGGGATACCTGAAATTGGAAGAAATGGGGTAATTGACAACCCAAGTCTACCGGATACAAAGATCATGTGTTGATTTTGAACCTCGGCATGGGCCGACAGTTGGCAGTATAGGGCTCCATAAGAGCTATCCCAAAGTGGAGATCGTTTCGCTTTAACAAAAGACCTATAGGAACCATCCCAGTCAGCGGTTAGTTGACTGATCTCTGGTGGACAAAACCTTCGTGGATGCCAGTTGTCATTCTTGACATTCTTGACCCATTGAGCCCAAGGAAGAACTGGTTCTTGCATACTGAAGCCTTTAAACAGTCAGACATGCGAGTTTAAGAATTGAATCGTTTTTCTCAAGGTCCCAAGGAACTAGCCAGCTGCAAAGTCCTGTAAGTTGGAGTAGTACCTGGTCAACTCCTAGGTGGCGGATTCCATGCTGAAAATGGCTTGATGATGATTACCTATCCAAGGTTACTATCTTGGTTTATACATCTCATCATATCCGTTTTTTGGTTTCTAAATCCTCACGTTCGTTGGTTTAATACAGCATCCAATTTCACATGTTATCCCTTTGTATCACCATGATAGTGAGATTGACGAGATTGTATTTGACCCTTGTTATTGGCAATTATATCTCCGTGGTATCCCCCTTATGGTTGCTTATCAATCACTCTTTTGTTTCAAGTAATGTCCTATTTCCTGGTTCTTAAAGACTATATTATACTATATTACCTAACCATGATATCCCTATCTTTTGAAAGTTATTTAATCATTTAACCATTATATATCCTGATTCTGGTTGGTTGGAAATCCCCATTTGTCAATAAGTGATACCTCGATAAAATCCCCACTTCTTGTAAGTTGTTTCCATTGTGGTTGGTGAAATTACCATTACCCATCTTTGCGCTGTTCCGATGATTTCTTGGCTTTATGTTTACCCAAATCAATTTTTTGTTGTGAAACCCAGCGTGAAGCCACGTTGACCCTCCACATGTGCCACTCCCAGGTTCTTTGTGACCGCTCTTCCGACTACTCTTCGAGGAAACGACACTGCTGCCCTTTTTCCTGGGGGTTGACGTTGCCTGGGGGTTGACGTTGGGTCGGGTGGTAACCATCACTGGTGCCATTTGCTAAGTGGGATGCACCCCCAAGTAAGTTGATAGAATAGGATATATACAACTAGAATCGAATGATGATATATGGTTCTTTGAAACATATGTATATACATACAGTATTACATATTCTACTTATTAACGTGCCTATATGGATATGATTACAATCAAATGAGAATTGGTTGTAACGTATATTCATTTTAGAGTATATGTAACCATCACATCTCAAAAGAATCCCAGAAACATCATTGTGCCATTGGGTTTGCCCAGATATGGGTTTTAGCAATTTTCAAATAATGCATCTGCACATGAGAACTCGACGATAAAATTAAAGGACCGGATATAACCCCACATGTTACCAACTTCTCTAGATTTAGACTGGGCATAGAAAAGCAAGAAGGGAAGAGGAAGTATAAGAGTGATAGAGCGGTGATGGTGGGTGAGTTTGTGTGTGTGTGTATGTATGTTCAAGTACAGTGAGTGAGTGAGTGAGTGAGTGGAGTGGAGTGGAGTGGAGTGGAGTGGAGTGGAGTGGAGTGGAGTGGAGTGGAGTGGAGTGGAGTGGAGTGGAGTGGAGGGGAGTGGAGTGGAGTGGAGGGGAGTGGAGTGGAGTGGAGTGGAGTGGAGTGGAGTGGAGTGGAGTGGAGTGGAGTGGAGTGGAGTGGAGTGGAGTGAGTGATTGAGTGAGTGAGTGAGTGAGGGAGGGAGGGAGGGAGTGAATGAGATGAGATGAGATGAGATGAGATGAGATGAGATGAGATGAGATGAGATGAGTGAGGAGGTGAGTGAGTGATGAGTGAGTGAGTGTGAGATGAGATGAGATGAGTGAGGAGGTGAGTGAGTGAGTGAGTGAGTGAGTGAGGGAGTGAGTGAGTGAGATGACATGAGATGAGTGAGGAGGTGAGTGAGTGATGAGTGAGTGAGTGTGAGATGAGATGAGATGAGTGAGGAGGTGAGTGAGTGAGTGAGTGAGTGAGTGAGTGAGTGAGTGAGTGAGTGAGTGAGTGAGTGAGGCGAGGCGGCGGGAGGAGGAGCGGATACAGAACTAAAAACAAAAACCCCACACGTCAATGTGGGGAAAAAAATATCCCATCTATGGGATCATATACATATAATAGGAAGAGAGAGAGAGAGAGAGAGATCTAGATATACATTAATAATATCAATAACATACATATGTATGATATGTATATATGTAGATATATCAGTGGGCTTCTTAAGTCATGGGGGATCGGCACCATGAGTTAACCTATACTAAGTCATGGTATGTCATGGTCATCCATGACGACTGGATGATTTGGGGGGTACCCCGTTTTAGGAAACCTCCATTTGTAACCAAACAATGGAGATATGATTCGGAAGTGACATGGATGTATAACCAATTACTTAGTCACGGTGTTAGGTATTTATAACCCATGGTCCATGTCGATTGGGATTTATTACCCATTCATGGTGGGAAGACAATTGGGATGTACAATCCACTTAATATATATATATAATCTTTTTGGAATGGATGGATGATTGGGGAGAGAAAGCATGAGATATGAGATCATCAGAGGGTCACTTGCCATGAGAGATCCCTAAATAACACAACGCGACCTCCAGTTGGGTTGGTCTGATATGAGCAACCAATGGATTGGAGCCAACGGCGGAAACGCGGATTATGATGAACTAGCCTAGATCTATACCTTTGTTACCCTCTGGTAAACTATCATAGCTATTGCAAGGTCATTTATCGTTGATTTACCCATTAATAGCATGGTGATTTTCCATCGTTTTTTGTATGTTTACATATGTTTACCAGGTCGGGTACCAGCAATCCTTGCTTTGAGGAACATCCCAGCAGTATCTTTCGTAGATCCTGGTGATTTCTATTTCGCCATGAAGACGGTGACCAAAAAAAACTGGTCATTTGCTTCGCCCAGTTGCTCAAAACTCTGGTGGTTTGAAACATTTTATTTTCCATGATAGATGGGATGTCATCCTTCCCAGTTGACTTTCACTCCATGATTTTTCAGAGGGGTAGGTCAACCACCAACCAGAAATGTTACCCTTTGCTCATCAAAAGCTGGTACCCTCTGGTAAATTAACTTGTTGACCCTGAAAATAGCCTAGCTTTAATGGAAACCAATCTTCCAACCCCGATGACTAAAAAGGGTCTATGTTAATTTACCAGAGGGTATTTTTCCATATTTTGGGAATGTCATACTCCCAACTGACGAACTCCATCATTTTTCGGTTCATCCCAAGGAATTCACAGTGGACCATCATTGATGGGGGCCTGGCTGGTGATATTCGATCATCCCTATGGAACAGATTTCAATGGGTTTACTAATATAATGGATTCCTCATGGATGATTTCAATGGATTTGTCGATGAAAATATGGATATATGGATGATATATGGATATTACTAATGGATGATTTCAATGGATAATATAGTGGGAATTATCAATGACTAAAATGAAATAAGCCTGATAATTCCCATTAAAGTCATTGATAATTCCCATGAGTAAATCCATTTATCATCCATGAGTAATCCATTAGTAAATCCATTATTTACCCTCTGGAAATTTAACATAGCCATGGAAAATCACCATTTTTAATAGGTAAATCATCTATTTCTATGGGTGATTTTCCATGGCTATGTTAAATTTCCAGAGGGTACCCATCCTGAGCCCAAAAAACTTCACGGATTTCTCGCGAGGTACTTCCAGGATTGGAGTGATCCCGAGGACTCACAACTGGACCGCTGCCAGGCGCAGCGATGGGTAGAATGATGGCCTTACCCGGCCCGGTAAACATAGAAAAAGCGAGTGAAAATGGCCATAGAAATAGTTGATTTTCCCATGAATAGCATGGTGGTTTTCCATAGCTATGTTAAATTACCGGAGGGTAATAGCTATGAATGGTGAAACTTTAGTGATTAATGATGATTCATGAACATCCCAAAGCAACTGGACTGGTAGAAGATAGAAGCTAATCCTTTTGTTTTTTGCAAAATCATTGGAAAATCACCAGCCAACCAGCAAAAGATGAAAATATGTTGTAGACTACCAAAGATTGACCATATGGTAAACTCAGAGTTTGCTATGAAGAATCACCATGTTGAAGTTTGGTAAATCAACTAGAAGCGGCCATGTTCAATAGCTATGTTAAACTACCCAAAGGCTATCCATGAATCATGATATCTCGGCAATATCCCAATATCATCCAATATCCATTGATAGTCTCATTATACCCCGGAAAAGATGCCGATCTAAGTACTTAAAGGACAGCAAGTCGCTGATATTTACCTCATATGTCCACAATTGTTAATTCTATTTTTGGGTTGTTATGAACTCCATAACTCCGAAAAAAAAAATATAATCAGCTGGTGAAGAGAAAAATCAGCTGGATCCAAGACAGTTGATATGCCTAAACTCCCAACCATTTCAAACGAGATATTCAATGGGAGATTGATCCTCATCTATACTGGGGATAAAAAAACTCGAAAGAATGGAAACGGGATTTATCACCAACCATATTGGGTATATTAAATGGGATACAGCACTTGTGCCATATGTGCCATGGTTAATCTTGGATTAGCCACGTAACTCATTTTGGGGCAAGTAGTCATATCACCATTTTCACAGTGAATATATACCCACATATACCCACGAGTTTTGGAATCCCGTTCGTGATGGTGGGATGACCATACCCCATGTATTGTACCATTTGTTGACCGTGGCACATGTTGATTTGCAACCATC